TAAGAACTAACCATAACTGATAAAAATGGAAAATATTCCCTTAAAATATTAAATAAAGTTTTTTTCCTAACTTAAGTTCAACTCATGTAGAAACTAACTCTTAAATTTAGTTTCTAAACTAAAAAAACCTAAACTTTAAAATTTTTGTTCTGTGTACAATATTATGCCGTTTTTGATCTTGCCGTGCGCTCAACTAATTAGCAACGAAAGCCACAGAAACACTGACCGAGCGGTGGATATAAGAGGAAAACAATTTCGATTAAAGCAAAATCCACCGACAACTAATTCAAACCAATCATAATCGCGCAATCATAATTACAAGAATCTTCCGAAAGAATAATCCAGACCCAGTTCCAAGTTTCCAGTTCGAGTGGCAGTGGCAGTGGCAGTGGCAGTAGCAAATACCACAATCCCAATCCCAAAGAGACAGAAAACATACCGACCAACCGACTGAACGATCTTAGCCGGAATTCTATTGCTGCCTGAATCCAGCAACAGCAGCAGCAGCGGCGGCACTAACAACGTCAACAACAACAGGTTGCCGCTGCCTGAAGTGCTTCGTGGCCCAGACAAACGTTAAGATTGTAATAACCATGTTAAAAGCAATTTACGTTTAAAGTGCTACCGTGATACGCCGCCGATGCGTTTCTTGATTAAGAACGGAGGGGATGCTGGTAGGGAAAAAGGAGTTGGAGAAGAAGAAGAAGGTCCAGGAACTGGACTTGCATTTATTTGGCGGCAAGAAATTTTAATACCCGTTACTTGTCCAGTGAAAGGGTATATTGTAAATGGAAGAAGATGTCCTTAATAGGAAGCATGTAATTCCTTATCAATATCTGCTTATTTATATGCTTAAAAATCTGGTTTTTGGTATAATAATAAGAATGTAAAGTTATTGCATATGAAATATTGGAAATATGTTTTGAAAGTAGTCGAGATATGATTATTTTTGGTAAAGTTTGAAAAAGTTTGAAAAGAATGAAACACGAACGCATGTAAGTATGCAACATTATTTGATTTAAAGCTACTCTTAAGTAAAAAGTATCTTTATGTTGACATTTCTTGTTATAGTTTTCTAATTTTAAAATAATTTCTATTATTTAAACAGTTTGCATAGCTTAATAAGCCAATACTTCATCAAATTCAACTCTTTTCAGTAAGGTAAATAATAGTTAAATGATTAATTTAAAGGTTTTATTTATGATTACTTTATACAGAGAGTTTCCCTTTTTATACAAAATATAATTTATATATTAGGTATCTAAAAGTCTTAACAATTTTGCGTTTTCAAGTTTTTATTTGGCTCCTTTGGGAACTTTCCTTTCATATTCACAGTCCACTTAACACGCGCGTCGCACAATGCGCCTCAAAACACAAATGAGCAGAGTTCTGCGCATGCGTTGCTGCTGCTGCTGCTGCTGCTGCTGCTGCCCCAACAGTGGCGATGGTAACCTCAGAAAATCTGTGCTGGCGGCACGCTTTGATGTTCGGAATGGCGTGTGCCCCAATGCAGAGATTTTCGCTTTGTTGTTTTGCCGACTTTGTCTACGTCTTCGTTTGCCGGCCAACAACAACATCAACGCCATGCAACAGCAATTTGCCGCCAAGTGGACCGCAGCAGCAGAGGCAGCAACAAAAACAACAACACGGCAAGCGTGTGGAACATTGGAGCGTGCGATCCGTGATCCGAGAGAGTGCCACCAGAAAGTTGTTGCCCCTCTGGCCAAGTGTAAAAACCATTTCAGCCATCTCTGGAGGCCTTTGGTAGACAGATAGAGGTGGCCATTTGACTGTAGCCGCAGGGTATTTAGGAAATAATACTTTTTTAATAATTAAAGATGATTTTTCTTACATAAAAATATAGAGAATAAAGATCTGCTTAGCTATTAAGATTCTTGAAACTAACTCAGCTTGGTCTTAGACCTAACCTTTATTTGTAAGTGGTTAAAATAACATTTAAATTTGTAAGCAAACTAAGTAACTCATATTTTCATATCTGTAATAAATAAATATAAAAGATATATCTCCTTGATAATGCATATTTTGTTCTCGAAGATCGGACAAAAAATGAATCTTAAAGTAACCCAAAAACATGGATTAACTTCTCCTCCTTCTTTTCTTCACATTAAAACATATTTAAGAAATTCTTTAAAATTCATCAAAAAATTAAATAAAACTCCGCAGACCCTTATACAACCACTTAGTGATCATTCACCATCACTGACCTCCATCAATCGAGAGCAATGCAATTATGATCGCTGGCCGATGAAATTAGAGATGCTCGCTCTGTCGGCTGATGGATGAGTAATGCTGCTGCTGCTGCTGGATCTTCGACGCACCTGTTGAATTTCCCACAGTGCGATGCGGCTTTGCTTTTCGCAAAAAAAGGGGAAAAAAACGAAAGAAAAAACGGGAACAGTTGCTCGGCAGATCCTGGGGAATCTGGGGAAAGGATCAAAGGACGTGACCGTGACTGGGCCGAACCGAACCGATAATAAAGTTGTGCATTAAATGAAATTTTAATTGCTTATCGGCGACCAGCGATCCGGGAGCCCATCTGTTGGGATTAGAGCGGCCGAATGGCCGACTCGATTGATGTCAAGCGATGTCGGCGCTTTGAAGATTATGCCCAAAGTTATGAGGCTGACTCGGAGTCGAAGTCGGATTCGAAGTCGGAGTCGGAGTCGGAGCCGAAGGCTTCGTTTTCCAGGTGCTCCCGGTGATCAGATCAGCCTATGCGAAATTATATAGCTCAGTGGTAGCAATGTAGCAGCTTTAACTACGCATTGGCAGTCACTTCCTCACCGTCCTCATCGTCATCCTCCACATCCTCATCATCATCATCATCATTCTGGCTGGGGCATCGCATCAGCTGGCGCTGCTGCTTGCCGCTTGCTGCTTGCTATTTGCTGCATGCGGCAAAAGATGAAACGTGGCGGCAACACTTTGATGCGGCCAAGATCAAAGCCGCCGATTGTTTACATAATAGTGGCCTTTGAAACGGAACAATAGAATGCCAGGATCAAAGACACCGACCAGTTTACCCGGTTAGTGCGCTTAAGCGAAATGAATGTCCATGTCCGTCCGCCCGTGATCTGTTTTCCTGGCCCTGGCACGGCAAGAAAATTGAGATTACTTTTGAAAAATAAAAAATCAATTTAAAAATTAAAATCACACATCTTAAAAATCTTTTTAAAGTTTATTTTAATGCAACCTAACTTAAAGATGATAAGTGATTCGTTTTCGGCAAAGATTATCTCAGATTTTGTACCTTTTTAAGGATCATGTTTTACTTTATCTATCTTTCCCTACAGACAAACTATTAAAATAAAAATATATTTTTGAAGAAAATATCATTGAACTGCTTTCCCAGTGCAGTAAAAGTAGCACTCATCACAGCCAGATGATCATCACGATGGCAATATCATCGTGGAGCGTCTTTGAATTTGTGCTGCTGTAATTGCTGAAAGGCCGAAGGAGTTGCAACTGCTGCTGCGGCTGCTGCAACTGCTCTTGCTGCTGCTGCTGCTGCTGCTGATTGCGCGTCAAATGTTTATGGCATTCATCGCGTGCTGGCGGCGTTTTAATTGCTTGAACGGCACAAGCGCCTAGTGGCTAGTACATACATAGTGGCCACGCTGCGTATGAGCAATGCGAGCATCAATAATCTCCTGAGATGCTGCTGCACCGCGGCCTCTGCAGTTGTCGTTGTCGCATAATAATTGCGTGTACTTAATGCATAAATATTGCACTGAATCGGACTGGTCGACCAAGTCGGCTCCTTTCTATTTGCCACTTTTAAGTTTGCCGCCGCCGTCGCCGTTGCCGTTGCCGCCAGTTGGACATCATTTTTTTCAGACTCTGTATTTCTTTTTTTTTTTTTTTTTTTTTTGTTTAGTTGCGCTCTCTGCCTTCTTCTTCCTTTAGGCCTACAATTTCTATTGGAGCAGAGCTGCGGCGGCGGCGAAACAGCTAAAATCAATTTGGTCAGTGATAAAATTTTTGCAAAAGCGAATCAATTTTATGGCTGGATTCCTGGCGGCGGGGGTAAATCGTAAAAGTATTTCGATTTCGGGGCCAAAAACGGCAAAAATCAAAAGACCCCGAAAAAAAAAAGAATTTTTAATGATCTGTCATTAATTGAGTTTCGCATATATATATATAGATATAGATATATATATATGTATGGAAAAGCGGGGCCAAGGGTCTGCAAAAATCGGTGGGGAATTTGCCTTTAGATTTACAATTAGATAAAAGACGCTGACTACTTTATTGAGATTTTATGTCTTTAAGCCGCATCCGAACAGCCGAATATCCAGGGCCATATCAAAATTGCTCCGTTTCCACGAAATGCCGACAAGCCATAAAACACAAAATGAGCCAGCCCAAAAAGAAAAACACAATAAACATATATATATAGTATATATATTTTATATATCTGTATATATGCGATGAGCGAATTATGAGAGTTTGCATTATAATTGCAATTACACTAAATTAGCATTAAAAAACGGAAAAGACAAAGCAAAGGGGAAAAACAAAAGACTTAGGCAACGAACTCGGACTACAGCGGGAAGACCAGAAGCAAATTTCATTTCGGCTTTCGATTAAGCAGATCAAAGGGAACCTTAATACGGTTATTAACAAGTAGCTGCCGCTGCCGCTGCCGCTGCCACTGCCTCAGTCGACGTCAGCGTTGCCAACGCAGTTGAAGCAGCGCTGCCGGCGATTCTCTCAAATTGCATTGCCCTGCAGTTTATTATTAGTTTTGTTATTATTTTGCGTATTCTAAACAAAAACGCAGCCACACAAATACCGCTGAGCGTAAAAAGTAAGAGAGAGAGAGAGAGAGAGAGAGTGGAAGAGAGAGGGAGAGCGTTAAGCACGTGAGAGCGATCATTTGACGTTAACTGCGACAGCGACAGCGACTGAGGCAGCGTTGGTAGCAGCAACTTCGGCATCCATAGCGCAAGGTAAAAATTTCATTCCGTGGCGAGCATTCGACGTGAGCGGACGTTTTGAGCGCGAGTGCCGTGCCGCAGATAACGAAACGAGATCGCAGTGCTATCAGTAAAAAAATCGAAACGAATCAAATACATTATTATTTCACAGTTAAACGACAAATACAACAACAACAACAGCAATAGCAAAATCCCACTCCACGTTCAAAACAAAACAAAATCACAACAAGTTGATAAGTGCCAAAAGAAAAATCAATAAATATCGCATACAATGCAGCGCCCCAAAAAGTGCTCAGAACTGTGCTGAACAACAACAAACAAACAAACAAAATACAAAAAGAAAATTAGAAAAACAAGCATCAAATCTATATATAAATCAATATATTTAATAACTAATATTATCTATGTGTAATCGAATCGAAAATGGCAGCCGAACAAAACCCTAAAATGGCAGCTAAAGCCGACAAAGAAGCTACAAATAAATGGATTAAGCCACAGCAGGTGAGTTATCAAAGCGGCGAAATACGGTAGCCCATAAAATGAAATATGAACCGAAATTATATCAAAAGTTGCCGCTTAAGCTGAAAACTGACAAACCCAAAAAGAAATACAGTAGCACGTCAATTAAAATGAATAGCTTCCGACTTAAGACGCTGCTGGCCAAGTTGTGAGAACTCGGCCGAGAAACCATAACCTCTACGGCTTTATTTACGACATTAGCATAGTCGGGCGAAATCAATTTGAAAATCCTTTGGCCAAAGCATAAAAAATGAGATTAAATTTGCCTGCGTGCGCAAAAAGCCACAGAAAGCAAAAAAAACACAGCCAGGCGGAAAATAAAAACAGCAGAAGAAGCATAAGGGTAAGGGTAAGGGTAAGGGCATTGGGGATTGGTAAGAAAACAAAAAGGCCGACAGAAATGAGCGGGGAATGGGACTTTAAGTGTAGCTAACCAAAAACCCTCATCAGCAGCAGCAGCAACAACAACAACAACAACAACAACAACAACAAAGTGCAGGCCGCCTTCGTGCGCCCCACTTCACTCGAAGTCGAGACCTTATATCCCCATAGCCATACAACTGCCCCAGCCACAGCCACAGCCACATCCACATCCATAGCCACTCCACTCCTCAGTCGTAGTAGCTACTGTTTTCAAAGTTAAGATCAATGAGTGCGACGACGACGACGATGCCTTGGGTTTTTGTAGTTGGCCCGAACTGCACGGAAAACAAAATATCAAGTTTTTAAAATAGTTCAAGATTTAAATTTGATATTTTTTAAGATTATCTTTACTATATTTTGGGATAACAAAGGTACGCCTCCTAATAACTTTTCTTTGTTTCAAGAACTAATAAGTTCGAGTGGTTTTTCTTTCATTTTAGCTGTAAAAATAAAACCAATTTGTATAACAGTTGGTTTGTTTTAAAGTTAAAGCTGTTCAGCTGAAAAGTTTAAGATTAAATTAAAGGAAATAACAAATTGTCAAATGGTTTGTGTTTAAAGTTGTTATGGGGTACAGTAAAACAAAACCAATTAGATGGAAAAAACCGAAGTAAAACATGTTTTTCTATCGCTTAAAATGATTCTTAAAAATCTTTAAAAACCTATACTTTTTAAAGTAAAAATTATAGAAAGAAATAAAGAAGTTTTTACAAAAGTAAAGCAAAAAGTAACATTTATTTCCATGACTGATCTAAAAAGGTATATTCAAAATCTATCTCAGTAAAAGATTATCTGGTTTCTTAGCTTAAAACGATTATATTATTAATCTCATTAAATTCTTAAAAACAATTTTAAATCGAAATCATTAAGCATTTAAAGATAATCCATTATTTTTCTCGGTGTCTTTGCTGGCCAGCTTCGATCTGCTTTGCAACATGCCGCAAACATACACGAGTCCATGGGGCGGCAAAGTACAAAGCCAAAAACGGCACGGGTTTAGCGCGCTCGGAGTAAAAAGCGATCAGCGGGCAGCAGCCGCAGCCGCAGCGGTAAAGGCGACCGCTTGGCAGACGTGCGCACATCTACAGAGATACAAATATACACAGATACAAAGATACACACACATTTACAGTGAGATACACTCAGATACAAATACTGAGATACTCATGATCAGGCCGGTCTAATAACGCTGCTGTTGGCACTGGCTACACGTTTCGGCGGCTTCGCTTTTGTTGTTGCCGCTCCACAACCGCTTCATTCCCATTCCCATTCCCATTCCCGTTCCCGTTCCCAAACCATACCCATACCTATACCCATTCCCATTCCCGCTGGCCTGCGGCTTCATTTGAGGCTGCTTCCGAATTACCTGCGCCTTTGCCATGCCAGCAATGCAGTAGCAACACAGCAGCAGCAACAGCAGCAGCCACCGCGTTATTTCCCTGCCATAAAAAGTATTAAATTGCCGCAAACAGGTGTATTTTTATGCCCGGCAGGCAGAAAACAGAAACCATAAGGCGGATCGTTCAGGTTTCGGGAACTGCAATTATGCGCGCCTAGGCCATCGTTTTAAGTATTCTAAAACTCTGCCCCAGGCGGGCCAACCTACAAGCTAAGCAACAAAAACTAAAGCGCAATTCAGGTCAGAGCCGGGTAACAAATCAATCTTCTACAGTTCCCAAGGATTAGGCAGGTAAAAGTGGTAAAACTTTGCAAATTGCTAGGGCAATGGGTTGAAAAAGGCAGAGTTATGTGTTATGGTAGGAAACTTAGAGGATTTTAAAGCTAAAGAGATTTTTTTAAGGAACTCCAAGTCCTAGGAACTTGGAGGATTTTAAAGCTAAAAAGTTTCTTTTAATACGATATTAAGATGGGGTTAGCTATAGTTAGATTTAGATATAGATAGATATATATAAAGATATCAGTCTTTGTATATGTTATATAAGCTTTAGTTTCTTCATCTTTTTCCTGTTACAAATCTTTGGTTTAAAATGCAAATAGAAGTTACTACTTTCTTATTTAAACAGATTTTGTCATTGAACGTTATAGTTTTATACTGAAAATAAAATGGCTAGTAAGTAAACGGTCTTAAAACTGAATTAGTTATATAATTAAGAAACTATTTTTTAAGGTCCAATCAGAAACTCAGAAGCTCCATCGAAACTGTTAAGGTTAATAGAACATAATGAGCTATATATAATATATAATATTAAAGTTAAACCTTTAAAAAGGCAAATTAATTATTTAACATCTCATAACATTTTTAAATATATTTTTTACCTATTTTTATTGGGTTAAAATAATATGCTAATGTTTTCTATAATTAACTTAAGCACCTTTTTTGGGAGAACTTTTCCTCAAAATCGCATTGCCAAATACCGCCTTTGTCCTTCTGGCAGTGCTAATAAAATTGTGTTTATATTTCTTAGTGTATTTCGACAATGTTTTTTTTTTGTATTTGTATTTCTGTTTTTTTTTGTTATTTGTTAAGAGCGCGCTCTCTTTCATAACGATTCTGGTTACGCGCGTAAACTGAAGCCATTGTAGCCGGCAAACAACAGAGAAACCGGGAAAGAGACAGCCTTATATAGCGGTGAAAGAGATGGAGAAACGCAAATCAAACAAACTGCCAGCAGGAACAACAACAACAATAATAACAACAACAACAAGAGCCATGAGAACAGCAACGGAAGTTTATTTATGCCCCAGACCCAGAATGTTTACTTAAGCGTATTGCGATAAGCTGCGAGTGACTGAAAAAGCGCTCGTCCGTTTGTAGTTGTTGTTATTTACTTGTGTTGTTGTTGTTGCTGCTGCAAGTGCGCCAAGAACAGCAACAACAAGTACAACAAACATTGAAGTGGAGCTTCCTCCCTCTTTTAAGAACCAAACGTCGACGGCCTCCCTTTGATTCGGACAAGGTCGTTATGGATTGCGCTGAGATTCTTATACAGGGAGACTTCACTAAGCTGAACGTTAATTATAGGCAAGATTCGGGTTAGGGATTTCTTTAATGAAAGTTTTAGGCAACATTTAAAAGAGTTCTTAGTTAGAAAAGTTGGAATATAAGTTAAGGCAAATTTTAAAGGTTTTTCTTTAGTAGATTCCTAGAAAGACTTTCAAGTGATATGTTAACTAAAACTTAAATATTTCTATAAAAATAAGTTGAATTACCTTTTTTTTATATACATAACTAATAAGCAATTAAATATTTCCAACCCAATGACAAATTATAATTAAAATATCATTATAATTAACACAAAACCGTCAACATCTATGACTTAACCTTTTCCAAACCGAATCAACTTTCAGTAAATGCCATTACTTGCAATCCCTAAGCTAATGCAAATTGCGATTCGATTAAAACCACTTAGAGGGGCGCACAGTTGCACAGTCAATTGCCGTCGCAGCAATCGAATCAAATGGAATCAAATCGTTTCCACTCACAACGGGGCGTATACTCGATTTAACTTTTTGCTTTTTGTTTTTTCGTTTGTTTTTTTTTTTTTATTAAATGAGAAATGAGAAGGCTTAGCGCCAGCGCGTCGCAAACGCGACCGAGTATTTGCAGCAATTAATAAAAACTGACAATTTAATCGGCGCGACAAGTAGTTGGCTGCCAGCCAGCCCCCAGACATTCGATTCGAATCAAATCGAAGCGCTCCTTTGTCGGCGGCAACGGCCACTTTGCTAGAAAGGGGAGTGAGTGAGTAACTAAAATAAATACAACAAAAACAAAAAAGAAAATAAGGCAAAATATTAATAAGCAGTGCCCGCAATTAATAGCGCAACTTAAGACTCTATATAGGGTAATTAAGCGGCGCTTGTGAACATTTTTCCTTTGGCCACGCCGCCACTGTTTTTGTTTTTTATTCGTCGGCGCTGCCGTTTTTTCTTCTTCTTCTTCGTCTTCTCTCTCTTTCAACAGGTAAACAACAAGTGCAACGTACGCTCCTCGTACGTACGTATCTCTCGGTGTATCTGTATCTGTATATCTCTGTATATCTTTTGCCGGTGTTTACTCAAACGTAAATCCGCGCACGCACACGTGAAATCTTTCTATTTGTATTTATTTTACTTCAAATTTTTTGTTAGGGTTTTTTTTTTTTGTTGGTGTGGTAAATTCATTGTGGTCGCAGTTCATTCGCTGGCGCAGTTGAACTAATCAACAATGGAAACTACTCATCTAATGCTGAGCGAGCGAGCGCGGTCTTGTCAATTTCGTTGTTTGGCGGCAAACATCAGACGGCGAGCGGCTAAGACGGCCCACAAAATATCCAAACCTGTTGTAAGAGACGTGCAGGAGAGGTTTTTTTTTTTTTAAAGAAAATCAAAAAATATGTACCGAGGGGGATGGGGTGAGAACTAGAAGAATGGAGCCAAATTTGTCTAACAAATAGCCAAGGGTACATAAACAAATTATAAACAAGACTATTTTTTAAGGAACATTTACTTTGTGGGCTTTAATAGACTTAAAAAACGTTTTAAAAAATCTTTACAAAATTAATAACATTAATTTAACATTCATTTAACTTTTAATTTACTTAAAAAAGTTTTTTATAACCAAATACGAATATGATATAATTTTTATCAACGACTTGGAGAAATATATTTACTTATTTGCTCTGCTTACTGAACTATATTTTCCCCTTTTTGATATATTTACTTAAATAAAAAATTAAAAATTAAAAAATATTTAATTATTTTATAAGACTACTCATTTAATATCTTGTTAAATCTTGTTAAATTTTAATTTATTTATCTCTTTTTATTCTTTTATAAAAACTTATTAAAAACAAAGTTCCAATTTCATTCCCATCTTTTTCTTTTGTTTTGATTAAATATTATTTTAATATATATTTTAATCTAATATTGCAATGCAAAAAAAAATAAATAATAAAATTAATGGCTTTCATAAATCGAGCTTCTGCACAACTTAATCCAAATTTATAAAGCAAGCTGTCAAATAAAATCAATTCACTATTATTAAAACGTTATCAAGTTGGGTATTTGTCAATGATTTTGTTAAGACTAATTTATCTGAATTCCGTTTAAAAATTCCAGCATTTTGCATATTTCCGTTGAATGTGTTTATTGGGAACCAGATATTGTTGTTGTTTATTAATAGATATCGGTTTTATATATATCTTATATATATATTTCTTAATGCCTGATGGCTGGCTACCGTTAGACCACTTCGCATTTAAAGCTACTTTGTAGGCCTTTGGCCAATATAATTGCCAGAGTGTTTTCATTTCGTGTTTCTGTCATTTGCATTTGGTTGTTTTTAGTTTTTTTTTTTTTATATTTTTTAGTCTGCAAATTGTCGTTGCTGGCGGCGGCAGCGGCAGCGGCATCGTCAGGAATCGGCTGACTTCAAAGGCCTGTATAAACATTGATTGAAGATTTCTTTACGATTTCTGAATGGTTATTTATGCGGAGGCAAGACCGTAGACAGAATTGACAGACTGACACAGTGAGACACTAAAATCGTTGCCGATGTTGTCGGCAAATGTTGTTTGTTGTTCTTGTTATTGTTATTGTTATTGTCTTATTTACAAATTGCTGGAAAATAGCTAGTGGAGAATCAGCGAAACAACAACAACAACAACAACAAAAAATCGCCATATAGCTCATTTGATTGATGTGTGTAAAAAAGAGACAACAAAGCGACCTTAAGTTCAAAGCCAAGAACTGCTGATTACCACGCGTCAGCGGCCATGACAATGTGAAATTGAAATTTGTTTGACTGGCAGTCTGACTGGCCCACGGGGCGTATGATTAACAGCAATTTCTTACCATGTTTGACTAAATACTTTGAGGCTGACCCTCTCTCTCTCTATCTCACTCTCTGTGATTCTCTGTGATTCTCTCTATGTAAAAAAAAAAAAAATACACAAAAAATAAGAACAAAAGCAAAAAGGGAAAGGTATAGGGATACGAGGGGTGAGGGAAAATAACACAACGAAAAGGCGCAAGCGGCAAAAATTTCTTTGATCTTATCGCAAAGCTTCTTGCTCGCATTTTGATCAAAGCAAGTTTTTCCGCCAAAAACACACACACACAGGCAACCCACCAACTGGTCACGAGAGAATCGAGAGTTGTACTTTTTCAGTATTTTGGCCAAAAATCAAGAGAGAGAGAGAGAGAGAGCGGTAGCATCATCATCATCTCTGTTGTTATATTTTTGGTTAAGTGGAAATCAAAACTAAGCCAACATCTCTCTCTATCTCTCATTTTCAGACACAAGCAACGACAGTGCTAACCGTTCTGCTACTGCTTTTGGCCACATTTAGTCAGCTGCCAACTGTGGTTAGCAGTAGCAGCAGTCTCCTGGATGCCGCCAGTCTCCACGACAAGGATCCTTTGCGGGAGACCAGCATGAACATGATCCAACGTAACTACATGGTGATGCACTCGGCCAGTGGCTCTGGGGATCACAGTCGTTCCCTGAAACGCGCCAATTTGGCCAACTCCAGTATCACCTGCAACGATGGCACTCATGCCGGTTTCTATCTGAGGAAACAGCCCAGCTCCAAGAAATGGATCGTCTTTCTTGAAGGCGGCTGGCATTGCTTCGATGTGAGGTCTTGCCGTGCTAGGTGGATGCGTTTGCGGCATCTAATGACCTCCTCACAGTGGCCAGAGACGAGAGATGGTGAGTGTTAACCTTAAATACTATTTAAGACTATCTTTCAAACTAATTAATTTACCTTTTCCCAGTTGGTGGCATCTTATCGCCGCACCCCGAAGAGAATCCCTACTGGCACAATGCTAACCACGTGCTGATCCCCTATTGCAGTAGTGATTCGTGGTCGGGCACGCGAACGGAGCCGGATACCAGTGATCGGGAGAATAGCTGGCGTTTCATGGGAGCTCTAATCCTACGTCAGGTGATCGCTGAACTGATACCCGTTGGCCTAGGTCGTGTGCCAGGTGGAGAACTGCTTCTCGTTGGCTCCTCAGCTGGTGGACTTGGTGTTATGCTGAACTTGGATCGCATACGGGATTTCCTCGTCAACGAAAAGAAACTGCAGGTCACAGTGAGAGGAGTTAGTGATTCTGGTTGGTTTCTTGACAGAGAACCCTATACGCCGGCGGCAGTGGCCTCCAGTGAGGCAGTCCGTCAGGGCTGGAAACTGTGGCAGGGCTTGTTGCCCGAAGAGTGCACCAAAGCTCATCCCACAGAGCCCTGGAGGTGTTACTTCGGCTACAGGCTCTATCCCACATTGAAAAGTAAGTTTGTCTTTTTGATTTTTTGAATGATTTTTTAACCAACTTTTCCTTCTTAACAGCTCCCCTTTTTGTCTTCCAATGGCTTTTCGATGAAGCCCAAATGCGAGCCGATAATGTTGGAGCACCCGTTACCCCCCAGCAATGGAACTATATCCACGAGATGGGTGGCGCTCTCCGATCTTCCCTGGACAATGTAAGCGCTGTGTTTGCCCCCAGTTGCATAGGTCATGCGGTATTATCGAAACGGGATTGGGTCAATATCAAAATCGATGATATATCACTGCCCTCCGCCTTGCGCTGCTGGGAGCATTCGACGCGTCGCAAGCGGCATGACAAGCTAAAACGTTCGACGGAGCCATCGACGGCAGTTTCCCAGTTACCACATGCCAATAACCAAAGACATCAGCGGCACCGTGAGCGGCAGCAGCGCCAGAAACAAAATCAAGTGGCCCAAACTGGAGGGCAGCAAAGGAAGCACAATCACCTGAGCAAGGAGGAGCGCGAGGAGCGGAAGCGTTTGCGTCAAGAGCAGCGGCAAAGGCGGAAACAACGACGTCGCCAGCAGCAGCAGCGGCAGCAGCAGCACAAGAAGGCCAATGGAGGGCAGGAGAATCGGAATAAGAAAAACAACAACAATCCAAAGTCGAATAACGGCAATGATCAGCGAAAACAGCGGCGGCGCCAGCAATTAACACCGGAACAGCGACAGGAGCAACGCAAGAGACGCCGCAAGGAACAGCAGCAGTTAAAAATGCAGCAGGAGCAAGCTGGAGCTGGTGTTGTCCCCGAGATGGGAGTACCCCAGAAAACGCGCTCCTCAAACAACGCCTCGGCGGGCACAAAGTCTAAGAAGCGGCCACGTGTACCACGTGTCCCTGAGAAGTGCGGCCTGCGACTCCTGGAACGTTGCAGTTGGCCGCAGTGCAACCATTCGTGTCCCACATTAACGAATCCCATGACCGGCGAGGAGATGCGTTTTCTAGAGCTTCTCACTGCCTTTGGACTGGACATTGAGGCAGTGGCCGCCGCCTTGGGAGTCGATATGCATACGCTAAATAACATGGAACGCACGGAGTTGGTCAACCTGTTGACGCAGCAGGCCAACTAGACTCACCAAATACCCTGTACATTTTGGGGAGGGGGGGGATCCACAGGAAGGGCAAGCAAAGCGTAGGAGAATGAAGTTAGACCAGAGATCTAAGCCCTATCTGTCTTAGTTAACTTCCCAGAAAACTCCTCACGAAACAATGAACTCTACTCCCACGATTTGTAAGCCAGCCTTTAGGCGATCTAAACTCAAACTCTAACCTATCCATCCTACTGTAAATAATTGGCCTGTATATATATATAGTTTGTAGATGGGGCCGCTCTGTAAATATTGCATAACACCACCACACACCCCCGCACACATCAACACACATTAAGGGAGGAAAACTCCAATTCCTAGAACACACCAAGAAAAAAGAAAAGACATGCGCATAGTACCCAGTAATTAAGCAGAATTTATTTATAATCGTATTCGGATACACACATTCGCACATTCGCACTTAACACACCGACTATATAGTTTTCATTCGCATTCTGCATCCAGCAAATATAATCAAAGATATGAAATGAAATCTGCTTAACGAGAAACTAAACACAAATGCAACCACAAGACTGTTTTTTATGTTTTTTTTTACATATATAAATTTATATAATATGTATATTATATTATATTTTGATATATTGATATATATAGCATATAGATTAGTTGAGATAAATATGCTTAATGAACGTAAATGTTAATGTAATTTATTTGATAATTTATGGCCCGTTTAGGTTTGTAATTTTGTGTAGGATCTAGACTGTTTCAAATGCCCCACGCAAATGGTTTTTTATTTTATTTTTTAAAATATATATTATTATTATTTTTTTTTTGTATACATTGTTTTTGAACCTACCTCAGATCAGTAAGAATGAAATTGATTAAACAGCTGCCTTCACATATCATTGCGTACCTGTGCAACGAAAATCAAATACTTAATACTTAACTTAATACCGCCCGCATTCCGTTAAAGAAAAATCATAATTAAAATAATTAATAAAACAGCACAAAAAATAGAAAAGGAAAAACAAAGAAAAAGAAAAAGAGAAACAGAAGCGAAGTGAACAAATCGAATAATTATAAATTTTAGCAATGTTTGTAAAGAATTTCTAGATAACAAAACAAAACAAAAAAATAAACTAAACTATTTAAAAGCTAGTAACTTATATTAAGCCTGTACAGAACTGGTTGAAGTTTAGCTTTAAGAATTGTTGTACTTAAACTTAGTGATAATCATAAACGTAATGCAATTTGCAAGCTTATTAACTTTTGTTAGCGTTTTTTTTTCAAATCAACTGGTTATCATTTTCAAAAGATGAAATCAACCAATATTTGAGAAAAGGGAAACCAACCAACCAATCAAATAAACCAGCAAAATAATAATATAAACTAAATTGTTTTTATTTCATTTGATTTTTTTATTTTATCTCCTTCGACAGCCTTCACATAAGATTTGGGTACACCAACGATTATCATTGCCGGCACAGCCTAGGTAATTGATTTTGGTGCAGTTTTTAGTCACCTCATTATAGTGCCACATATTATTGTTGGCTGACTTTTTGCACTTCCTTTTCCGGTTATTCCCACCATCTGCTGCCCCACTGCACTTTGGTGTTCCTATGAAAACTTACCCTTGAAAATATCCTCATTTATTTTTATCTTTCATATCTACTTACTGGGCTTGCCCTTGCATCCTGTCACACTAGTTAGGTCCACTAAAAGATACAAAACCATCACTGCAGCCATAAGAATCAATGTTGTATTCCGCATTTTAGCTTAAATCTTTAGTTAATGTTTTACGTTTAAAGAATAAGGTCTTAGCCCTGCTGTCAGGGTCTTTATAAGGCTTGTACTCAATGAATGGTTTTCTCTTTAAACTTTATTTTTAGCCTGCAAGTGTTTTAAGCCTAAACGTGTTTTAAACTTAATAAAGGTTTTTTTTTATTAATCCAAGAACAATTATATATTAAATTTCACTTTGAAAATAGCTTTAACCGAAAGCTTTCCCCGGTAAATAAACAAATTTATATACTTAACTTATTTATTTTTCATTCACGAACTTTCCCTTTGAGAGCTTCTCATAATATCTTTAGATTTCCATATATAGGCATATAGAGTATACTTCCAGTCTTGCTTCGAGTGTACTTATATAATAACAATTTAATGACAACTAATTATTAAATACTTGTGTCAATGCACTTAATTTTAATTAGTGCTTTTAAGCTCAGTTTTGCTAAACCTGCGACCTATATAAAGTTTCTTATTCTGTGATCCAAAATTTACAAACGATTAGAATGAATTTCGTTTTAGTTCTCGTTTTTTTTACTCTTAATATAGCCTTTGCCCGGGGCCAATTAGCTTTATTATGTCGTGGACGACCCCGTAAGTTGAATAAATAAATAATTCATTTAAATTTAAAATTAAAGAATATATTTTTTTTAGCCATTTCAACCTGCACAGGTGGACGAAATGCAGGAGGGTCGATCGGATTGGGGTGTGGTCTTAGAGCCAATTCTGAGATGTGGTACTTCAACAGGGATGCGAGGGAATGCCAAAGGCTTTCGTATCTAGGATGCGGGGGAAATACCAATCGATTTTGTTCACTCTTAAGTTGCCGATTAAGGTGTACCCTTTTATTTGGACGTTAAAATACATTTTAAAGTTATTTTAAAATTAACAACAAAGTGGTTTTGTATTTTTGTTAATAAATATGTTTAGATAATAATCGATTTTGTTAAAGAAACTTTTTTTTGCCCAAGATCATTTCAAAAATGGTCCAAAACAGTAGTTATTTTTAAAGAAAGCCTTACTAAACTAAATTTAAAATGAAACTCTAAAATTAAGCACACGTTATTATTGCAAAAAACAAACAATATTTATAGATCTTTTGTCTGAAATCTAGGACAACCTTTAATATTGTATAATAGAGTTTTACACCTTGTAAGCTAAAAACATATCTTTGTTTATTTTCCTATATAAGCTAAGCAAATCGTAAGATCGAACAGTTGATATCGAAAAACCTTATAGTCATATCTCCAATATGAAGTTTCTTATGATCTTGATGGTTTTGACCTTATATGTGGTCTGTACGCAGGCGCAACGTCATTGCGTAGGACGTCCGGGTATGGGAAAAAATAAAAAAAAAAACAGACTAGATAGAACTGCTGATTGTCATCACCTTGGGTGCGCTTTTTTAAAGTTTTTCAGGTTTGCACTGGCGGCAGGGATGAAGGTAACAGTAACGGACGATTTTGCGGCGTCAGTTCTATGAACGAAATGTGGTACTATAACTCACGGGGCAGGAAGTGTGAGAAGATGAAATATAAAGGCTGCGGTGGAAACGGCAACCGCTACTGCAGCAACCAAGATTGTATTGAAAAATGCAGGCGCTAAATTTCTTAACATCAAATCATTTTTTCTTGACTTTTGATTTGTAAACTTCATAAACACTTCAGAAAAAAATAATAATCTTTTAATAAAAACTATATTATACAAATATGACATGATTTTGCTTTTTGTTTATTTGTTTTTTTTTTAATTTAAGTCCTTAAAAATCTTTAAGTCTTTCATTTTATATGCAAAATTGCTTGTGGTAACCTGAAACAAAAGCTTTTTGTTCAAATATCTTAAGCCTACTAATACTCTAAGATCTGTTTTATTAAATTAACTCAAAATAATTTCCATCGGCTTAAAGTTGTCAGTTTGGAAAACCTGTTTTAAGTACTTTAATTTTCATTGCATATTTTTAGGCATGTTTTCGAAATGCTAATTTATATCGTTATCTTTTTTCTTTTTTTTTTTTGAATTTTTCATTCAAATAACTTAATGCCTATAATACATACGTTGAGTAAAATAATGTACATATAATATAAATACATAACATGATGATAATATGATTAACAAATGTTTATAATGAGAGATCAATATTAAGTTTTGTTAATGCTTAAGGACTCTAGAACGACAGTCCTCTTGTCCAGAGATCGGCGGGGTGCCTTGCTTTACTCTTCCTCTAATTGTTTGGTTGCCCAGGGAAGATGTTAGGCGGTTGGTGTGACCGACTTTCTTTTATTCTTTCCTAAAAGCTTTCCTCCCAATGGGACTACTAACCGACTGCAAGCTTATGAGTTCTGAAACCTTTAGTAAGTTAACTTAAAAATATATACCGATTGGTTAAGCTCAACGATATTGTTCGAAAATATTTCGATTGAATAGAAGTGACTGCAAAAGTACAGAAACAAAAGGTTTAAAATAAAAACTGTGAAACATATTTCGTTGATTATTGTTTAATAAATCCATTGTTTATTCTTAAATCAAAATGTGCCTCCGAAACAAGGTCGATTTGGTTCAATATAAGGCCCAATCCACTACTAGATGAAACAGTTCAAATCGAGCATTCGAAAATAAACCATTAACAATGAAGTTCCTGTTGATCTTATCCAGCCTGGCTCTCTATATAGCCGTTACCTCTGCCCAGGAATGCGATGGACTTCCTTGTAAGTCTAATCTCGAAATACAAAAAATTTACCAAGTTAAATACTAAATTCGATTTAATAAAACAGCTACCCAAAATTGCCTCGGCGGAAAGGACGAAGGATCATCGACTCGAGCTCGTGGAGGACCGCCTTGTGACCCAAAGCCAAATCGCAATATGTGGTACTACAGCTCTGTAACTAGAAAATGCGAAAAGATGAGCTACAAAGGATGTTATGGCAACAGGAATCGCTACTGCACATTGCGAAGCTGTCAAGTTAAATGTATTCGAAACTAAAAAAAATATTCTAAAATATAAAGTACACGACCTGGTAACACGGTTACATATTTAAATAAAATCCTAATAATCCTGAATTGCACTAAATAATTGAGTGGTTTCTATAAAGCTTATATATAACAAGTCGAAACGCTATTGTCGAGTTTCGGGACTATAAGATAACCAACAATTCTTAATAATAATAATAATAATGGTCGGATGTTACCACCTTAAGATACTCTGCCATTTCAAGACTGTACGTGCTTAGTCCCAACATTCTAACTCTAATAGTTCTTTAGATATTAGAAGTTTTATGGTTTATGGACATTAGAGTGGGCTGCTGCAGGATACTGAAATAAACTTGGACTGCGTAGGGACATGGCTATAACTTGGCTACTTTTACTCTTCGAATAACTCGTAAAATATATAGATACGTATTTTATTTAATTTAATTTTAATTTTTTAAAGGTTACATTTTGATGAGAACATTCTGGTTGTCTTACAATGATGACGAAAATAAATTCTTTTTTTCATAATCGGCCCTTTTGTTATATAACACGCGTAGCCTATTGAATGGTGCTTAAGCAACTTATTGAATGATGCTAACAGTAAACATGCAATTGAATCCGTCCATTGAAACAGCCGATCTAAAAGTCTAGTTAAAAGGACCCAAATAATCCTACATAGCCTAAAACAGCTAAAAGCCTTGAAAAGGCTTATCAATAAATCTGTCAAAAGGTTGAACGAATACCCTGTAAGGAGTCAGGCAAAAATCTCAGAAAATACCGATAAAAAGTGCATCAAAATATCAGAAAGAAGCCGGACAAAAGGACTGGAAAATATTTTCAAAGGGATTGTCAAAAAGCCACGAAACCAAAAAGGTTATCAGAAATCCAGGCAATTATAATAATAATATATACTATGTAAACTAAGTAAGTAAACAGCCCGTTCATAGTAGACAGCTCAATGTTCTTGATAAAGTTATTCCATCAGTACTAGCTAAATTATTCAGAAAGCAGCCAAATTTTCAACACTGATTGTTATCGTTATCGTTATCGTTAACCTCACGAAACGTGCGGTTTGTATTAATCATTCCAAAGATAAATAATAACACGCAGACCGGCATGAAATTTGCGATCGAAAGTATCAGCAAGAATTCCGGTCGACTTGGTCAATTACGAATCAAGGATGGAGGACCCGAGTTCAGGACTCCGCTTCTTTTGCAAACGACAAAAGGAGGTAGCATTCCTTGGCTGAGTGCTGATGCTTTCGAGAGCCATGTCAGCCGTAAGCCACAGGTGCTTCAGTTCACATTATCCACCATGGACCAAATGGCCGAGGCCCTGATGCACTGGAATAGAGGAGGAGATCGCGGGCTGACGGACTTCGTGGGATTACCAGGACACTTAAATATTCTTATGTTGCGAGATCCCTGCGAAATAACACCTTCGGGTGGCAATGATAGGGAAATACAGCCACTATTCACGAGAAGGGGAAAGGAATCGCTTACTCCTGAGCGTTACATGGAAATGGTAGCTAGTTTCAAACCAGACATTTATCAGGGACTTTCCGATGCGGACACAAATCTGGAGAGTGCGAAGAAGAGGGTTCAGAAATCGGTAGATAGGACGGAAAAGTTTATGCACTACATCTATGAAAACAGAGGCAAGGTTCAGTCAACTTTGCTAGCTCCAATTGTGGGCGGATACAATACTTTCGCCCGTACGCAGTCCATCAAGCATGCCCAGGAACAACCAGAAGGCAGCTACGGAGGTTACATATTGGAGGGATTCCACACAAATGGTTTGTCGGCCACCACTTTGGACCCCTCCAAATTACTTCCAATTGTTGAGCATTGTGTTAACCAATTGGAGGAGGACAAACCTAGGGTAATGGCAGGTGCCTACACGCCCTTAACAGTTTTAGAGCTTATTCGGCAAGGCATTGATGTGTTCGATACCTCCTATGCCTATTGTGCTTCCCTAAATTTCAAAGCCATGACATTCAGCTTTGTGCAGGATGCAGCGGAGCATGTGGCTTTCTTGGACGTCACAAATGAAAGTATTAAGGAAGATTTTACGCCACTGTTGAGTAACTGCAGTTGCTTGACCTGCCTGAAACACACGCGTGCATATCTTCATCACTTATACAAGACTAACGAGCTATTGGGTCCCATATTACTGATGATGTAAGTTCATTGTCCTAAATGACCAAAACCTCCATTGATTTAAACACCTTTTGCAGTCACAACCTACATCACCAGATGGCCTTTTTTGAGGCAATACGCGAGAGTGTGGCTAACGATTCGTTACCGCAGCTAACGGAGGTCGTAAGGACTCAGAATGGGAACTCCCTGGTTGACTATTCAATTGCTGCCAATACTAAAGTTATTAGCAAGGCCACTATGGACAAAGGATTTGCAGCAGAGGCAGTGTAACATGTCAAACCAATGAAAAAGTAAAGTTAGTTTAGAAAGAAGCCTCTGGTAGTTTATTTAACTTGTTTTATATCGTCAAAAATTGTTCCCAAAATGAATGATCTCGTCCTTCGACAATATTCGTTATTTCCTCGTACACAGCTTTTGGAGCATCGCCAGTGACAGTTCGGATCCTGAAGAGAACTTGCAGTTCTGTTAGATTTTCCATTTTATTGGCATCTGTCAAAAAAGGGCAACAATTTTAACAACTAAAAATTCCCGGGATTGGTTAACTTACCTGGTAGCGGAATGTAACCAGCCAATTCACAAAATCCGACATTGAAGTCGGTCAAATCTTTATTAACGCAGTATTCGGAACGGGAAAAAACGAATACATTAACGTTGCCATTCTTGTTGGGTTTCCGATCTTGCGTGATAAACAGGTTGTGTGGCATATTATTCTGGCACATCCAATTGGCAAGCTTGTAGATTTGGTCCACCTTCTCCGTGACCTGCTCTTCGTTATCACTTTCCTTGAAAAGAATACAAATACCCTCTGTAGGCGCTCTGCGGCTCAAACGGTAGACATAACCGCCGACCAGGTCATCTAAAGGGGCCTGATCAATATACAGGTCATGAGGCAAATGAATTAGGTGAAAATGAAGGTGATTCACAGAGGCCAATGCACCAGGGCTATTATAGCCTATGCGCATGTCCTTGTCATTGATACTTCTCATGAAGGTGATGCAAAACTCGAGCGCCTCACGGGTTATCCGTTGAACATGGTTTTTTTCCACTTCTGGGCAGATCAGAGTATGATATTTTGTAAGGGGGCTCTTATTGATAATCATCTGTACTTCAGGACTGCCATGGGCATCATTAATGGTCATTATCACCTCTTTAGCGTCAACTTTGTTGAAGTTGAACATTTTTGGCTTGAAAGTGGGATTGAGGTTCTCAATGGTTTGTGGACGGCGGCGCTTGAGGGAACGGTCTGCATTGAGCTAAAGAAAAATATCAATAGTAAGCTTTAGGCAATAGGGTGAAGCACACCTCTGTATAGAAGCCCCAGTTTCCTGGTATCGTTCGTCTTTGGGGCGCTTTCTGCAATTGGTAGGAAAACAGTCCAGGAATCTTGTGCAGCTGCTCCCATCGCGTCTTCATGGCGTTGAGGTAGACTTGCGCCTTACCCTCTAGACACATTTCATACTTAACCTTGCTCATGGTTCGTTTGCGGCCTGGCTTCTTCCCTTCCTGACCATCTTTTTGACTACAATCAACGGTTCGGAGGATTGCAAGCGGCAGGAGGGTTGCCACTCTTAGGGAAAACCTGTTGCTAAAGCCGGCAGCAATGAATTTCCGGAATTGGGCATTGAATTTCTGAAAACCATAGCGGCTGATTAGGAAGAAGGCTTTCAAATGTTGTGGAAACATTCCGATTTGATCAGAGTAAAGAAAAACGGAACAAAAATTTACTATAATTTCAAAACCGAGACTATATGACAAGCCATGGCAAACCAGACCGCTCAAACAGCTGTTAGGTTCACGGGCTTGCCAAGTGCCCATAGGTGACATCCTAAATTTAAAGAAATAATTAAAACTTCATTTATTTTTTACTCGTGCAAAAATAAACATTCATATTCAATAGTTCAACTTTGAAAAATTTAATATTTTCGGTAACCCACAGAAAAAAGTTGGTCTACACCTCTGTTTTCTTCAGCCCTGGTTTGTTTTGTGTGGCGGTGGAATCTGTTGAACAAATTATATATCAATAAATGGCCCAGGTTCGAGGTTCCTGTGAAAGTTTCTGTCCCGATGGGGAAGCTAAGATGTAGATTTTTGAGGTAATATCAAGATTTACGTAATGTCATCTATCAATATTTTAGGCGAATCCGCGAAAAGCTTTTGCACTACTACGAGCTAAAAAATGGCCAAAAAAATACTCCAGGTGTCCTGGTAAAGGAGTTTACGAGATCTGCCGCCGATGTCAAAATGCCTCTTCCCAAGGAAATGCGCACGGAAGCGGCATTAACAAAAACAGTGGAATATCTTCTCAAGGAGCAAGTATTATGGATGTTAATACAAAGATTACACTGTTAATCCGAAATTTTACAGCATTATTCTGGACACTCGGAAGCCCTATAACTTGGTTTATGACTTTATCTTTGATCGTTTGAGGGCTGTGCGTCGGGAGATCGTTATACAGATGTACGATGCCCGCCAGAAGATTATTCAACTGGAGCCCATTGTGATGTTCCTGGCTTACAGTCGCTATCGGTTGTGTGGAGAGTCAATAGAAAAGTTTGATCCTAAGATATGTAACCAGCATTTGCAGGAGTGCCTCACTGGAGTGCTGTGTTGTTATGAAGAACTAGATGGGCTGGAACCGTCTAGAGAACCCACAATCCGTGAACTTGACCGACGATGCTTTATCGAATCTTTGTATCAAGTGTTTAATCTGGGTTCCCCAGAGTCCTTTGCACGTGCCCTTTCTTTACCGGGTTATGTGCGTCAGGATGCGACCTTTAAGCTATGCTTTGATATCTGTTTGGCCTTTCAACAAGGAAATTTATACAAAGTGCTTATGGGGTTTCCCCAATTGCCTCATATTCTGTGCGCAGTAGCTACTATCAAGTTGCAGGCGATAAGAAGGTTAATTATCCCATACCCATTTAACCAATGCCAGTAAATTTTAAATTCTTAATGTATTTTTTCAGGAGCTTGTTGCAGATTTTCACGCATGCCTATAACAACAAACAGCTTACAGTGCCGGTTCATTACTTGTTGCGTTTACTGTTAATCGACGGACCGACAGGACTACAGGATCAGTGCCGACATTACAATATAGCTATAACTGCCGACAGAAAAGCTGTACATTTTAATAAGACTGATTTTAATCATAACGTTGAGTTATTGAAACCCCAACACGAACGCTTTGTGGAGTCAAAACTAAAGCGTATTTATCTACCGGAAGTCGTGTTGCTGAAAAAATTTAAATAGTTAGTTATTTAAGGCACTTAAATTGTATATAGTCAGAAACAAAAGTGAAACCATGGTAATTAATTAATCAATTAATTGTTTTGTTATTGCGCATTTTCGCCTTGTAACGGGTGGCAACTCTGCTGGCAGAACAACAAACCTATCGCCTATCGATATATAGAACGCCGTCTTTACAGCTAATAAAAGGTTTTCGCGTTAAGGAGTTAATGAAGTTCAATTATTTTGTAAAAATATGATTACATTTTTGTTGTTTTGAACATTGAGATAATGAAGTTTAGCGACTAAGACCGCATAAACTCCTTGGCATATACACAAAGCGCGCGCAGGGTTGCATTGTGGCGCCTGTCGTCGCCTCCTCAGTCGCACACACACACCAACACACACGCAACGCGAGAGAAAGTACCGAGCCGTTTCTGGAAAATACAATTCCGCCATATTTACCGGCAAAATTCAAAATATTTACACTGCCCGAGGTGAGCGGGATTAAGGTGATCAACCAAATCGAAGATTAAACCGCCGTTGGGCACCAGGAGTGTGGCGGGCGGAGCGAGCGGTACGCATCATTCGCCGTCTGCCGCCGCCGCCGTCTCACAATAAACGATTGGCCTCACAAAGGGGTGGAGGAGACAGCCAGTCCAATATAACAATACCGACTTAAACAAGTACGTTTTTCTTGTGGATCTTCATAATATATATATTACGGATTTTTGGCCAGGTACTAATTGCCCACTTTTTTCGCAGCACGCTCGCACATACAACACACACACACAAGGAAAAGCGCCCACAAATACAAGCAAACAGATACAGACACAGAGACAGGCCGACGGAGCAGCCGCGATGACAAGTCATCATCATCACGTCGGCGTCGGTGGGAACTTCCAGCCGCAGCTGCATCAGCTCCGGGCGCCTATTGTCAAGAACCTGTCGCTGGCGGCGGCTGCGGTACCTTTACCTCTGACCCCCGCCTCCTCGTCGACTTACTTTACGCACGTACACCCGTCAACAGCGACTGCTATTGCTGAGCAAGATCCGTACACAGTTTTGGCGGGAGATCCTATGGTCGAGGAGAATGAGAGCTTCCTGATTGAGGAGATCATTGACGACTATGATGATGAGGCTAATATTGTTGTCGACACCGGAGAATTCTTTGAGCATTATGAATACTATCCGGTAGATCGGTTGGACAGGCTTACTTCGGTCACGGTGGCCACTGCCGATGCACTGCCCCCACCTATCATCATGCAGCAGACCAGCGACGACGAGGAGTACATCGAGGAGGATGGCGATGGACAGCATTTGACCTCTTCGTGCGACGGTGATGGCGATGAGGAGGTCGACCAGGACGATGAGACTTCTGCGCCTGCCATGACAAATGCCTTCGAAATCGCCTCCGAAATGCTGACCACCATCGAGGCCACCAACATCAAGGAGGAACAGCTGGAAAGCGACTTTTATATGAAGGCCACTGAGGATTCGAACAGTTCCAATAACCAGCTGCAGGACTTTAAACTGTTCGGTAGCAGTCGAGTGGAAAGGCCAATAGGAAATTCAGCAGCCAAGCGCTGGAAGCAAACAAAGGTACCAATACGCATTACCCAGGACGAGTTCAATGTAACCTTGTGGTCCTCGTTGAACTCAGAGGATGAAGACGAAGAGGAGGAGTTGGAGGAGCCACCTGGATCAAATGCTACTACATCCGTGACATCCAACTCTGCCTCCCAGAATGAAGGCTCCACCGGCATGCCAAAGCTTATTATTGACGAGCACATGATCAACCATGATGTGCTGAGTGATGGTATCGGCAACGAATACGTCATCCTGCCCGATCCATTCAGTGCCTCCGCTGTGACGGACGTCGAAGAGGTGGTGAATGCATTTATGGGAGATGTTAAGGGCGAGGAAGACAGTCAACCGCTTAGTGAGCAGTTCATTTATGCGGACAACCAGCTGGAAGAGGCATACGGCAACATCGAGCTTATTGAGAATATGCCGAACAATGTGGAATTGATACAGACGCCGGGACCAACTCCTATGCCGGTGGGATTAACGAAGATAAATGGAGGTGTGGCTACTCCGCAAGCGGCCCTTCCAAAATTAGTGTTGCAAAACAGTAGCACCAATGTGCGGCTGAAAAGTGCGAGCAATCAGACCAAGGTGACCAAGAGGCAACTCACGGCAGCGGGTCAGGTGGCGACACCCACTCCACCACCGCCACTGGTAGCTTCCAGTAATCCACCCCGACCTCGACAAACAATTGTGACCAAGTCACCGGCAGCGGTGCCCAATCAAACGCTTGGGAATCCAACGGGATCATCTGGTACAGCCGTTGAGGAAGATGAGGAGCCCAAGTTTCGGTGCACTAATCGCGGCTGCAACAAGGAGTTTCGCAATCACTCTGCCATGCGTAAACATATGCACACACACGGACCACGCGGCCATGTGTGCAACGTCTGCGGCAAGAGCTTCGTGGAGAGCTCGAAGCTGAAGCGCCACCAGCTGGTGCACACAGGCGAGAAACCCTTCGAGTGCACCTTCGAAGGCTGCGGTAAGCGCTTCTCCCTGGACTTCAACCTGCGCACCCATGTCCGGATACATACTGGCGATCGACCCTACCACTGTCCCATAGACGGTTGCTCCAAATGCTTTGCCCAGTCAACAAACCTCAAGTCTCACATGCTGACGCACACGAAGCCCAAAAGGAAGTGGCCCCGGGCGCCGCAGGTGAACAACAATAAAACACCGTTGGTGGCCAGATATGGTCGCCTGGAGTTTGGCGAGGATCCGCGTCTCGTATACGTTGAGCAGAATGAGGAGATGGCGTCGGTGCTGCTGGATGGCACGACCCCCACATCCTAACTAGTAGTGCGCATTAATGTGTCGGAGGTATTGGCTTGAGATGAATGATAGCACTTTCTGCTCGAGATGGCCAGATTGTACAGTTAGTTGTAGCCAGTTTTTATCTGTATTCGTAATCTAATGAGCGGAGCGGCAGGATAAGATAATCACGTGGTGAACACATCTGCTTGCCTTCCGCTCTCTAAGTAATTAGTCTAAGATCTTTCTCTAACAAAATAGGATTGCAGTGCAAAGGAAGTTAGATGGTAACCGTTGATTTATTTCATGCATGGATGGAAAACGGATATAAAGCAGTTCTAAGAGTTTAACTTGTAGCTTAGACTAAGTCTGTCCCCCAAAACCGAAACGCGAGTCCCGAAGAACTCAGCCAAACTGCCCCTTAAACCTCCCTAAAATTCGATCTGATCCTAGCCGTGTGCGATCTACACTCGAATAACAAAACGCGCACGTTTTTTTCTACGAAAACTAAAAAATACGCAAAACTAGTTCTACCATATTCAGTACGCATACACCATAGGCTATCTATATATTTTTGTAATGAATTGTAACACTTAGAGCATTGAAGTATGGATCTAGCAAGTTCAACGTCTGGTTGACGCTAACAAATAATTCACAAATGGAAGCACATCAGTTAAGTCGGAATAAACAAGGGAATACCTCTTCAAAATTAAACAAAAATAAACCAGGAAAACAATGCAAAATTATTGTGTTTTTATCACTTTTGAACTATTTTGCAGTGCGATTGTGTAAGCGTTACATTTATTTACTGATTTTTTACGTGTAACTACAGCTAGATAACTACATTAAACGGTGAGGCAGCTACTGATGGACAGCCGTGGGGTGTTGTCCACTTCAGATTCGGATCAGCAGGCGATTAGATCGACCCATTGGACATGTGTCGCCTATATATTCGTTCCATCGTTTGATTGCGGTGTATAAACGCGTGCGGATTAGATAAAGCTTCGCGGCGAGGTATAGATACGCGGATATTTTGGATATTGGAACGGAGAGCTATACGCACGAGTATGCTGGGTGGCCAATCATGTGACCTTGAGACCCTGTCCTTGAACTCCGGGAATAATATCAGCGATGGAGGCACTGGTGGGTCCTATTAATCCAGCCAGGGAGAGCAAAACGGAGTAGTTGAAGTACCAGAACACGCAGAAGAGCACCATAAATATGACGTCTGCAAGTAACGAGAGCAATAATAACCCAGATAAGCGTGAAAATTCTCTTAACACATGACGAATTCCCCGGATATTCCCAAGTTTCTTCGAGGGTTTGGTATTTGATCAGTAAATAAAACTTACGTATCGTTATCCGCTCCCACTTCTCAACCATATACAGCTCGGTGACCTGCAAGTTAATAGAGTTAGTATATTTAAGAATCATGGGGACACAGCTTCTCTCAATTGAAATATATGCGTAATTTGTATGCCCATTACGCACCATGAGGTAACGAAACCACCAATAACTCGTGAATTCTACGATGTTGTCCAGCATTGCGGGTTCTGAATCGATTAAAAACAGCAAAACGAGGGTAAACAATAGGGGTGCAGCGCGTTTAATTTTTTAATTCCTCCCACTGGCTTTGTACTAACTTAAACGGTGATAATCGATATTATATCGAAAAGGCCAGTGTTCGGCAATGCTGGAACAGTGAAAGTATCTCGGATGTTAATATTGAACTAATACAAAACAAAAATAATATCATTAAAATTCATTAATTATATAAAACAAAAATGACAAAATTCTAATTTAGTTTTTGCATTAAACTTCAGTACTAAATTTATATTTGACCAAGCTGACAACCCCAGTTGCAATCAGCTGTTTCTTAGACCCCGCTAAAAGTGCTTACAAACAATTGTGAAACTAAAGTATTTTCAAAAATGTCAACATTTGTGGTTAAATTATTTCAGCGTTTCCAGCTGTCACACAGTCAAACTGACACTAAACATTTCATTTATGTCCGGACGAATTGGAAGGACGATGAGGCGGAGTTTGACTTTCTGTCCACTTCTGATAATCAAAATTACCGCGGATATCTTAAATACGAGGAACTAAAAAATGCAGCCAGTGAATTGGAGCAATCCTATGATGACTTCTTTGCGGAATGCAAAAACGCCATGACCACGCATATGGGACTTCAAGGATTCGACTATGAACTTTCACTGGAGAAAAGTGAGCGACCTGCCTTTAAAATGTACAAATGCAAAGGATATGAGACACTGTATCTCGAAGTTCCATTGAAGAAAGTGTCAAATTGTTATCAGTTAATCGATGCAGCCCTCGAATCTGGTCAACAAAAGACTCAAACAGGTCCAACCCATGAATCTGATGTCCGGAAAACATCTTTTGCTGAATATGAAAATTATGTGAAGGACTCAAAGTTAAAAGAGGAGCAACTGCTTAAGAAATTCCAAATGCTGATAAACAGCAAGAAGGCGTATATCAGGGATTTAGAAATTCAGTTGGAAGAGCTATCAAAAAATAACTCAAAAGGGCAAAGAAATCGAAGGATTTCATCTGATGAAGAGGAAGAAGTGTATGGAGCATCTACTCAGGTTATGAATATAAATTATGACTCCGATTAAGACGCTAAGTATTATAAAAAAAAAACACATAAATATCCGGTACGTGCTTGAAATGTATTTCATTTTTGTTTTAATTTTTTCTTTTCCATCGTTTGATTTATAAAATAAATTAGCTTTATAATGTATGTATATATGTATAAATAAACAACAAATAGACTTGTAACGTAATACATTAAATTACCATTAATATGTGTAGACGTGGCTTATAATTAGACCAACAGAAGATCGCTTTTTGGAATATAATCAATAGTTATCGTTGCAGTTTTGTAAAAATTAAAAGCATTTTACATAATGTGATAATATGTATCAGCTATTATATAGACGTTATGCATAAGTATGTTAGGGGGTGTGTATAACATTTGAAAGAGTAAACAATTAGAGCCGATGATAGTGCTGGCGGAGATCACTCAGAGGGCGAGCAGATCTTCCTCGGCGCCCGGTTTCTTTGGTGTCTTTCGTAAGCTATCGGCACCTGCCGATCCTGTCGTGGCACTGGCGGCGGAGTTCGATGCATTGATCGTTGGAAGATTTTCGGCGGCAGCGGCACGCTCTTCTAGGAATTTGTCAAACTCCGAGCTGGTCAGTTCCTCAATACCCTCGATGTGCTGTAGTGGATACAAATTCTCATTAGTCATGTTATATATATTTATATCTGTATTTCAGTGACAAAAGCAAATAAGCAAAGAAAGATTTATGTAAATCGAGAAACATAAGCCGAGTGCATGGTAAGATGAGCTTAGGAAAAGACAAAATGCGATTCGTATGGCTACTTACTGAGCTGCCCAACCACGCCTCCATCTCGTCGATCTCATTCTCTTTCGTCGACTGTATGTGGGCGGCGCCAACCGAACAACATAACGAAACGAAAACCAAACGCAATTTGCATAAAACAAAAGAACCAAAAGATTTTTCAAATTTAAATACAAAAGTGTAAATCAACGGCCAAAACGAGGTCAATAAGTAAGGGAACAAATTGAACGCCATTAGTTAGACGGGCTGCCCTGCGGCTAATTACTCACTTTACTTACCACCGGCGGATCGCCGGCTGAGCGTTGTCCTTGCTGTAGCTGGTTCTGTTTATAAGGCGATGTGGTGGCCGTCACACTTCCTGCAGCAGCGTCCACGGAGGGAATATCCCTTAGCAAATCGGATTTGCTAAAAAAAAAACATTATATTGACTTGATGTATACAATTTAAATTCAGTCTATATTCACTGGTTGCCATCGGTGCGCGACTGCGCCAGCATATCGAACTCATCAGCAGGTCGTGTTCCTCTTTGGGTCTGAATTGGTGCTGCCCCACCACCCAGACTAAGCTGGCCCAAATTCTGCGGCAGTTGGGCGGCCTCCTCGCTGCTTTCGATTAGATCGATCAGAAGCTGGTCACTTTGCGGCGTATTGCTCACGGCAGTAGTTGTGTTGGGCGGCGGTGGTAGCGTGGCCAATGTGGTGGCTCCTGCTCCAACGCCAGGCAGACCCATTGCAGCGCCCAGCACTGCTGAGGGCGAAGTGACAGCAGCTCCTTGTCCCTGTGAGCGATTCTTCTCATAACGCTGATGACGTAAAAATACATTGTTCAGCTCGTCATTTATGCGCAGAAACTCTGCGGTGAGCTCGTCGTCTTGGACACGTCCAATCAGATCCACGATACGAGACTGCATCTCCTTGCAGGTGGAGGTCAGCTCGTTGAGTAGGGCATAGTCGTCGGGCGACTCCTGGCCGGGCTTTAGAACACTGAGCATCTCGCTTAGGATGGACATGTTGTTGCTAACGATCTCCAGTTCGGAACGCAGTTTAGCGGCTTGGTCAGGCGTCAAATGCAAAGGCCCTGTGTTTGGTGGAGCAGCGGCTGCAGCAGCAGCGGCGGCAGCGGCAGCCATGTGTTGAGGAGAAATCGTGTGCTGCTGGGCAGCCACCAACTGAGGAGGCAACTCGGGAACGCTCTGAATTAGGGACAAACGGAATATAAATAAAAATAAATCTAACTCATCTTTTACTACTAACCCTCTGTGGAGTGTAAATAGGAGCCATGGCATCTAGATCGTTGGCTGGAAATTCGATGCCTTTGTTTTTGAGTTCCATGTACATCTGGGTGACTCCATTAAGATCTGGCTGGTTCTTGAACGCATCCGCCCAGATCTGTATCAGACTAAGAACCTTTTCCTGCATGGCAGCTGGTGGATCGTTCTTGGGCCCAATTAGCTTGACTAACTCATTTATAAAATCCTTCTGGGCAACAAGGACATGAAAAGCCTTGCCGCAGTTCTTGACGCACGTCTCCAGGACGGTCAAAGTGTACATAACCACCTGGTTGTTCTTGCCGGCATTCTGTGAAAGACGTTTGCGAATGGCACGCATGGCATCACGAGCAGTATCTGAGGATTCATTTATCATGTCACAAATCTCCATGTTGGCCGCCCAGTTCTCCGAGGCCAAGTTGCCATCAGTGGCAGCCTCTAAAAAAGTAGAATTAAAATTTAAATACAAAAAACAAAAGTTCGCCATTATTTAATTTTATTTATAATATTATTTTCATAAGATCCGTATCCGTATTATTTATAGCTTGAAGTAGGGCTTATTTAAATAGCTTTCATCTAAATAAAATCAAATATATTCTGATTAAATATAAAAAGACAATAAAGTTCTAAGCATTATGAAAACATAAAATTGAAGCTAGCCTTAATAATTAGCATAAATAATAAGTAATTACTAATAAAAAAAAAAATAAAAGAATAAAATTAAAATTCGAAAAGTCTCCAATTAGTCTGTGACCATTAAAAATGTTCAAAAAAATCATATTTAATAAATGTTTCAGTTGTTGATCTGAAAGATCCAATTATTTTGATCGATTATCTCATTATCTGTGCGAGGAAAGGTAATCATTTGCATGCCTTTGTTTATTTTCATGAGCAGCTGGAATTGAGTTTTAAAACAGGTGGGTGAGTGCTATATTTCTGTATAAGTTCATACATATGTGTGTAAATACAAACGTATAATTTAAGCTCTTCCGAGTGCAGTGACTTGCTGATATTAAAAAAGCGCAAACAAAGGCTGAAATTCAACTCGCCTAAGTCCAAACAAATGCAAGCGGGCAAAATGCATTTCTTGAATATCGGATATCGTATAACAGTTATCAAGATATATGAGAAATTAAAGCGGTTAAGCGAAACGGAAAAGCTAGCCGCAGGGTAATAACAAAATATGAGCAAATAAAAAAAAATATGAAGCAACAAATTAGTATACAAATGCAGGTGACTGCGCTTGTGTGAGTCAGACTGTATAAATGGGTGTTTGTGTGTAGCGGCAAATGAAAATTATGGCGAAAATGCGAGGCAAAGGGGAACACAAAATAAATTAACACATTTTTTTATGTAACCTAGCGGCCAAAGGCAACGATGACTAATTGCCATTACTACGGTTGGAAAAAGGGGGAGGAAGTGGGCAAAAAGCAATCAAACAAAACAAGAGCGCATCAATAACAATACCGAAATGACAGAGTGTACATATGTGTTTGTGTGCGTGTTGAAGGTGAGGAATTCCATAAAAAAAACATACTAACAAACATTTATCTGCTTTCACTCCTGCCTATTGGAATCGCTCACCCACATAGGGGTTAATCTTATCAGAAAGACACCGTTGCCACCGCCTTTGAAATCAAATCAGACTATTTTGCGTTGATAACCGCTTTACCATAGAAATAGTGTGGCAACAACAAATCTCTTTCAGTATATAGATATGTGTGTGTGCGTATGTGTATGTAAAACCCACAATGACTGCAACAAACAACAAAACATACGAAGAAAGTTGTTGTGTGAAAATTCAATTTTCCAATAGCACTGTCTGATTGGCATTCGCATGAAACGTCTTCTAATCGGACAAGTTGGACATGTAAATGCGCAAAAATCAACGCATATGCGTTGTATTTGAGGAAAATGCTACGATTTAACCATATATACACACACCCCCGCATCCGGTGGGCGGTTTTTTTTTTGGATGGGGGAATGGCAACTTACCTATGCGCTGGCCAACTGGTGTGGAGAAAACATTTCCCAAAGCGCCAACGTTAAAGAATGAAGCCATTGTGGATCAGATCAGTTTCTTGCTGTTTTTCTCCGTCAGTTTGCGATGCGGTTAAAATTTTCCTTTATTTACTTTTTGTCGCCTCACCTCACCTCACCTGAATCTATAGCAGTGTGCCCATGCCTAGACTCTAAAAAAAATACTGCTTAAAAGTGTACTAATACAAAACATAAACTCTAAATTTTTCGTCAAGGCAATAATAATTTAAGATAATAGTATTATCGTTACCTGTTATGCTCCATAAAATAATATAATTTTAACAAAAAAGTAATAAACGCTGTTACTAAAATGAACTGAAATTGATTGAGTGAATTGTTCAAAAACAGTGACTCTATGCTATAGTCGCAACCCACCGTGACTGTAACTGATATGTACAATGCAGCCCTGGCGTTTTAAGACTATACCCTGGCAACCCTCCTCTGTAAAAGTGGGAAAAAACAGAGAATTTTATTTTCAATTGGACAATTCGCAACGTAAACAGCCGGAAAATGTCGCGACAAGCCTCTCGTTTGGACGCCAAGAAAGTGGTAAGTTGATGAACCGGAACACTACGTGGAAGATGGGTAACGTTAGCTAAAGATAGTTAGATCTAGTTGTAAGGTTAGTTTTTGCATAGAGCCTAAGAACGAATCTTTGACGTGCCACCCACCCTCAAAATCGGCTTCATTCGCTTTTCCAGTAAGTGTGTGTTGAGTGCTTGAGGTTGAGACACAACAGACAGGCACAAATCGCCGAGCAATCGGGCTATGGAAAACCATTTCAGCACCACCAGCCGACCCTCAGCCACGCCCAGAATGAGCACCACCGCCTCCGCCGTAGCTGCCAACAGCAACAGTAATAGCAGCAACAACAACAACAGCGGAACAGCCGGTAACAATGTTAATATAAACACGGCAGCCGGAGGAGCCACAACTGCTGCTACAGCCACCGCAGCTGCCCAACCCATTCAAGTGATTCCAATGCCAATGCTCCCTACTGGAGCGGCGCAAATCATAATTGGCCAGCAGGCCCAGGGCCAGACGGCTGCCACGGGTCTGCAACCTCAGTTGATACCTCTACAGGCCAATCAGATCATGCTACAGGCCGCTCAGCAGCAACCTCAGATGCAGGTGATGCAACTGCCCGATGGACAAACCATATTCTATCAGACGCCGACCATTGCCGCCTTGGATCCGAATGCAGCGGCTACCGCTGCGGCTGCTATGGCCGCCCAGCCCACGCCCCACTACCTCAATATCAATGGGCAACTGGTGCAAATCACTCCAGCGGCAAGTGCTAATCAGGCGGCTCCTGCCGCTGGTCAGCAAATCATCATGGTGCCGCAGACGGCTATGGCTGCGGTGAATGCAGCAGCTGCCAATGCTGGAGTGGGTGCCGGAGTAGGCACAGTGGTCACCCAACAGCAGCAGCAGCAGCATCAGCAGGTTCAATCTCAAACCCAAAACCAGCAGCAGCAACAACAACATACGGCGGCGGCGGCGGCAGCCAGCGCTGCGGCCAATAATATAAGCGCCGATGTAAGCACAAGTACCACTGGGACCAATACAAACAGCGAGGATGAGAGCTCTAAAGGCGAGGCGGATGAGGAGCCGCTCTACGTCAATGCCAAGCAGTACAAACGCATTCTCATTCGACGGCAGGCCAGGGCCAAACTGGAGTCGCGCATTCCCAAGGAGCGTTGCAAGTACCTGCACGAATCTCGTCATCGGCACGCCATGAATCGGGCACGGGGCGAAGGCGGTCGCTTCCATTCGGCTCAGGAGAAGGGCGATCAGGATTCATCCGGTCCGGATGGGGGCAGCATGCCAATGGCCCCCAGTGGCGGCGTAACCCTCAGCCGAGGAACGGCAAGAGCTCCACCGAAACTGATCGCCCCTCACCAAACGCCAAGCATTACCATAACGGCGATCAAGTCGGAATAGCATATGCGTAGCTGTAGATATAAACTAGACTAGTTCGTAGTTAATAGTGCTAAGTCAATCACTATGTGTCCCCCTCATGTCAATAATCACACCACTTTAAACGTCTCAAATATTTCGGTTCAAAGTCGTACTTATTCATTTCGAGTATCCAGACTTGTTCCCATTTTCTGTTTTCGAAATAATATTTTATTGTTAAATTTCAATATTAGCAATTACTTAAGACAGAAAGTCTAAAGAATTAAATTTACAATTTCAAAATTTGTTGAATATTATTGATTGCACATATAAAGATTATTTGAAATGTGTAAATATTTTGATAGGTATATAATTTCATTCACAGTTAATATTTAAAATATGATTAGTATTGATTTCATACAGTATTTCGAAATGGAATTGGGAACAAGTCTTAAGTCTCTGAAATCAAAGATTAATTATAGAAAATCCCAAAAATGCAATAGTATATAATAAATACGCAGAATGTTTTATAAACTAAAATCAAATTGTTTTCTGTCAAAGCTTTTAATGGCTTAACGTTCCCATAAAAGTTTATATTATTATGGTTCTGGATTGATTTTTATTCGCTGTTTTTCTTCCCTCTTTTTGTACAAAAAAAAAACAAAACACAGAACTCGGAGTTCCTGACACTCACCTATGGAGCCCTTGTCACCCAGATGTTGCGCGACTTCGAGAACGCCGAGGACGTGAACAAGCAGCTGGAGCGGATCGGCTACAATATGGGCATGCGCCTGATCGAGGACTTTCTTGCCAGGACCTCGGCACCTCGCTGTCTGGAGATGCGCGAGACGGCCGATCGTGTCCAGCAAGCATTCCGTATCTACCTGAACATCCAGCCAACGATATCGAATTGGTCGGCAGCCTCCGATGAGTTCTCTCTGCTGTTCGACAGCAATCCGCTGACAGAGTTCGTGGAGCTGCCGCCGGATCTAACCAATCTGCGCTACAGTGCCATACTCAGCGGCTGCATCCGCGGTGCTCTGGAGATGGTGCAGCTAGAGGTGCAATGCTGGTTCGTGCAGGCAAGTTTTGTGTGGAATACTCTTACGCTTTTTATTGTTGGCTAATAGTCTTTTGTGTTTTGTGTGTGCGCTTTGTGTTTTACTGGGTGTCCTTTGCAGGATCAACTGAAGGGCGACAATGTGACGGAACTGCGCGTTAAGTTCGTGCGGCGTCTAGAGGAGGTCATACCAGCTGGCGAGGATTAGAAAATAAGTGTGGATCAGTGGATCAGAGCGCGTACTATGAGTTTCTTTAGGGGGTCAATAAAAGCACATTCTGTATAGAATTTAGCATCTAGTATTCTGCGTTTGTCGGTTTCCAAACTTCAGTCCACATTCCGGGGCAAAAGCGACAGCAATAGCAAAATGAGCAACAGCAGCAGGAGCAGGAGCAACAAGCAACAACCACAGGAGCGACAGCGGCAACAGCAATATTGGAGCAATAAGAATCGTTACAACAATTTTAGTTTTATGTTTTATTCGACTTTATACAGATGATTTAACTTTGGGTATATAAGAAAACAGTGAAAAATATTTATCTGTTCGTTCACATTTGGCATGATATAAAGCGTCATAAACTCGTTAAAAAAACACAAAAGTATTCTGTTATTTTTGATACAACTTAACAAATTAACCACCCATAATAATTACGTCCCTAAAGGCATAGACCGCTTAGGATCTGGGGTAGTAATAAATTATAATTGTTAGTTTTAGATAAACTCAAAGATATTTAACGTGTTAAATATTAAAAAAAGATGTACAAAACATGAAAGAGCTTTAGATTAAAGGGAGCTGACGGCATTTTATCAACTGTCTATTCGTACATATGTATTAATTGGCCATATACAACAATAGCGGCCATGTTTTTCTGTCCGATAAGACCGGCATATCTTCGTACAATGGATTTATGGCAATGTTTCGTCTATCGCCGACAGTTTGCAAAAAGCTCTCTATGTGTTGACCGGAAGCTGCTTTGGGTTTCTAGATAAGTTTTTGTTTATATCGATAATATTAGGTTTAGGGTAACTTTTGTAATGTATATTGTAGCGCGGCCAGCCTCCGCTGGGATCACATATGGTAGAATCATTTCGTTTAAATGCACTTTGACAATTTGTTTAATTTTTTGGTTTCTTTCCGGTTCTTATGGGAAATACTTTTAACAGGCAATACTTGATTGATTACATGATGGATGGGATTCTCTAGGCTTTTGATTTGGTTTTGTAGGTTTCTTAGGGTTTCGGGATTAGTGTACATAAGTAGTTCTTAGTTTAGTTCTGCTGTGGACAAAGCATTAGGTTCAGATTCCGGCGCGTCAGAACTTTGCGGAGCGCTTGCAGCGTTTTAATGCAGATCACCACGCAGCAGCCGTTGGCCACGCCCTCCGCCGGACTCTTGCACGTGCAGGCGTTACCCTTGACGGCGGCAGCGGGAACTGTAGGAGCGCTACTGATAATGGGCTGCTCCTGTACTTTTCCCTGCCCAGAGCAACAGCCTGAAGCCGAAGTAGAAGGAGGTGGTGGTGGTGGTGGTTTCTCTTTACCAGAGCAGCAGCCCCCCGAGGGCGCAACTGTAGTACCTCCACTGCCGCAACAACCGACAGAGGAAGGAGCACTTGGCTGGGCACAACCGCAGCCAGTTTTTACGGGCTCTGGAGCCTTTCGTTCTCCACAGCAGCCACCAGCAGAAGATACTGGCTTGGCGGCACCACCTCCGCAGCAACCGCCACCGCCGCCGGAGGAGCCACCGCTACCCATGGAAGCAAGGTTTTGCAGCAGCAAAGCAACATCCTCGATGTTCTGGTTCATTTCCGCCTCGCGTTTACTCACTTTTTTGACGGGTGCTACGCTGCCGCAGATGCGTTTGCCACCGCTGGAATTCATGGTTGTAGTTGTAGTCGTCCTGGTGGCCTTTTGAGCAGCTGCAGCACCACAGTCGCCTCCATGACAGCTCTTGGACTGATCGCACTTACAGTTGGTGCAATTGCAGATGCCCGCATCTGCTGTGATTTGCTTAAGGGTGGGCTTGTTGTCCCGGATGTCCAGTTCTACCAAGCCAGAGGCATCACTGGGCACCTGGGACGCCTGATGGAGTGTAGCCTGCAAAAGGGCGCTGTTGTTGTCGATGGTCATGAGGATGTCATTTAGCAGCGACTCCGTTTCCATGTCCTCCTCATTGTCGAAACTGTCCTGCTTCAGCAGTTCTTCGATATTTTGCTGATTTAACTCTAAGGTGGGTGTGGGCAGCGAAGGCTCCACTGTAGAGTCCACATCCATTGTCTCCGCATGCGGATCTCCCATGTTGCCGCTTACAGCATTACCGAAAGTGGGCTTAAGGTCCACGAAACTGGGCATCTCAGTGGGCAGAGCGACGCAGGCATCGGTGAGCGGAGCCATGGGAATGATGGGTTTGGAGACAAGAACACCAGCGTCAATCCACGGACTAGGTATTTCCTCTTCGGCGGCGTAAGAAAGCTGATAAGCCTGCGAAGTTTCCGGCAGGATCAGAGGTGCGTCGTTTTGGAGGACAAACACATTGGATAACTGATCCTGTTGCGTTAGCGTATGCAGCACCACTCCGCTGTCAGTGCTGGTGGTTTCTGAACAATGACTGCCTGGATTTAACACCATCATATCCGCTTGCTCCCCTTTAAGGAAATCCTCTTCCTCCTGTTGTTCTAACTGGGGATCCTTTTGCTCCTGATCCTTAAACTTGTTTTGTTGCGACTTTAGTGGCCGCTTCTTGCGGCCCTTGTTAAGAACCTGCCGCTGGTGCGTCTTCTTGTGGGATTTTAAACTGTGCGAGGTGCTGAACGACTTTTGGCAGCTATCTTCCTGGCATGGATACGGTTTCTCGCCTGTGTGCGTCCGCCGGTGGGTCTTTAAGTGGTGCGAAGCAGTAAAAGCCTTGCCGCAGTCGTCCTCTGGACACTTGTAGGGCCGCTCCTGTGTGTGTGTTCTCATATGCTTCTTCAGGTCGCTCAGAGTCGTGAAGCACTTCTGGCACAGCTCACAGTTGAACGTTTCACCATTGTGCAGGCGCAAGTGGGCGTGCAATCTGTTGGGTTGATCAGACGACGTAGATTGGTGATTAATAAACCCTGCAGCCATTGGTCTATTCCGGTGGCTATCAACCTATCAGTCCGTCGGAATGGATGATTATTGCTCACCTGTAGCGCGTGTTGAACGCCTTATCACAGCCGGTCACCTCGCATTCATAGGGCTTTACCTTTGTGTGGACACGGACGTGGATCTTCAGGCTGTAGGATGTGAGGAAGGCCTTGTGGCATCCATCTTCCGGACATTTAAAGCTGTAGTCACCTTAAAGTGTAAATAAATAAATATAAATATTTACATTTTTAAAATAATTATATATTAAAATTAACCTTGGTCCTCATATTTGTACAAATCATAACAAAAAATGCTTTTTAGGGAAAGTGCAATGGAAAAATTACATTTTATTTATAGTCCCTAGGTGCTTATGACCCCCTTTCAGATTTCGGTACGTCGCTGATATGCCAGTGTTGCAAAACACTTAACGATCATCAGCTGTTTGTCAGGGATTGCTTTTTGAACACAGCACACAAAGTTTTCTGCGAAGGTTTGGGGATTTTGAAATATTCAAATAAAAAAAATTTTGTCCATAAGCTGATTTAAAGCGTAAGTCAAAATTTTGTTTGTACAAAAAAAGCCGTTCGCGATCTAATAGAGAAGTAACATGAACTTGCAGACGAAGCTTGCCAAACACCAAGTAATAATAATTTATTTATTCATCTGAAGCATTGTGTATATTTTTTTAAATTTTAAAATGATAGTACAACGAGAACAAGTAAGGTTAGTTAATCCCAACAGGAGTTCATAATTGAGCATAAGAACGAGAGAAATTTCGAGAGAGAAAGATATGTAACTCCAGCGATGAGTTTATTGCGAGGGATTGCGAAATGAATTGCCAACCTGTAATGCTTCTAAATGCGACTGCTGAGGAACTGAATCTGACGCAATCCCAGACTCTCAATGTAATAAATCTAATCGAGAATTCTTTGAGGGGCCAAGCCAAGTATCATTTTGAGCGGCGTGGAAGAAAGTTATCGTAGAGATACACAATTGAAAGTGCTCAGAACTCACATAAGTGTACTTAATAACTTAATAATTCTTTTTAATGTATAAAAACACTCACCCGTGTGCGTCTTTAAATGCGTTCGCAGGTTTCCAATCGTACTATAGCTGCGATAACAGTTCTCATAGTTGCATCTATAGCGACTGAGAGCCTCATCCGAGCTCTAAATCGCAAAAGAAAACAATTCTCTTAGATATTTTCAATGGAATAGTTTAGAGACTAACAAATGTATGATTTTTGGATTGAAATAATTATGATCAGATGAATCATGCAAAATCTTTCAAGATGATATGTTAGGGGACAGCCATTAAGTGTTCGAATTAAGCAACACTACGCACCACGAGATGGTTAACAAAACTTGATTACACAGGCCTACAGCGGAATCGCAGGAATCGGAATCTCCACTAACACTAGGATTAGGATGGCGAGTCGCTACAAAAAGCATTAGGCAACGTAAGGCACGTTTAACATTTGGCTAGCGGATGATGATTGGGTGCTGGTACCTCGTACGCCAATGCCATGAGTTGGTCATTCTCATCCTGCCTTCCCTCATCGTCATCAACATCTTGGTGTAGAACGCCCGGTTGAATACAGTGAGCCAGCTGCTCGTCCTCGTCCGGTTCATTGGGATCATACTCATCTAAATAGCTGGAAGATCAGAACGAGTGGGGGAAAGACCAACGGAGGCATTTATCGAATTTGCAGTTGGAAACAAACAGAAAAATCGCATCGGACGGGGTATTTATTCCACCCGATTTGTGTGTCAGTGGGCCGTTAAGATCTTTGTATATAATTATAAACGCAACAAGTATGTGTACAGTATATATATATACATAGTTATATACAAAATACACAGATTGCGATTAGTAGGGGTTAGAGAGTCAGCAAGAAGATCAATAGCAAACAATGTTAGAAAGGCGACAAAAATAACAATCTCTGGAGACTTTTCAGTCCTTATTAATCAGATTAATTAATATTTAATGTTGTCATGGTCAAAACACAACAAATGCCAAAATAGCAGACGGCAACCGAAACTATAAAGAAAAGCCGAGGGAAATGGTACAACAAGTGCGTGGGTGCTCTGAGACGGCTGGCAGGCTGACTGACGGGCAGCGTGCCACCCCCCAAGACCCTTCCCCCTCTATACGGGCTCACCCATCGAGATGCCCCCTTCTAATCGCAGGAGTGCTGAAAAATGAGAAATATGATTGAGGGAACACTACTCATGGCGATAAAAATAGCAGAAAGGCGTCGTCGGTGAAGAAGGAGGACGGTGGGTGGAAGGCGCGGAGAGCAAAACAACACACAAGGCACGGATGAAAAATTGAAAAATTATTGTACCGCAGAATAATGAACAAACAAGGAGCAACAACAAAGTAGAAAAGAGAGGACTAACCTCATCACAACAGATCATTTGGACTTAGGAAATGGCAAATTTAGTTTATGACTATTTTAATACTTTATGGGGGGCCATAATCAATTAACAGTTTACTATTTATTTAATATTTTTAGCAAGACTAACTAAACTGTAGTCTTTGCATTACCCTTCAATTCTAATCAGTTAGTGTGATATATCATATCTATTGAAATTGAAGTAAGCATGGTGAAAACCCTTCAGCTTTCATGACTTTATCACTAAATTAGTTACTCACTTTCCGGTGAACAGATTTATTTTCTATAACATTCCCTATCAGCAATACATGTTGTTTAACTTATTGTAGAGAACAAAGCCTTAAGGCGTATATACGATCTTTAACCTTTTGGAAAATACTAGAATAAACTTTTAGAGAAAACTTTTTATGGTGCCAAATCAAACTTTTTAAGGAAAACAATCTAAGGGGAGAATTTCACAATAGCAGCGCAACAATTTGGTATTTTCTTTTTAAAAACCGGCTTCTTTACACCAAGTGTGAATGAGTTTGGGAAAAATTTCGACCGCCTCGTCTCCGCCTAACACATTGTACAAATATACATCTTTCTATAGGATCTATACATTCTGGTCGGCGATTTGGGGTTGGGGGTAGAAATCTAAATGCGTTCATCGGCGCAACTATTTTTAGCCCAAACAAATGATTTCGATACAATCATCTACCGAAGAGGAGGCTTAGAGCATGCAACCATTATGATGCCCATTGCTACACGACAATATGAGTGTCCAAAACTAGGGAACATGCTAGTCGAGTCGATGATTGCCGTTGGAGAATGCAGCAGGCTGAGAACACAAATCAGGCAATTAGCAAACAACTTGCAGCGATTCGGACACCGCGTTGTAATAAGTGGACATTGGAATGGTCGAAATTTGCCAACAAATTCTCGACAAGGAAGAAAATATGAAAATTCGATTTTTTTTGCCTTCAGGGGAGCCAAACAAAAAGTGAAATAAAATAAAAAAAACCGGACACGTCACGATAGACGCTAGGCAAATGTTTTCCTTTTTTTCTCTCTCGCCCGTTTAGTGTGTGGGCAGTGGAAAATTAGCAGAAAAGAGGGGCGGTTGTGTCCCTGGGCGGGGGTCAGAATACGGAGGGCACACCTGACGGCCCACTATAATTGGCCCAATACAACAAAACCACTCTCATGCATGGTACTAAAAATATGCAATTATTATTCAAACCAATTCTGGTTTTCATCATATTTTTTGTGCGATTGCAAATCATAATTAAGCGGTATTATTCTTAAGGCTATCGAACGCTTTCAAGGTCTGTCATAAAATTAAATATTGGCAAAAAATATATTTTTTAAATCATTTCTATTTGTGATACTGATGATTTTCTATCCTAATCCTAATTCAATCAGCCCTCGATTTATATTTGGAATATTTTTCATACACCTTTGTGGTTATTATAAATTTAATTAATTAATTATGCATTCAAAGCATGAACCAATTTTAATATTTCAAAATAAAAAAAAAATATGTATTGCCAAGATTTATGATTTATTTTTATTCACTGTATAGAAAAATATTTCTTGAATTCGATATTTAAAAAAGTTTATAGCAAAATATGATTTTGTATATATGTACATATTGCTTCTATATATTTTGGTAGTAGAAGAAGAAACACTTCATTTATATATAGAATTGAAAATTCCAGAAATGAAAGTATAGTAAATAATTTACAAGCTTGGGAATTTCAGAAATAATTTTGTATATTGAAAAACTAAACTATTAAAAGTAACTAACATATACTGGTTATTTGATCTATACAAAAACTTTAAACGAAAAAATCATTTAAAATGACTAAGATTAGTAAGAGAAACCCCGTTAAGTTAAAAGTTCTAAAATTCAGTGTCTAAGAAAATATCATTCCAAATACAAGCAACTTATAGAAGCCTCATGCAACGAAGGGTAAACATGCAAATAGAGTACCTCGTCTCGATAGTGAAATAAGCCGGAGAATTAGATTCGGAGCCCATTGAGTTGATGTTCGCAACTCCCTGGTCATTATCACAGTTGATTGTAGGAGTGGAACTCTCGTTGGAGTTGGATACCATGCTAAGGGACACAACAGTAGGCGGCTGGACCTGGACGAGTTTCTGGTTCTCGAACTGGTACTCCAGCGTAAAGCAGATGTCATCCAGATTGAACACCTGAGCGGTGTTCTCGCTAAGACTGGCTATCAGTGGAACTTCAGCGTGGCTGGAGCTAAGGCTTTCGGTGGTATGGTGATATGTGATAGGTATGACCGTAATGGGCATGGGTGTTAGTTGATCCGTTAGCTGGAAAACATTGTTTCCTTCTGGAGGAACTATTTGTGGATGTGTGTGAGCTTGTGATGTATTAAGTTGTTCCTGGGTGAACAGGGCACTATAGGACGCCTGGACGTCCTCAGAATCAAGCGAAAGGCCCAGATTAAGCACCTGTTGCTCGCCACTGGTGGATTCTGTTGCCTGGCTGCCGTAGATGCTGTAGCTATCGCCGTGGATAATGCCTAGACCATCTGCCTCCAGCTTTGGGGTGAGCAACTGGGACAGCGGCCTGTCGAAATCTAGCGAACCAATGGATGAGGCATTCGATGTGGCGGGTGGAGAGCCAGAGAGCGAATTACGCGACGAGTTGGTATCATAATCCCGACTGTCTGATAAAGAATTTCCATGACTATTAACCGTCTTCCAGTCACTGTGGTAGTAGTGGTGCTGCTGCTGTTGTTGTTGTTTCTCTTGGTCGTTCATTTCGTATAATTATTTATTCGCACACCCACGCACACATAAAAACACGCCTGTTAAATCGCATAAATATGCAGTTGTTGTTCTCTTTCTCTGTTGTCACTGTGCAGTATATATATATTGCAAAAGAAATTAAAGATCGCGAGATCGAAAACCACACATCCGCGATCGAAAAGCACAACAACAACGATAAGACTCAGTGTGACCACCGCTGGTACTTCGAAATATATCGCTAATAATATCAGGTCTACTAAACGCCTAGGCTGAGAAGCACTTAGCAGTGACTCACACCGAAGTGGAGACTTTTTGGTTTCGGAGTCGATAAAATGAGGTTGTAAGTTTCAACGTTGAACCCAACATCAGTTAGTACAAAATCAAATCAGCAATCAATCTTGCCACACATAAAATTTATTTAATCACAAATTTAACGGACAAACTGTTAGTTGTAGTAGCTCTGGGTCGATGCTATTTTTTATCTTTGCTGCAGCAACAAATTAAAACTCCGAAATATTCGAAACATGGAATAAAACTAGGTGGCAACTCTCGGAATGGCATATAACTTTGATAAACAAGGAAATTGAATTTTATTCAATTTATATCAACAACTAAAAAATCTAAATAATTAAAATTTAATTTGGACCGACAATTGTTATAACACAATAGATTTTAATGCAATGATATATTTGAGGTACATACAAAATAATATATTTTTCACACCACAAGTCTTTCACACCACCCTGTTTCTAGATCAGACTTCCACCAACCCATGTCATGAACCCACAGTATTTTTTATTTTATGATATTTTTGGGGTATGTTTTAGTATATTTTTCACACCACAACTCTGGTCTCACATCATCCTTCTTTTTCTTTCGTTTCCGGCGAGGTATGTGCAGAATTTTTGTTTCTCCACGTTTTTGTGTAAAATAATTGTTAATTTTTCATTTTAGCGGCGATAAAAATATCCATCAAGCAACAGAATGGTACGTACCAACAAAAAACAGTGTCCAATCAAAATAGGAAACCGGAAAATAACCAGAAAATGCAACGAAACCGGCCGTTACCCACGTGCATATTGATATTAGCTACCCCTAAAACAATTATTTATGTGTAGCTGTGGCTTTACAATGCCGTTCTGTTCAAAATGAGAATAAAAAATTCAAAGTGAAAGTTAAGTCAAGAAATTCTCAAATTTCCTAGCCAAAAAATATGTGAGATACGCTAAAATGTGAAGCTAGAAAGCATAACATTTGTTGTGTTTAAAAATGAATAAAAAGTTATATACAAAAAGTACAGAAATGTGAAACTGAATCTAACCCACTTAACCATCGTGTGCAGGGTCGCGTACGAACCAAGACGGTGAAGAAGGCCGCTAAGGTCATCATCGAGAAGTACTACACTCGCCTGACGTTGGACTTCCACACCAACAAGCGCATCTGCGAGGAGGTTGCCATCATCCCCACCAAGCCCCTCCGCAACAAGATTGCCGGGTAAGTTGAGCAGGAAACATAAATTACTAGTTTATAACACTTATCTCTTCCAGCTATGTTACCCATTTGATGGGCCGTCTGCGCCACTCCCAGGTGCGTGGCATCTCCATCAAGCTGCAGGAGGAGGAGCGTGAGCGCCGTGATAACTACGTCCCGGCCGTCTCCGCTCTGGAGCAGGACATCATCGAGGTCGACGCTGACACCAAGGAGATGTTGAAGCTTCTGGACTTCCACAACATCCGTGGTCTCCAACTCACCCAGCCCAACACCAACAACTTTGGTCGTCGCAACTAAGATTTCTATAGCGCGTAGATGATGTTCTAATATGCATGGAATCACAATAAACAAATTTGTGTGAAGTGCATTTAAAGTGTATATTTTTGTGTTTTTTTATATGCATTCGTAAGGGAAATGTAAGTGTTCCTCAAAACTACAAATTTAAAATATCAATGTGTTGTAGTTCCTTTTTCTAAAATGATTATACGGTTACTCCATATGCTCGCCATGGTTACTAAATGAGAAAGACGACTCCTAAAAATGGCGGACCTGTTACTCCTTATTGCCGAGTTTCGCATTCTTTTAAGAACACTACATTATGCAGAAAAAACGTACAGCTAAAAGGTGTCATTAAAAAGCCGATTAAATTCCTTTTCTATAGACTTACTGAACAAGAACGAATTGAAAATGCATGCTATCCTAACTAAATCGTGCCAAAAACTGTAGTTTTATTTAATAACCCCAGATCTCTGTTCCAGTTTATCATATTTATTCGCATTCGAATGGAAAATACTGTAGCCATGCACATATTTGTAAATATGTATATATTCAATCCATAAATATATGGGTTCGTTTTTATACAGACGATATATAAAAGATATTCTCTACACGTGCACAATATTTAAATCTAAGCGTGTACACTGATGCCATTATGTATATTTATATGTTATGTATGTGAAGGGTGGTAGGTATACGTATGATTGTGCCCTCCGGTTCAGGAAGCTGCTGTTGCAAGGGGAGCTACAGCCTGATCCTGCTGAGGTCTTCGTACCGGATTACGCAAGACCAGCTCGGAATCCTCCGATATGATTGGCAGTGCATGCGCCCAGTGGTAGTTGATCAGGTGGCTAATGCTGTCGAAAATTCGATCTTTGGTCCGGACTACGCCTTCCGGGTCGATGAGAAGCAAATGCTTGGGGGTTTTGCCTTCTAATCCAGTTAAAACGTATTGGCCCCGCTTCCCCTGTGACTCTCGCACTAAGAAATCACCATCCTGCTGCAGTAAGCGCTCTGAAATCGGTCTTGATATACCGGCATGGAACCACACTTCCGCCGTAAGTGGACACTGCGGCCCATCAAACACATCGCGTACTGTGGCTAAAACGGAACTGGCAGCCGTAGTCGCTTCAAAGTGACCCAGCTTATTGGTCGTCTGATCAGGAGGCGGGGAGTTGAGGTCGATGAGGTTGCTGCTCAGACGATCGCGTGGCTTCTTCAGATTCAGTTGTGCCACACGTGGTGTATGCGGATGCAGTGGAATCTGCTGTTGTTGTTCAGGCAGTTCTGGCGGCAATTTGTTTGGCAAATCGTTATAATACTCCTTAACATTCTCTTTGCAGCTCTGATTGATGTTGCAATCACCGGAAGGATCATTAAGCCGACTGAGCGCATTGAAGCGCAATGCAAAGGCCTTTCCAATAGTCACAATCAGATCCTCGCTTTGGCCACCAACGCATTCCAGGACATAACAAGCCCTCCATTCATCTTCATTTTTGGCTATATATGCCAAAAAGTCTAGGGTATCATTGTCACCGCCAGAGGCGAATGATATGCGAGGCATATTATGATTGGCTATAACCTCGCCTGTTTCCACGTTGCTCAGGGACAAAGCTCGGCTGGAAACATTAATGATGATGTTAGTGCCAGCGTGCTGCATGCTGGGGCGATCCGATATGAAGCTGGTTAATCTACGCTTTCCAGCAGACTTTAAACCTGCCGCCTCGCAAACGCGATTGATGCACTCCCTGTTTTCAAATAAAAAACTCTTGATAAACCTGCTGTTATTCATGGGTAGTGTTCACTTACCGCGCCAGCTGTGTTCGGGTCTCGAAATCCAGCGATTTCATTGAGGTCTTGACCTCCACGCATCCCGTATAACGGACGTTGAATGCAACACCCACGCCCATTATGACGTCGTCCGGATAGATGCAGCCGTCGCTGGTGGTCCCGGAGCCGCTCCGGTTGCCGGCGTCGCCATTTTTCGGCATTTCTGCGGTGGCTAAGTGCGTGTGACAGCGATCGGACGTCCTCGCTAGTCCTTTTTCCGAAGATGTACCCTTTGTTATTAGTAATTCGGATATTACTCAAGGTGGGACCATATTGTCAAAAGTGTGGTCGCAGCTATCATGCTTATCGATAGTTGGACAGGGGCGGAGGTGAAAAATGTTGGTTAACAAAATAGGAAGTGTATATCCCCAAATTTAAAAAATTGCTTTTATTTTTATTTTTTGTTGCTTTTAATCATGAAATTTAAAATATAGACCACGGACAGCAAGAAGCAATATCTCCCTATAATGTAGTTAAATAATTATTATTACAATTCGTTATTTATATGTTATTTGGAAAACGCCCATCGCCTAAATATCGATATGTTAATCAACTGCTTACCATCTCTATGTTGCAAGCCAAAGCTCCGCATCTGGCTCCAAAGAAAACCACTTCACCCCCAAAAATCTGTGCTCGCCGCAAACTCTGTTCAGTTTTTAACCGACTTTCGTGCAATATCCACGCGTTACGGCCATCCGTCTCTTTACTCAGATTCCCAAAGCGAAGCGGCGCGTATACATACACAAACAAAACAAAAGCAAGAAACCCCCAGGTGTGGAATTATGTGTTAGAGCAAAACAAATACGGAAATACGCATAGCTCTCGTTGACATTTTTTCGGCCAGATTGAAAAAAGTATCAAAATCAATATAAAAAAACACCTTTCCTCTTACCCCGCGAATGTGTGAGTGAGATAGATAGAAACAACAGCATCTCAACGCGCAGCATCCGTAAGAGAAAATTGCAGCACAAAAAGCCGGACTAGTGCATCCGTAGTGCCACTGGAAACTGGAACGAGCCTTTGTGTATAGCCGTGAGATATATTTTGAAGTCCAATCTTAATCCCTTCGAGGTTCCGCTGTCTTACTGTTTAACCGTTGCGGTAAGTCTGCCTTCGTCAAGCTTTCTGTTTACGTTTATGCCATTTTCATATCCATTTCCATTCCGGTGCCCACCGCTTTCGTATTCGTGCCGCTGCCGTGTGGCTCAGTGGGCACATAAATAAAACATCTTTACGTCATGCGACGGAGCTCTGAAGTCATTACCGAAAGACAGCAACGGACATTCAGATATGTCTAAAAAGTGCGTCATTTACTTGGCATCTACTCTTGGCACTCCACTAGCCATTCCCTATTCAACTTTTGAGTTGTCGTGAACTCACTACCAAAAGACAGCTATATTCATTTAAACACAGCCGAAGCTTACAATTTGAGTGGAAAAGGGAATTTCAGCTTTATAGTTTTTCGTACTTATGATTTCTATTTATATTATTAACCGAATGTGTAATTTTCAAGAATTTCCCACGCATTTTTCTTAAAGTCTTCGTTATAGAATTTTTACTATTGTTCCCTAAAAAAGTTATTCATTAGGGCTGCAGGGCATAAAAGATCTAATTTAAGCGTAGTTCATTAGGAAGGTGATCTCATCAGCGGCTGCTTTCTTCCCGTTCTGTGTCCGAATGCAACCTGGCCTTAATTTACGCCCCTTTGCCGTTTAAACGGCAGTCGAATCACGCCTAATATGGTCCACATTTAAGTTGGCCGAAAGCGTTTCCCGCCGCCAATTAAACACGATGACGTTGACCGCCAAACCACCCATTCCATTCATGGCTTACCGCTCGATGCTTAACACCCACGCTTCGGCCTTGCCTTTGTTTTTGCCTGCCAACTGTTTTAACTTCGCCGGAGTCGATTACAGCAATTGATAATTGCTGCAGAAGGCGTTGCTTTCTGGTTTTAACGGCCTTTAGAGCAGCACCTTTGGCACCTTTGTGCTAAAATCGAAAGGAAATCGAGCTTGGGCAATTAAAAGCTGTTTATGTTTAGCCACAGTGTGATGGGCTATAAACTTAGTATATTATTTAAAAAAGAATCGTATGTTTTTATAACATATATTTTTTTGGGAGCTTAGACTTAATACGAGGAAAGCCTTAAATAATAATAACTTTAAAAAAATTTACCGTAAAGGCCAAACAAAAGGTCGTAATTTCTTCTGCTTATCTGGAGAAATTTGTCTGGGTTTCAGTGACCTTTATAATTGTATTCTGTGAATAAGAATTTTCCCTCGCTTTGTTTGAAAATTTCTAATTGCGTTTAAAGGGCGTAAAATTATAGATTATTAGGCCTAATAGGCTTACTAATTTTGAAAGACGTTAGAACTGTAAGGTAAATCCGTTTTAAGCTTAAACTTAAACGAGACTTAACTTTCTAAAAACTTAGAAAAATTATTTTGCTTTTATCTTTGTTACTTAATGGGCGGCTCTAACCATGGTTACTAATTGCTCTGCATAGCTATGAGTTTGAAACATTTTGGCTCTAATTGGTTTATCTAATTGCTTGGCATGCACATTATATGCCGTTATATTCTTATAATGAAGTAAACTCCAGTAAATATTTTTCTATAAAAAAGGAATGTAACTTTGATAATGTTTTAAGTGATTCATTCGCCATATAATGTTGTTTATTTTGTTATTTTACCAACAAAATTTCATTGGCAAGCATTTGTATTTAGTTTAGGACATTTATGAATAAAGAGTTAAATATATTTATAATTCTTTCATAAATATTAAAATTGTTAAATTCCTTGGCACACACATTTGTTGAACATTTTTTCTTGGAATTGCTTCCTTTTGATTGTTTAATTTGGCTGCTTGTTGCTTACTATCTTGGAAGACCGGAGCACCCTGTAGCTTTACAATTTGCGCTGCGTCATTAACAGAGCGTTTAACATTTTCTGTAAGAGTAACAGTAATAAGTCCCCTCGTGCGATTTCACTTCGTTTCGTTTTTCATAATTTTACTATCGCTTTTTATTGTTATTTAATTACAGACTATAGTACATACATTATACACATGCTTAGATTATAACTTTTGCATCACTAAGCGCTATAACACGTTGATTTCAAATACTAAATTCGCCACTCCCCCACCGTTTTTGTTTTCTTTCACTGCCCCATCAGCTGCTCAAAGTCCGTTACGTAATACTGGGCCCGGCGATAGACCTCCGGTCGTACTACATTGCCACCAAATCCAATAAAATAGTTAGCTGGCGGTACGGCCTCAAGATCGGTGGCTCCATCGCCGATCATGGTGATCAGAGAATCGACATTATTCTCCTTCTTTATCAGGGCGATGGCCTCTGCCTTTCCGCCGGAACGTGATGTGGGCTGGGTGATGTCAAAGCTATCGTATTCGCCCAAATAATCGAACAGCATCTTGTTGGCATAAACATTTTTCAGGGGAATACCCAATTCGTTGGCCACTGGTGCTATGAGGCAATCGAAACCGCCGGAGATCAAATATACTTGTTTGCCCTCCGCCTTCAAGTGGGCAACGAAACGCTTGACGTTTTTGGTCAGTGTGCTGGGCCGCTCTTGGATGAAATCCCTTACTTGCTGTTGAGTGGGCCGGATGATGTTCAATCTGATTTTAAGGGCATCCTGAAAGGTCATGGCACCGCCCATCGCCTCCTTGGTGACACGCGCCACTTCACTTCCTTTGCCGCAATACTCGGCCAACTCATCGATACCCTCCTCGCAAATCACTGTGGAATCCACATCGAAACAAACGATCTGCGACTGCTGGATGACCTTGGCCGCCAATTGAGGCTGTTTGGGTGGTGTTATGGCCGAGGCCACAGTGGTTTTGGCCGCTCCTCCGGAGGTGCCATTGCCATTGCAGTTGAGCTGTTTGGCCAGAAGATTATGGCCATTTGCTGTGGCTGCTGCAGGACGGGCCAAACTCAAAACGGAACCGCTCATCTTGACCGGTGAACACGTTGTGATTTTGTAGTGGATTTTTTTTGTATTTGGTATACCGCTTGACGTAAAAGCTTCAGCTTTGTTTGGTCCCCAAAATTTTCCGCTGCTTTTGTTATTTTTTTTTGTGTATCTCTTATATCTTGTGCTTTTTGTGTGTATGTTTTCTCGTTTCTTTTTGCACACGCGCTTCGCGTTGCTTCTCAGCTGTTTTTTGTTTTTGTGTGATAAGTTGTCTTCGGTTTGTGTTCAAGCTGGTTTTCCTTGGTTGAACTGCTCGCGATGACTGATTTTTCACAAGTGACTCGAAAACAGTCGATCGCCCTTTTAAGAAAACCCGCTCAATGCACACAGAAGCGGTTTCTCTCTTTTTGTCGTTCTCTCTCTTCTCACTGACCACACAGAAAGAAATATTTCTATACTTAGAGAAGTTTATTATAATTTAATATTCGTTTTAAGCTAGAAAATCTGCTTAAGCTTTTTTGTTGACATATGTTAATAATATTGAAATATGAAACACTTACATAAGGTTTTTCGTTGTTAAGCTAAACAAATTTTAATATACATTAAAAAGTTAGGGGCTCGATTATCGCTTTTCTATTAGAAATTTCGCTTACTCTATGAGAACTCTTATTATAAGTTTTCATCCATAAATATTGTTTACATAATTTTTGTAAAATTAATATGAAACATTGAGCCGATTTCTTTCCGTGCAGCGATCGGACGATAAGCATTACAAGTGTGCGAGAGAAAGAGATTTCTGTTTGTTACAAATTCAAAAGCATTTTTTTCGGTGAGTCCACCACGACTTTCAAATCACCCTTCCTCCGTTATTCTGGGAATTACACTCACTTAATCAGTTTCAATTGAGAGAGAATTGCTTTGGGTGGACATGAACCTTTGAACCCAACATGTGCTGCATGAATGCGACAATGTCTGCTTATCACAAAAAATATAAACAATAGAACAATTATGGTTTGTCATTAAACCCGCGACACTCGAGCGCTTAGAAGAACCGCCTGGAACTGGATTTCCAGCACCAGACCATCGAGCCTTATCATTTGTGGCACCATTTAACACTAGGGGATTGCCAGGAGACGGGGTTTTGGGTCCAGACATCGAAAGACTACCTCAAAAATTATCGGCAAACAAATAACAAGTGTGGCATTTATGACCCCAGGTTCTGGAAATTGGTCTGGTAAATTCAAAGTACAGTTAAATCTCGGTAGCAGAAATACAGCCTTTTGAAAATTTACCTTACTAAACATTATTTTTACCAAATCTGTCGATGATTAGGATTAAATATTAAAAATGTAATTATGTAAGCTAATATCACTAACAGAATATAATACCAAATTTAAGAGTAGTTATCGAAGTACAACTGTTTTTTGAATTAGTCTTATCAGTACTAAGGCGCAGTGCATTTTTTAACGGCTGGATGAGCCCCCTGTTTTCAATACTTTCTTTTTTCATTAATGATTAATCATTGATGTGGAAAATAACCGAAATCTCAACTGATTACTGTTGGGATGTACGCTCTATGTATTTTTAAATCGACTGGACTTATAATTAAACTGTTCGATTTTGATATTCTGATGCAATATTGAGCTCCTGTTGCAGCGTCATACTTTATAGCTCAAGTTGGAGAATCTTCAATCATTTTTCTCTCTTCATACATAACTTTTAACTCGTTTTTGTTGTCTCCAGTAATTAGATACAAATCAACAACAAAACGGGGCGCGTGCAATGCAAGCGACAAAAACAACAATGACGGCTGAAAATGCATTCCCCTGCGGTTTCTTGTTGTTGTTATCGTTGCTATGGCAATTTTTTCGCATTTGTAGAATAACAAGTTGTTTTGACCGTTCGCGATCGTTCGTTTGTGGTAAACAGTGCAAAAACAACAAAATAATCTGCGGCTAGACCACAAAAAAGTATTTCATTGCCATCTACGACACATTATCGATAACGATAAACAATTCATTGCGTGCTATGCGTGCATGTGCATGCATGAATATGTTCTCATGCATATTTAAAGCTTACTTCGGCCAACGACTTCCACTAAACAAAGCCGTAAACAGTTGACTTTTTTTAATTGCCGTTGCCTTGAGCGACCAAAGAAGGATGAGAAACCCATGGGGGAAATAGCACGGACCTCACGTGTACCTTTACCTGAGCCTGTCAGCGGCTGCGGCACCTGTCGTTTGACGTTATTTTTTGTTGTTTCAGCTAGAGTTTTCCCTTGCCTTGGCAACTCGTCTTGGGTTTTGGGTTTTCCTTTCGGGTCTGCATTTATTGATTGACCTTGTTGCTGCATAAATTTCTCACTAAGTCCATTTTCATTTTGTATACCTTTCATGGACATACAAAGTATAGAGGTAGGCTCGTCACCTGATCCGAACCGCATGGTAAAGTACCCGAGCTGGGTAATTTATTATGCCCATTGAGTGCCCGACGCGATAATAGTTTCTAATTTACCCAAAAATTGTTGAGCAGTCCTACATCTTATACTTTAACACCAATAGGATATTTTGGACACTAGGGATTTTGATTTACTTTTTAAATAAATAGTATGCTAAATGATAAGTTTTCCTAGCTTTATTTTTTTTTTAATTGGATAGCGTTGTATCCATTAATATGTTAAACGTAATCTTAAAACAAAGTTCCACTTATAGAAATTCTACTGTACTTCCATTTTTAGCAACTTTGAATTTAGTTAGGTAGTTGGCAGCTGTTTGGTAATTGAGCCCCCTGGCCACACCCCCAACTATTTCCGCCCACTTTCAATGGAAAAGCCGGAGGCTTGCATAATGACACGACACATTGTGGGATTGTTTTTTCAGTCGACAGCTGATAGGGTTCGGCTTCTAGACTATAAAGGCTATGTGTGAAATTGCTGTATTAATTTTCATCACCAGGCAGATTAATGGGGAAATGACTATTTATATTTGGCATGCCAGTTGTCTGCACCTCTCGATTGATTTGTTTTTCAACTGCTGTTTCCATGCCGAGTTGTTTTTGTGCCGTCTACTGATTAACCGTTAAATTACATGTGACGATCCCCCATTCCTCTCTAACACTTGACTTGTTTACGGCTGCACGCGATTTTAATTCCGTTGATTAACTCTCTCACGCTCTCACATTCACTGCACACCTTCATATCGAGTATGTAAGTGCAACAGAGACAAGCTCACTTGACACATTTACAAGTGGAGCAAAAAGGGGAGCAGAAGAACTGCAGTTTCCCTCTCGCTTTAACTTCTTATGCGGTGCGTGGTTTTCTTTGTTGTTCTCGTTTCTTTTCTTTTTATTGTTGTCGTCGTGTATTTTTGTTTTGCATCGCTTGATGTTGGTTCATAAACAGTTACAAAGTGGGCTGATTGTGTATGGCAACGTCAACGGTTATGCACTGGAAAAATAAACAACCATTGCAATAACAATAACAAGGTAGTCCCCTTTGCTGGGGGCCATGTACATGTGCTTTCGAACAGTCGAGGTCAAAAAATCAGCACTGGAATTGCCAGATGTTCAATGATAATAGTTAAATCTATTCGATGAGTGATTATAGTTATTTACATATTTCATTGCGCAGCAAGCTCTACAGCCCCAAATTTATAGTTAACTTAGTATAATTTAAGGCGTTTCTTAAAAACATTCGCTTTTATTTCAAGAAATGTAAATCTATTATTTCGAGCTCATCTGTAGGTGTTGTTGATATGTAAAAACGAAATGAAAACACGTCATTTGCCGACAATGGCTTTTCTGTTGCTATCGCATTGGAAACTCGAGCATCGCTGCCGACTGCGACGCCGGCAGAGAGTTGTTTAACTTTTCCCCTGACAAAACCGTAACAAAGGGAAAAAAGTTTTGCTGCCCGCCCCATCAAAGGTAATTACAATTGAAAGCTCTCTGCTGCTCTGCGTTATCGTTGTTCTCTGACTTCTCAGAGTTCGTTGCACTTGCAAATTCACAAAGCCTGCAGTGGCATGCAAGCGACTAACGTTTCGTCCTGACAGACACGCCCCCGAAACGGAAGCGATATCCCTATTCCTGTCGAAATGGAATTCCCGCTGAACGCAACAGTTTCAATTGTAATTTGAGTCTAATGCGATGATTTGGGTCAAAAGGCGAAGTCAGCAGCAGAAGCAAAACAAATGCTGATGCCGCGGCTTTGCCCCTAAAAATACACTTTCAAACATAGTGATTTAATATTGCAGAAATAGGAAAACTTTATTAGGAAAACTACATTCCCTATTATTATTATAAATAAAATATGTAATGTGTCATTAGAATAATACAAATAATAATACATAATTCTTAAAGTTTTTGTTCATTTGTTTAACATTTTACATCTTAATTTCTCGAAGTGTCCACGTGTGGGATTGCATCTGCTGATTCATTGACGAAGGCGAGTCGCTGGCAAAAGCTACAATGATTGGCTTGATTGCATGTGCAGCAATTCCCACACAGACAAATAGACAAAGCTGAAAGCCAAAGTCGGGTTGAATTGAGCGGCATCAGATAATCAAATTGTTTGCGCACCGCTTTCGCAACGCTCCATTAAATTCGCAATTCTCATTTCTCAATTGCAGGGGCTGTGCACATTCTCACATATACTTGCTAAGTACACCAAATAGAGACTAAAAGAACAATCGAGGGGCAACATAATGGTGGAGTTCCGCTTCGATATCAAGCCGCTGTTTCCGCAGCCAATTATCAAGGTGACATCGAACCTTCTGCCGCACACCTTTCGCGGCGATCGGCGTCAGTGTTTGTGAGTATTGAAATTGTACGCGGAGTGTGATCTCGAAGGCTTGATCCGACTAACCGATACGCTTTCCACACTCACCCACGCACGCAGAGATGCCACCACCAAGATGTCGGAAATCATCGATCGGCTGGGCCAGCTCTCGGCCACCTCGCAGGGTCTTAGCAAGCCGGTGACTACGGCCCAGCGGCTGAGAATGTCCGATAACCAGACCATCTATCTGCTGGCAGATAGTGAGGCGGGTCAGAAGTAAGTAATCCAAATCAGCTTCGTATAACTCATTAGCTATCCTAAATTGGAATACTTTATTATAAATAATCTAATAAAAAACGTATTCCAGCGGTGCCGTAACGGGTCTGTTAAAGGTGGGCACTAAGGATCTTTATCTGTTTGATGAGTCCGGTCAGACGCGCAAGGTGGAGCAGGCTCCATCCATTTTGGATTTCTATGTGCATGAGTCGCGTCAACGTGCCGGCTTGGGAAAACGGCTATTCCAGACGATGCTTAACGAAGAGCAGTGGACGCCACTCAAATGCTCGGTGGACAGGCCATCAGAAAAGCTACTCGGTTTTCTGAGAAAACATTACGGATTACAGCGTATCATTCCGCAGGCAAATAATTTTGTACTCTATGAGGGATTCTTCAATGATGCGGCCTCTGCAAATGGACACGGTAACGCCCATGGAAACGCCCAATCGCCGCAGCGGACAGAGAATGGCCTGCACATAACAAACAGGTGAGTGGATTTGTTGCGAAGGAGGCGTTGCCCATCCTGATTTCCCCACCTGGCGCAGTCCGTGGCAATTAAGGCGTTGCTTTCGCTGCTGCAGGAAACATTTCACTTTCGGCCTCAGTTGGCCATTTCTTTTGTCCCCATTTGCATATCGTATGCAAATCGGACTCTAGATTTGTTTGTTTGTTTGTTTGCCAAAGGAAGCCCGCTGATCGATAAAACTCGGTCCGAGTTGATTAATGAGTTTACTTTAATTGCTGGCCTGTTGCTTGCTTTCCTTTTCTTAATCCTTATTCAGCTAAATACTCTTAGAAATGCTTATGAAATTTATGCTTTGAATTCTAACAAGAACCGCTTTTTTAGGGATTATTTATATAACCAATATGCTTAAGTGGTAATGTTATGGGCATACAAAACTATAAAACTTAATTATTTCATTTCTTATCCTAAATCATTAATGATACTTAACTCTTTTTTCACATGATCCGCTAACTGTTAACCAATGATAACCAACGATAACACCACATCGTCAACAGTCCTAACACACAGCTCTTTGGTGCTACTTACCTGGGCGAGGATTCTAACCGTCGGCGTGGTTCCCAACAGCAGACAACACCGAATGTGCTGCTCCAGCAGATAACACAGATCTCTCCGTCCGGACGATATGGGGCTCCACGTCCCACCTGCAGCATGGCAGAGGTACTGAAACATTTTTCTTAACCGAAAAGATTACTGAATTATCCCCTAGAGCCGTTGGGATTTATTTTGATATTAGTGATTTGTAAAATTGCATTTTGAATGAGAGGAAGTATAGCAAAAATGCCTACTCTTTGTTGGTTTATTTTACTTACTTACTTAAACATTTTTAAAAGAATCTATAAGGTTTAGGCCATCCAAGTTGACCTGGTGTCTAGCTTTCAATCTGTCAATTTCATGTTCTCCACATGACTCCGACTTTACTTCAGTTCAAATTTATACTTGCTAGCAGTCGGATAGGTCTTTTGACTTCCTGTATACAAAAATACATTTGTATTTTATACTTTTTGTTTTATAAGTGAAAAAATCATCGACTAGTTTCGTCGCGATTTGTGCCAAGTTTTCCGTGCGGCTTACTAATTTCCAGTGATTTAATTTATGGATGCCAAACGTGGTAATGCCTCCGGGGCACGCCAAAGCGGCAGTGGCTATCATGCCTCTAAGACGAGCGTTGCTGTAAGTTGGTCAAATAAAACTCCTCCAGATGATGACTGAATAACTTGGTTTATAGTCACGCCATGGTGGTGGTGTTGGTGGTGGAGTAGCAGTGGCACAAAAGCAGGCCAGTCAGGTCAGTTTGACACCCAGCCAGGCCAGGAACCCGGAGAATGTAAGACACACACTGGCTATTTGAAGTTATTATATACAAATTATAAACAATCACAGCCGAGGAAGAGTCCTTTGGATGCCCTGAGTCGTAGCGGCAATATACGCAACCAGAATCCCTTCCAGCGTCGCTCTGGCTTGCAGGATGTTGATGAATCCTTCCTGGCTTCGAACGCCTTTGCCCGGCCCCCAAGGGTTCGTCATTCTGGACTGGAGAGGGAAAACGTGCCGCAGGTAGCTGCAGCAGGTGCACCTGCTGGACAACAGGGTTCGTCAGCAATGGCTCCCGTTCGCGTTTCTGGGGGTCAGGATCCCAATCAGCAACAGCAGCAGCAGTATCAGCAGATGCCTCCAGTTGATGTCATGCAACAGCAGCAGCAAATGCCTCCGTCGCCAACTATGCCCTTGCAGCAGCAAACGCAACAGCCGTACATTCAACCGGCTGCTGGACAGCCAACACGTATGGATCCGGTACCCTCTGGTCGGGCTCGTGCCCATCAACAGCAAGTGCCACATCAACAGCAGATTCAACAGCAGCAACAAATGCCACCGCAGACGGGCTATGAGCAGCAGCAACAGCCACAGGTGATTCAGCCAGATGCCCAAATGCAAAGTAAATTTGCAACCCAGCAGCATCAGTTGCAGCCACAACATCAAATGTCTCAGCACGGATACGTAAATATGGCACCAGATCACGGACAAACTGCGAATATTAAACATCGACCTGACCCACAGCCTGCTCAGCCGCCGCCAGCCGGTGCTCAGCAAACAACCCAACCGCCAGCCGGAGGAGCCGTTGCCCAAGGAGATGGTGTCGGCAATAATGCGCCCAGCGGTGGGGCTGCAGCACCACCTGATGCCGAGATGTGCACCACTTGTCCTAATTGCCAGACCACTATCTATTTAGTGCGTTCCCCGGAGCTTGGCCATGGAGATGCCGGCTTGCCTGTTCAGTAAAAAAAATATATAAAATCAAGACCGAGTGAAGTGCACCAAATTTCGAGTGCAAAACTCATCATCATTGTTTAATAATGTTTTTGTTAATTACCGACCGCGATACTGGTTGTTGGAAATACAATACTTTAGAAAACAAATCTAAATTAAAACCAGCCAAATAAAGAAATTCCAATAATATACTTTCACTTCCGGCTAAGAGAGTGGGTCAACTGGGGTGAAATCAACCCCGAAATTGAACGGTGGTAGTTTGGCTGCGTGCCAAGTGGCTGTTTTTGGGGCAACACTAAAACTAGTTTGCGTTTTGTACCTTGGATTTATACTAAGTTGTAAAGCCAACAATTAATAGAGAAATTCATTGAATTGTATGGGCCACGAAATGGCTATTAATATAAGTTAATAGACCGATCTTATCTCAAATTATTTTCACCCCGTATTTGGCCTAATAAATTTCTCTATTTTCAGATAATTCATGCTGGCAATTCGAAGGGCGGAAAAGGCAATGGCAGTGCAGAATCGAACAGGTAAAATAATCTCATTTAACACCTATATTATGATATTATATCAATTTCCCTAGCATTATCATTTCTGTGTATGGTCTTCATTTGGGTTTCATTTTGTTCTTTTCGTTTGTCTTTCAGAATCAAATAGATAAAGCCAACCCACAAAAATTGCACTCGGCTGCTTCACATACAAAATAAATAGAAATCAGAACTAGATAAAGAAATATCTACATAATAACCATTGTACAAAGCTTTGATTTTAGCCAATTATTTATATTTTTGCCTAGTTAACTTAAACGAATGATGAATTTACTTAATGTACGAGTACAAGCAGAAGAAGCTGCACTTGCCGCATGCCACCACCCACCACCAAAATAAAAAAAAAAAAAAAAAAAAACACCACCCACAACACAAGAAAACAACCACAGCAAAAATACAAAATCAACAGAAAAAATCGGAATCGTTACACAAGACATACAAAAATACCTGACAAATTGTTGTTTTCTCGAGCAATAAAATCAATTATATTTATTAATTAAATGTTCATCAGTGTTTATATTTTTGTTTAGTAAAATGAAGACTAGTTTTAATCACTCTGAAAACTCTTCCAACAGTGGCAATGGTAACCACGATTTTTCAGAGATTTCCGAGCAATTGCAGCGGCAGAGTTTGGACGACTTGGAGGCCAATAGCTTTGAGCCTGAGCCTGAAATTGAGCCAGAGGTCGAACCAGAACCTGAACCCGAACCGGAGGTGATTACTCCCCCATCACCGCCGCCAAAGAGTCATACCCCTACTCCTCCATCTGTACGATCCCCTGAGGTGGCCGAGAGTATTGTTGGTGACAACCGGAGACCTCCGGCCTTCCAGCTTAGCAAGCAGCACACGGGCATGAAAAATCGCTCGTTTGGCGTCGGAATGGCCGTAATGCCCAGCAGTAAGATGGAGTTCAATCAGTTGGAGCGCGAAGATTTTGGTGTAGTCAAGATCAACCGTCCGCCCGGCCATGAGGTTACCTCGCCGGGACAGGACAACACGGATGCCATGTCCACTGTATCCTCCGGCGGCGGTGGCCTCACCGATCAGGGCTACTACGATCTCAAGTTTTATCACAACAAATTGTGGTAATCCACAAAAACCACGCAATATTTGCTAGCATCTTTTGTACGTGTGGCATAAGCATAATTAACAAAATTAATCTAGACACTAAGAATGTATTATCTAATCAAAATAACACACCAAACGGTTCCTGTACTTCAGTTCGATTTCGTTGTGAGCTTCTTCTCATATTTTTGTTGATTTGTTCATTTGTTACAAGCCACGCACTCCGAAGAGCATCCGTAACCTAGAGCGTCACGAATTATTGTTAACAATAGCAAATTGAAATGTACGTAGAGTAATTATCGTCGGTACTAAGCTAGATAATTTCAAAACATATTCGATTTTCGGATTAATACAATTTTTTATTATTGATTTTGCTTTGTACCATGGAATCTCAAAACCCCTTAATGTAATCCAACCCGTGTGTATCTTCCAATTACAGAAAACGCGAATATTTCGAACAAATCTATGAAGAGTACATGCTATAGGGACAGCGCCCGTTGGCCAGAACCCAACTTGATAACTATACTCAACATTTCTCAAACATTGTCTAACATTTAGTTGATAGAACACAAACCCCCAAAATGCAAATAGATTAAAGATGAAGATATACAAATAAAGCACAAGTTTTGTCGACTCTATTTGCCAAGTAAAAGGGCCTGGCTTTCCATTTTATCTGCAATACAATTATGTACGTTTACACACACACACATGAAATGGAAATCTACGGGCTGAACTAGGGTGCTGAAATCTTGAAAGTAGAGCTATCGTTGGTGCTGCTGCTTCTTAAATATTGCTGGAAGTAGAATCCCTCCGTCTTGCCTTACATGTAGATGAAGTTGAATCTGTGAAGGAAAACATTGTTCATTAGTAGATTATCTGGGAACTTAAACACTGAGTGTGACACTTACCTGCAAAGAGCCTGCGGCAGGGAAGAGATGATCGGTCCATAGCCTTGCGAGTTGTCGTATAGCTCGAACAATGGCGCAGCAACAAGCTTATAATTTTTGGGTACAGCAAATAGTGCTAGATTACGGAAAACGATAGAGACAGAATTCATGTATGTAGAAATAGCAACGAGCATTCAAATTCACAGAATATATTATCTAGGGGTATTACAATCGGTTGTACAATTTACTTATTAAAAATCAGTTCGCTCCCGTATGATATATAAAGTCGTATGCGTTATGTTTTACATTCATAGTTGGATTCGTTAGACTAATTACTAGGACTCGCAGTGGCTTGCAAAACGCCTGGCACTTTGCTGGCCCAGCGAAGCTTCCTAATTTCAGATATGAACATAATTTCAATTAAGAGCAACATTATACATGATATATATATATATGTGCGGTTCGATCTGTGCGCTGAAATGCTGTAGTTAATGGACTTCAATCCATTTCAGCGCACAGCGAAGGCGTAAGCATTAGAAAATATGGGCCAAAGAAAAATATAAACAGAGTATTTTGCTTGTGTTTACATAAACGAGTGCTTAATTTAAGGAGCGACTGGCGACTGGGAGTGCTGGCTGCACTGCATGCACGCAAATCTGCAAAACACGCGAGATTTGGGCGCATAGCTTCGTCAGCCAGCAACGTTACAATGCTATCTGCTGCCTGCCCGGTGGCTTTGTATGGATAAATACACATCAACATTAAGATGAACAACACATGACACTTGACAAAAGTAAGTAAGAGTAGAAGCTAGGAGATAAATAAATTTGTAACTTGAAGGATAACATGCCTGCGCTCAGTCTCACATGTATGTCGACATATTTACAAAATTAAATACAAGAACAATCTTTGAATTTAGAATGACAAGAGTCGGGAAAGAACAAAATATGCCAACACGCTGTCCTGAGCAAAAATACAATTTGAATTAAAATTTCAGATATGTTGTACAATTGAACTAGAATCAAAAACTATCTAAGACGTAGCCTTCGCTCGATCTTTGCGATCTGTTCGTTTCTTTTCTGTTTGATATGTTCTGTTTGCTCGATTGTTGTTCTATGGCATTGGACTCTTGAGAGTAGTTGGGTAGATACGACACACACGGCGCTAATGGAACAGCTCAGGGTACATCGTAACTGGCGTTCCCGTCCGTATCTAAACAGCATTAAAAAGATATGACATGAGGTTTGTTAGCGTATTCGGTTTTTGGCAACGAAAACAATCTATAGGTTATATAAAATACATGGAGAGATGGATATTCTGGAAACACGGTGTGATCGATATACCTACGCGTAGGGATCAATCGTCCCCCGCGGATATTTACCCTTTTCATGTAGCTGAACAAGAAATAGTCGCTTGTGCTCCTTGGGCTTGGTGATGTGCGGTGGAATGTACGGATATTGCGGTGGCTCGAAATTCGGCCTCCACCAGTTTCCAATTGTGTCTTCGACAATCCATTCCTGCTTCACGCCGTCCTGACGACCCAGCGTCTAAAAAATATTTCAAATAAAACCAGTTAAGTGGTAATCATTGTATAATGCCGTTAAGCCAAGAACACAGGGGAATGAACATTAACTGATATATTTGTAGCCCTATACTTGACTCACCTCGGAGAGCAGTCGCTTCAGGCCCTCAACTTCATCCTCGCCGGCATTTAGCTCACCACCGGGTAGTTTGAAGAATGTGGTGCCTAGCTGTAGGAGCAAGACATGTGGCAGTCCGTGCTCGTGGACAAGGAGCACTCCCTCGACGGACCGACGCATACCGATCCGGTCGAATTCCTCGCGCATCCGCTGGAATCGGGACGGTACCGAAGGGTCCTTTTCGAAGAGTGGCTCCTTTGTTCCGAATGTGTAGTTAGTCAGGGGATATCTGAAACATAAGATACATCATGTAATATTTGCATATCAACAGTGCCAGAGAAAATGCTCACAGATTGATAGTGCGATTGATGGTCAGCGCCTGGTTAGTGTACTTCTGAGTACCGTTATTATTGCTGCTGATTGCATCCGCTTGGCCTTGACTTCCGCGCCGCGGCCAACCGGAGCCCGATTTGTTTGAGACTTGCGAGGACGCCATTTTGTTATACACACTCCCCCGTGTGAAAATTGATGGCCAAACTGGCTGATTTCCGCCAAAATCCGTGAGATTTCTATTGATATTTAATTTTCAAACAACTGCCAAATGCTTTACTGTTTATTTACAATATTGGCTGTTATTTAAATCACACTTTAAGCCGTTTAATTTCAGTTTTTTGTCCAGCGCTTGTGCAAAAAATTAACCGGCTGGATCAGGGCTGCAATATATTGATTAGGTTCATATGAAGGGAACTGGTTCATGCATCTAGCCTCTGAAATCTATCGATTTCTGACTTGATTATGGGTCATACATTTTGTGTTTATATTTTATTATTTATATTTTATTAAAGATTAGTTATATTGCATTTATAATAATATTTATTGTTGTGCAATGACACCCCTGGCTGTTACGGTAATTTGGCAACGCCACACGTTTCGTTTACCTTTATCTGGCCACACTGGTACACATTAGTTTTTTGTTTATGTTGGGACGTCGGAAAAATCGGCTGTTTTTCCCGTGTGTCCGTCTGCCATGAAAAGCTGCTAAAAAGCTAAATATAAAAATCAGCGCAGCGCATACGTTTGGCTGGCTGCATTGTTTTCCCATTTTAATGGGAAATTATGTGAGTGCGAGTCAGAAAAACGCATCTTGTGTGTATATGTATATAAGTATGTAACTGCGCCCGTTTGTTTGTGTGTGTTTTGTGTGCATGGTGCAATGGAAAAGTGATTATTATAAATGAAAATCGGTGAAATGTGTAAGTGTGGCACCGCAAACGCTTTGAACATTTCCATTTCCATGTTTTCACCTCGTCTTTTCTTTTCTTCTTTCTCCTTCCCCTTGCAGCAAACAACTCCCACTTGTACGTGTGTAAGGCAGAAGGGTGTTTTGCATTTGTGTGTGTGCCAGATAAAAGACTTTGAAATTTCTGGAGGATATTAGTGTCAACAGGGGGGATATAATACGCAATAGCCCCTAATATGCAGGCAAGTCCATTAATTACGCGAAAGGTCAAAAGTTAGGCACGCAGCCAGGATCCAAGGAGCAAATAATAATGTTGTAAGAAGACGGCAAACCCGTAAGAGCGATAGAGAGAGCAGGTGTTTTGGTGTGAGTGCGTGGTAGAACAAAGAGGACGAAAAACACGGCCGCAAGACAAATTCGCCGTAAGGCGAATTCAAGCGTAAACCAGAAACTGAAAGAAAGAAAAACAAAAAAGGATATTTTATAGAAACTGATTTATCTAAAGACTGCTACATTGCTACATAAAATCCAACGCCATGTCTGCGGCTGAACTAGAGGCAGAGTCTACTGCCCAGGAGCAGCAGCCCCAACAACAACAGCAGACGCACGGCAATGAAGCAAATACAAACACTGCCATCGATGAAAATGCAACCACAACAAATAGCTACAACAATAATTTGGATATGGAAACCCAGCTACAGATGCACCAGGATCCGCAACAACAGGAGATCGAGGGCAATAGCAACAATGGAATCACAGGACTCGGTATTAGCCTGATGAACTCTTCACCACCGCCGCACAGTTACCGGCATTCGCGGGCCTATCGCCACTTCAAGAACCCGCCGCAACCCCACATGTGCATCCGCACCACCACGGAATCCGGCGAAGAACTGTTCATCAATGTCCTCAGCTGGACCCGCATTGTGATACCACAGGAGCCTAGCGATCCCATTCCCCTCTACGGCGGCATGCGGGTGAGTTCTTATTAGATAAATGGTCCTAAAAGATATCTTATTAGTTGTTTTACACCATTCATCTTTTCTAAATAAAGGATGTTAACTTCAAATTTATTCAAACCTTATATTATATTTTAGTATAAGTATTAAGTAAATAGTATAAATAAAAACTATATATTTTCATTTCAGGTACCGCCTGGTAGTCCACGCAGTCCCCCAATTGTTTTTGCTGTAATGGCTAATCCGGAGGTTCTTAAGGATTCAGGTCGTCACAGCAAAGATCCCGAAGAGCGACGAGCCATGGTTGAGCTTATGTGCGATTTTGTGGAGGCTATGAACCCAGGCGTGAAACTAGTCAGGTATTAATAATAATTCCAAAAACAATAAAGTAAAATAGCTGACCAGATTATGTAATGCTATATATAATAATATATTTATTTTAATCTATTAATATTTTATTTCTACCCACAGAAACGCCGTAATACTCAAGGATCGCGACATCTCAGGCGAGCTAAAGGACGTGTGGAATGCCGTGCAGGCGCAGCGTGATCGTGAACGGGAAGAACAGATGATACAACAGCGCCAGCAGCAGCATTTCCAGAACGTCACCACGCAGCAAATGTTCCCCAAATCGCCAGATGCAGCGCGGGCAGCTAGTGCTGGTGCTGCAATGAACGACATCAACTCGCTACCAGCTCAGCTATCTGAACCGCTCTTAGCAGAGCATGGAAACGGCAATGGAAACGGAAATGGCAATGGTATCACTCTGGCTGTGTTTGCCCAGCAACTGGACAACAAAGTGGCCAGTGAGCAAACGGAACAGCAGGCGGAACAATCATCATTGGAGGAAGCTTGCGTGGATCAAACGGATGCGGGTAACTCGTCGAATGGATCAGCAACTGTGTTGGACAATCAGATGATGGCGGTAGAGGCTGAACCCGAGGTAAAAGTTGCTCCCACGGCCGTTACCAATGGTTCCAGCACGCCTGCATCCAGCAACTCAAATGCCACAGCAACAGCCACATCCACTCCCAGTCCAACTCCAGCCCCCATTGTTGCTCCCGTTGTCACACCAACTCCTCCACCTGCTGCCCCCGCCAAGAAGGAGAAACTTGGAGGCTTCTTGCCCAACGGCTGTATCTTCCCGCGCTTCAAGAACAACAAGCACAAGGACAAGGACAGCAGTCACAAAGAGGGTAAGAGCAAAGAGAAGACATTGCTCAATGCGCTGAAGAAGAGCAAAGAAAAGAAAGTGGCGCCCAGTGAGCAGCCGACAGAGAAGGCTACCGCCTCGGACAATGGAACCACGCAGTACGAGAAAAACTGCATCAACAATCTGGAATGTGAGGTGCAGAAATTGGATCTGAACAGCGGTAGTAATGGTGACAACAGCATGTTTATCAAGCTGAAAGTTTCGTCAGCCAATACCACAGCAGCGGCAGCGGCGGCAAAGTAGAGATAATCCTGAATTTACAGACACACAAAAATCTCGTAGGTAAGTGGAGGAGTTAGGACGAACGAGAGTAGGAGGCGGCACTAAACCAGTGAACAGAGTCACTGGGTCTGCACTTAGGGCTTAGAGTCGTGGATAGAGTCGTGTAGCTTATACAAGATTTATATATACAGAATATATATACACTCACACACCCGTTTACACCGTTGGTCAATTTTTTGGATAGCCACTCAGAACCAGGACTAGATGAACTAACAGTTGTGCCATGCTCCAGCTCATAGACATTTATAGACGACAGCGCTTCTCCCAGGATCTTCCCCGGCATTTAACTGACTAAATGATAAACGTATTTACATAGTTCAATATATGTATGATTCGCATACAGTTTGCCTTATATACAACAAGCCCAAGAGAGCGACAAGAACCTAGCAAGAACCAGTTGATAAAACACGTAAATTAATGTATTAAACAAATAATCGTCGAATGAAACTCATGCGCCAAACGAACATCCCAGCACTCAACCACACATCTTAGACTAACTACTAGCTCCATTCCCAAACAAAGGTCTTATCACTTCATCGTTAACCACCTACCCACCAGACATTTCCCCAATCCATATCCATATATCCATGCAAAAGTATTAAGAAAACATCGCAGATCCAAGTTTCCTAACCATGGATCAAATGATCTCCAAGCTTTGAAGTTGAGGGGCAGTACAACGGTAGGGGAGAGTTTTAAAACCGGCTCTATAGTGCCACAACTAACTTATGTACCTTAGTATACCCGAATGCGAAAATCAGTATACAGATCCGCAATGTCGCTATTATATTTTATTTTTTAAAGTTTAACTTTTAGTTCCTCCTATTTAGAATCGAAAGAAGGAACTTCTCCTTCTACTTTTATTTCTGTGCGTGCTTGTTGTGTTGTAATTGATACTGTTGGAATGTTTAACCTTTTAACCTGTGTTTATTCTTTGTGCTAACCCGATCCCTCCTCAACTTCAAACAAAAACCACTCACGAATCATCTATTATAGAGAGTAAACCACTAGAATTCGAATAATATATTCGGGAAACTCCACTTAACAAAAAAAAAAAAGGGAAAACAAAATGTTTCAACTGCAATATCGGACTGAACAATGCTGCCATATAAAAGTATACACATGTAATGACTTTGTATATAAAGTTAGCTACATATTTCCATTAAAAAAAAACAAACGAAATTTCAATTGTGATTCAATCGAAAATCTAATTTTGTTTCCACATCGAAGAATTTTTAGTGAAGTGAACTCAAAACAAATACACGACGTATACCGAATAAAATATAATTTTGTTTGCTAGGAAAACCTCAAATGACCGGTAATCCCAACAAGAAGGAAGTTTTCTTTTTGTTTATACATTTATTTCGTTTAAGGTGCCATACAGAGAGATTGTATGAGAATTAATCAAAATTGATTGTATCCAATTGGTATTATACTTAAGCCCAGAGTTTCCTTAATTTTGAGTTGGATTGAGTACCCCCCGAAAACCCTAAAGTCTATATATGCTAGTTTTTAACTGGTTGTAAATGAGAAATGCTCGTGTAAAATTAGTATTAAATTAAAGCACGAACACCCAACAACAGAAACAGCAACAAAACACAACACTATAATTACAAATTAAACTAGTTTAAGATTCAAGTCTTCTAAGCGAAGAGCAAAAAGCAATAATTTTACTTGAAAAGAGAAACCGAACGGGCAAGAAAAATTATAATGAAAATGCGTGTGGCGAGTTAATAGCAATAGGGGTAACATGGGAAAACTCTAGAAATTTTCATTGACTCTAAAAAAATATCCTTGATTATTTCATAAATTTTAACTTAGTAACTATTTTGCTTACTAATTTTACGAGAAAGATTTTATACTTATTGGATTATAGTAGACTTTGAAATATCTAGAGTTTTCTTGGAATTCCCCGGAAAAACTTCTACAACAAAAAAAAGGAAAGAAACAAACTTCTGCGAATGAAAAGCCAATACACAAAAAACACACATTTTTATATGTATATGTATGTAATAATAAAAGATCGTATTTGACAAAAGTGTAGTTGAAGCTGCGATTTATTTAGCGAAGGATTCAATAAATATGTGGAATGTATTGGCTACTTTCTACAGAACGACCTGTACAAGGCGATCCATGGATGCGATGGATCTCCCAAATCCGAAAGGATTCGGATTTAGAACCTATTCATCCTTGTTGTTGATGGCCCGCAGACGTTCCAGTTCGGCGCGCTCCTCCTTGTTGCGCAACAATGGGACATTGTAGTCGAAGGCGTAGAAGAATCCCTTGGGTTCACCGGTCTCCTCGGGTCCAGGAACATATGGTGGCTCCTCATGGACATAGGGTTGGTACTCGGGCTCAGCGGGCTGGTAACGACCCTCCTGCTGGTATTCGGCGGCATAAGGATCAGGATTGTGGCCAGCGGCAGCAGCCAGTTCACCCCAAAGCTTGAAATGCTCTTCCTCGGCCTTAAGGACAGCCGGAGTCTTGGTGGCCGGAAGCTTAAGATGTGCTGGACGGTTGTCCTCAACATGGAAACCGGTCTTATCCGCATAGTAGTTGGCCACAAAGTCACGACCATGTGGTTGGACATACTTGTACGATCCAGTCACCTTGCCAGTCTCGTCACGCTTCTCGTTCTTACCCTGGTTCCAGTCCCTGTAGCCATAGGCAAACTGACCCAAACCATCCTGGCCATGGTACTGATGGGCGTCGTAATGCTCCTCGACATAATCCTCAGGATGCTCGATCACACGGCCCATGTACACGAATTCTCCCTTCTCGTTGCGAGCCTCGGGCAGAGGATTCTCTCCGGTTTTTGGGGCATACTCGATGTCGCTAATGCCACGCAATTGGGCGGAGTTCAAAAACTGCTGAGCCTCCTCGGGGGTGATGTTGATCTTAAAGATGTTCTCGCCGCTGGCTAGGGTGGCCTAAAATGATATAACGAATATTAAAAATAATTAGCGAAAGTTAAGACAACCATAAAATTTGGGCCTTAAATTTTATGGCCAATTTAACACGCTACACAATTCTGGCGAGGAGATCACAAAAATATAAAGATGATGTCATATCATTGATTTAAGTCTCATCTCACATGTAACCTCGTATTTGCTTAATTTTTGCACATTGTATAACTTTAAGATTTGCACTTTGCGATCCGCACACAATTGACATTTATAATAGTCACAACCCGGATTTTAATTGAATGGTTCGAATCGATTCAAAGATGATCGTAAATATCAGCTTAATTATGCAAATTATCTGCATTTACCAGCAATAGGGCAGCCAAGATGAAGCACTTCATTATGGATTCCGATCGAATTGTGAGTTATATATCCAGATATGAAAACGTTTTCACTGTTCTGCAGTTGGCGGGCTACTAATAAACTGAATATCCATAGCCACTGCTTATATACTAACTTTCAACTCGGCCTGGGGTATTGTTGTTTTTTGCGTTTTGCATAAATCTGAATGAAGATGTGCTTGCTGGTTTTGTGTGTTTCACTGACCAGCAGACTGAGCTTCACCTGTCCGGTTTCTTACTCAGCTTTAGAATCTCATATCCCACAGCCAGTGGCGGCATTTTGAAGTTCATTATCAAACGTCGCTCAAATTCGCACTTCTCACACTCGGCTACGGATATATATTCACAGTGAGATTCAGATACAACTATGAAAACATCATTAATTGTATGTATGCCGCTTGGTCAATTAGTTATCTAATAGCTTTCTGGTCTACCCATCTTTTGTTGCCTCTTTTCAGAACCCTTTTCGACTCGATTCAAGTGCCATTTTCAGTGGTCATTGGCTGTCAGTGTCGAGAGTATCGTAAAGATACTTTTTTTTTGCCTCTCGAAAATCATTGGCTTGGCAGGCATATTTGGAAGTCTCAAATCTGGTTTGGATAATCTTATCTAGATGGTATTAGCATTTCAGTTCAGTTTTCTTAATAAATTCACAAGAAATCTACATCAGGTGGATTCCAAAATGTGAAGAAAATATGAAATATGTTTCACATTTTGCAAGAAAAGGTTAATTTTTAGAAGTTAGCCATAACAAAAAATGAGAGATAAGGTAATTCCAAGTCGAACCCTTTATTCTCAATCTTTTTACTCTAACCATTTGGCTATGATTTATTTACAATTAAGCATCTTTAAGCACCTCAATCACTTTTTACTTTTAATTAATGCAAAGTTGACTGCTTTGGGTTTAACTTTGGCTCCGGGTTTCCTGTAGATCGGCGGAAGTTTTTTGTTTAGACATGCGCCAAGCACTTGAAGTTCGATTTGAGTACTGCATAATTAGATGCGATGCGACTATAATAGAGGATGCGATGGGTAATCACATCACTCGTATAGAATAGGATAGGCGATCAAATGTCAGTTCAATAAGCCCGGACTCAAGTGTAATTAGAGACCAATGGATCTTGGGTGGGAAGGGTTTTCGGAGCATCGATCGATCGATCGTGCCAAACTCTTGAAAGCCGCTTATTAGGCGCTTTACAAGGGCAACTGCGCAGTTGTTAGTTTACAAAATGACTTAACTATTTAAATAATAAACACGCTTCACGTTCCAGGCTGGGCCAGTAAACATCTTCAATCTATACAACTATACTGCAACAGTCCATTTTGAAAGTCAAGCGTAACCAAAGCGCCACATCATCAAATCATCGGTAGTATCATCGCCATCATCATCCTCATAAGTAGGTATCACCATCATCATCATCTGTTGCCGAGCGTTTCCCACTGTCTGTTTTTTGGGATCTTTTTGCTATTTTTAACAGCAGACAAAGGCGAGCCAATCTCAAGAAAGAATTCTGTTGGTCCCAAATACTAAACAACGTTAGAAACAACTAAGGTTCTGGGTTATTTATGATTCACTAACAGGTTAGTCTATAGTTATGTGGCAATAAAAAACATAGTCCCTGACGTCCAAGTTCTAGCTAAACAATATTGTTACCTTGTCTTTTCATTCATTTATTATTTGTTATTTTCTGGCAATTTCTGGAATCCGCTTTAAAAATAAATAAACAAGCAAGAATCTTATTTTATGGAAAACTCATTGATTCATTCCTAAGTTTGTTATTTTGTTTATTGAATACCAATTTGATGATGATGATGCCAATGTCTAAATAAAAACGAAGACCTAATTTTCAGACAAAAATCAGGTTTACTGGGCCTCTCCGTCTTAAATTTTGGTTGATAATTATTTATAATACATTGTTATTTTTTCGACGCCTTAAAAAATTTGAAATAATTGCGTATGATAAATGAGGCTGACGTTGTTGCTGAATGGTGATCGTGCTGTGGGAAACAGATGAAATGTCAATTAAATTTGCATTTATATTTTCGATTGAAGCTCGTAGATTGGCTTTGGCATTCTAGTTAACTTCCTTATGTATTTTAAGATACTTAAAGAATTCTACCGTGTAACAATTTCATTTCATTCATAATATCTTAATCTGAACAATAAGAATGGAAAACCAAAACACTTCATTAAATTGGTTTAATTGCCGTAAAACTTGTTAAAGGTTGCTTTAAAGTTAAACGATAGGCATAAGAAAAGAAGAGAACATATTTTACTTTGTAATTTACCATGGCTAAAGGTCAATTTGACAACAAACAAAACATATTTATATGTTTATGTTTAAACGCGTTAAAATACCTTTTACATGTTTTTTATTTTCAACTTAAACTTAACTTAACTTATTTTACCATTAAATTTGTATTAAACTTGAATTATAACGGCAACTATTTGAATTTATTTGACGATGATGTTTCATAGCAGCCAGCCAACCATTGATAGTATTGGTCAGAGCTGTCACATCGACTAATCGATATCAGCAACTGGGGTCCATCACTAACTTTCCTTCTGGCTCTGGTCACATCGTCTGGCCATCAAAATCCCAAACTTAATTAAAAAATTAAATAATTCTAATAATAATTAAGCCCAGTAATAAGTACGCTGTGCGAGGGCGTAACCGAGATATTGGAACAAATCTGTAACCCATCAAAACCATGGTAGTGTTGGAGACGGAGAAGGTAAGGCAAGAAAACGGCGAGCCGCATGGTTTCGATTTCGATTTCTGCTGAGCCGTGGCAGGAACAACAAAATCAGGGTTGTTGCACAAGAGGGGGAGGCGACAGTCGAGCGGAAAAGTGTGCAGTTGGCGTGGCATCATCATCATTGTGTTCACCTATCTTTTTACGCTAAATTATCAGTCGTAATTTTGCGCACTATTATTACTAAATAATAATTGCTACTTGCACGCTGTTGTCTACGTCATATTTATTGTTCCCTCTCTGTCTGTCTTAATAAAGCTATCTCGCTTTCGCGGTCACTCGCGCTCTTTCCTCTCCTCTCGCATTTGCATACCACACGTTTTCACTGCTCTCTCTCTTTCTCTCACTTCTATTTCTCTCTTTGTGGCTGGAATTTGTCGCGAGTGTGTGTGGGTTTCTGTTTCTTTTGCTACATAAATAGGCGAAGCGAAGCAGAGAGACAAAAAAAGAATAAAAAGAAAAAAGAGTGAATTACTGCAATTAAAGCAGTCGCGAACAACAGTTAAATCATATTTTTGTCGGCCATTGCAGTCGCGAGCATCGCCAATAAACCGTTGGTTTTTCTTTCCTTCTCCACTTTCCACCTCCTCTCTCTGACGATTTTTCAGTTAAACGCGCCGCTGCTTTGAACTCGCACACGCAGTCTCGCAAAAAAAAAACTAAATTTACAACTCTTTAACTGGATTAAAAAACATCAATTCAATTCTTTCAACAGGCAATCTGTGTTTTTATGTCAAATACGTGCGCGTGTGTGTGTGTGCTGTAATTCCATCGCTACTTTCGATTCGGAGTTACCTAGGAACATTTGTTCGTTTTTTTTCTAGTAGTTCGCTTAAAAGTGAAACAGGATACTCCTCCACATACTCAATATACAATACTATACTCACACCCTTACTCAGTAACCAACAAGTTTAACGAGTTTTTTGTATTATCATTACTTAGTTTTTTGGTTAATAATACACAAGTGAAAAGCGAACTGCAGGGAAGAGATATCAAGAAACAATCCGAAATCCACACACACTCGAACAGAAATCAAAAGCTTCGCTCTCTTGCACACACACACGCACCACCACCACCACTACTATCACCAACACCACGAAAGAGAGAGCGGCAAGTGAATCACGGCGAATCCGAATCCTCTCCGGGACCGAAATCGAAAAAGAACTGATCCTACCATCAAACGCATCTAATAAACACGGCCGCCAACATGCAGAGCGATTTTCACAGAATGAAGAACTTTGCCAATCCTAAGTCCATGTTCAAAGTAATACTCTCAGTGCGCCTGTCGCTAAGCCAAGCTAATCTAATCTCTTGAATTCCTCCTCCGATCTCTTGATGTCTTCTCCCACAGACTAGCGCCCCCAGCAGCGAGCAAGGTCGCCCAGAACCACCGACTCCGGCTGCAGCTCCCGCTAAGGCAGAGGCTAAAGATGTTAAGGCCAAGGAAGATCCTCAGGAGGCTGGTGAACCAGCAGCAAACACTGCATCCACCAACGCTGCCGGCGACGATGCAGTACGCACCGAGCACCTATTTAAACACCCGCTCATGAACGTATGGACCCTGTGGTACCTCGAAAACGATCGATCCAAGTCCTGGGAGGACATGCAGAACGAAATTACCAGCTTCGATACCGTTGAGGACTTCTGGAGCCTTTATAACCACATTAAGCCGCCATCAGAGATCAAAGTGGGCAGTGATTACTCGCTCTTCAAGAAGAACATTCGGTAAGCTGGAGCCCTTTTACTTGTCAAGATAAACCTTAATAACTGCAATTCTTTGAAATTTAGGCCCATGTGGGAGGACGCTGCTAACAAACAGGGAGGTCGCTGGGTCATTACCCTTAACAAAAGCTCAAAAAGCGATCTAGATAACCTATGGCTCGATGTGGTAAGTGTACAGAAAAAATAAAACGTAAGAGGTAGTTTGTACAATATTATCTATTGTTAATTTACAAATGATCCAGAAATCTATTTTTGGTTTTCACAATAAAATATAGCGACTGACTCTGAATTTATTTTACAGTTGCTTTGTCTTATTGGGGAAGCTTTTGACCACTCCGATCAGATCTGTGGGGCTGTTGTAAACCTTCGAACCAAGAGCAACAAGATATGTAAGTTCACACCGATACTTCATTGGAACTCCTTTGTTTAACATTGCCTTGTGTTTTAGCCATCTGGACTGCCAACGGAAACAACGAGGAGGCCGCCCTGGAAATTGGCCATAAACTGCGCGATGCACTGCGTCTGGGACGCAACAACTCGCTGCAGTACCAGTTGCACAAGGACACGATGGTCAAGCAGGGCTCCAACGTCAAATCGATCTATACTTTGTAGGTTGTCGGACCACGTCCGCCATCCGATCTTAGTTTTGTTAGTTTATGTTGCTCTTATTTATGGTTATAAACAGCAGCAGCGATTGATCGTAACACCTGTCCAAGACCCGCGTAACGAAACCGAAATAGACCCCTTTGTTATCAAAAATCGGCTAACTTAAAATCAATCCGCTTTTTGTAGTCATTGTCAATAATGGATTTAACGGAAAAATATAATAATAAATACCTACATTAAAACCGGACATTAAATTGTCTTATTTCGTATGGAACATGTTTTTGACTACATATTTTATTGCCTTGTAAAGCATATAAAAGATATCCAGTCACGCTTATACTCTGTAGGAGAATAAACCATAAGAAGTAAATTGAGGGCGTTGGCCATCCTATTTTGGACACAAATCGTTAAACTTCCTAATTTGGAAATAATTACTTGTAAGAGTACGTTACCAATTTTTAGGGTGACCACCGGTCCACGTTGTCGATATATCGATAAGTTTCCGGTACCTTACATATTTTAATCATAATTTTGAAAACAGATTTAAATGTAAAACGATATTTTATTTTTGTATAAGCCAACGAAAATTAATTAATAGTTATAACATAATTTGAAGTCATAAAATGTGGGATTATTTGATTGTGCTAAAAGCTGTCACACTGCACGATATGTTTTAACTGTAAAGAAGCGGTCACACTGGTCGCGTCGTTTTGGTGAAATCGTGGAAGGATATTTTGTCTCTGTGTTTAGTTGATAAAACACATTAAAAAATATGTGTAATTCATAAAAAAAAAATAACAATTACCCGTAGAGTAGTTAAAGGGCTGGTAGCTGGTTTAGAAAAATATAAATTTACAATCATTTGATATACCGTTGTTCGCGCATAAGCAAAAAGATATAATAATAGACCTACCAACACAAACAAACACACGGCCAGAAGTTCGTTGGCGTTGAAAAGGAAAAATAACGAAAAGAAAGGGAAATAAAAGTGCAATAGATTCGGTTTACATTGTGCAAAAAATCGAAGTAGCCCCTGCCAACAGGGTTGCTAAAAATAAAGACGGCGACAGCCAGTGCTTATCGTTGGAAATAAACAAAATAACCAACGGAGAAATCATAACAAAAGCGCAAGACTAGCGAGCATAAAAGACAAAGGAGTCCCCTTTTTGGGGTTGAAAACCCCTCTTCTTATATAGCGGACCAGGATTGCAACGACTATGAAACACCTTGCAATCTAGTTTAAAAAGCAAAAGAAAGAGTTACGAACAAAAAAAATGCCTTGCGACAACGCCAAAACCTCTTCGGATATCGAGCATGTGGATTGGAATTCCGGCCAACACTATGCAAATGTCAGGTGAGTTGCGTTTTTATTTTACGTGTATTTTTTTCGGGTCTTAAATGCCCTTGACATGGCCGAAAAAAAAGAGAACCCTATAAATTATTCAAGTACACCACCCAACAAAACCAAAAAGCAAAACAAAACAAGTGCAAGCACGCAATCGAAAAGTCGTGGGATGGTTGACATTCTTATTGGCATTGTCCATTGTTTATTTTTAGTCAGGAAACGGACATGATTTAAATGTTTGATTGCCTGTCGCCTGGGGAATCGAAATAATTAAGTTCTCAACGCAGATTTTAATTGCCAAAATGTTAAGTACGGTTCTTTCCAAATAAACATCCAAACCAGCTGTCCACACTTTGGTTCGTAAGACCCCCCTCAAAGTGCCAGAACTAGATAAGATATGTCTTCGAATGAAAATAAAAATACCCCCACTTTAAAGCAGAAAATGAATCACTTTCATCTGCTTCACTAACTTTATTTTATAATTTTATGCACACTACTCACCGTTGAGATCTTTATCTCTCTAATTCAAACGTAACACTTGCTAATGACTGCCATTAAACATTACTTAATGACATTGACTTGTACTTACCATACTTGTTCCAAGCGAAACGGCAGTTCGATTGAAATGCAAATATGGGCTTTACGATGCTGGGAAGGTGACAAGTATTTGACATATAACGCCAGCTGTTATCTGCTTGAACAATTATAAAATACTTACGATTTATTTATATTTTAATCAGAAAAGACGGCGGGGCATTGACCATATTTTTACATATTTAAATAGGGCAACAACGATAATAAATGTTAGATTGATAATGTAATTAAGCTTAAAAGTTTATCTTTATAGTTTACAGAACTGGAAACTAAGATTTTGATAAAAATATTTTCTTATAACTGGACTTTTGAGTCTGTAAATTTCATCAGTTGGCATTTATTTATATATTTTACTTTTACCATATCATGGAATTTGTGTTTCTTGAATGCTGACAAATATCTATAGCTCTTGTCAGGCTTTAACTTAAACACATACGATTTTGTATGTACAGATGTACATTTGTATATTTTATTTTTGAAATACAGACCAGTCAACTCGATGTCAGACTGATGAGCCTTATCACCCGGCCATCGCAAATCTAATCTGTCGCCGGAGTGTGTAAATGTGTCCCTCTTTGGCTGGTGTTTTTGTTGTTTCAGGTGTTCAGGTGTCGTTGTTAAATAAACATTGGCAATTGTTGGTGTTTATATGTGGCCGCTTGGGCAATTACGATCAAATATTTACCAAGTTTAATGAAAATGTAAAATTGAGTGAAACGGAAAATATACCACTGATAAGAAGCGTTTTTTTACCAAAGTATTTGTATATAAATGTGTATATATTATATTTCCAGCCCGCAGTTCGAATAGGGTTTCCACGAAACAAAGGAGAAATATGCATATTTGGTGTGCCCCCATTGGGTATAACTTTTGCATTAATTGCCTCGAACTTAAACCAGTTGGGACTTAAAAATAAGTTTTACACAGCAGCACACACACAAAAAATAATGCGCAAAATATTAAAAAGCGTTCAAAACAAAAGCGGAGCAGCGAAAACAAAGCGCAAAGCAGTTGAATTGGACCCCGGGTTTCTCTGTTCCGTCTCTCTTCCATCCGTCCGGTACCCCTCGAAGTTCACCGGATTCGCCCGGTTCTTTGCGCCATGTGAAGATTACTCGTTTCATCTGGTCCGTCGGAGCACAAGAGAGGGCGTGCCCTGTTCCGTTGTTCTGGCATGGAATTTAATAAAAATGCGCTAATTTAGTTGTAATTAAAAGTGGGATCGGTGGGGGTAATCAACTCCTCAAAAGACTAAAATCTTACGCAAAAAACATGGAAAACCTGAGCTAAAAAAAAACAAAACGTTAAAAGCGTAATAACCAACCGACCCTTGGATAATTAAGCTATAAAGATCTCTTTTCGGGTTAAACCTTATGTTTGGGCAATAGGGTATTATGGGTACTAAAACTGAATCATAAATGGTAGTAGATAGTATTCATATTTTAGCTCTGTTTTGGTATGGATTTTACACTCTTAAAATAGAAGTATTCCGTTTCTGGGAATTTGAAAATTCCCATCAGAAGCACTTTGAGAGGGGCAACCAACCAAATGCCATAAAAGTACGATGAGCAGTGAATGCTTAACTGCAGGTTGCACTTGAAACCCTAAACCCGAGAGCGAAAAGGTTTTTATTTTTAGTTTCGCTGAAATAAAGCACCTGTCTCGCGATTTCTCTCTTTTACTTGGTAATGCGATAGCGTTTCGAATGTGTGTATATAGTAAGTATATACATACATACATATATACCCTTTGATATCGCTTAATCAAATTGTGGAGGGCAAAAAATAAACAAAAACAAAAATACCGATCAATAATAATGTGAGAAATCTTTCCGATTGGTTCTCTTTTTCGTTTTTCTGATCGACAAGAATTTTACATACGTATTTACGTGTACTGTGTTGTATTTATGGATTTCAATCGACATTTCCGTTCTAATTGAGTTGAAATTTGTTGTTGAGCTCAATGTCAAACAGGCAATTTGCCTTCCCAAAAGTCCCCATAAATGCCAAGTCATGAGGCTGTTTCAGTTGAGTGGCTCTGTCCCAAAGAGGTGTGGAAATGACCAGCCGGCGACTGTCTGCCGTCTAATGAAGTCGTAAAACTTGCGACTTACGCATGTCCTTAACTTGCAAGAAAAACCAAGAAAGGATAATATTCCCTGCCATCCACTAGATAGACAAACATGTGTACTTGCGGTTGTGTACTTTCTAAACCACTTTCTGCGGTATGGGCCACAAACGCATTTCCATCGATCCAAGGCCAACCGATTGGCCCAAAAACAGAAACAACATCAACATGGCAAAAGTAAAGAGGACGTGTCCAGTTCCATGTCCATGACCATGTCGACAGCCACAACAAATGTGCTGGCAGAGCCTTTGACTGGCCTGTCCTTCGCCTCAATCACGCACTGGCTGCCTGAACTCTAAAAAGGATACAAAAAAAAAAAAAGAAAACAGGCAGACACACCAAGTACAGAGGTACTCCGGATAGTGCAGATTGGCAGGGGCAAAAGAGCTATAGTACACTGTGAAGAAATAAACAGAAGTTAGTCATCATTCAGGGAGTTTTCCTAACAAAAAATTCACATTTTGCTGTACTTAACTAATCTTTAAATTTATTTTCAGAATAATAAAATGTACACATTGTGAAGTCATTAATCATATTGATGTATTTATTATCTTTTTAGATAGGTTTATTACCATAAAACCGTAAACACTTTAGTTAAGTTTATAGTTTATAAAAAAAGCTTGTAAATTATTTAATGATCTTTTTGTCATTAAAACTATCTGAGAGAGCTTCTTCATTTGAGATGATATTTCTGGGAGATAAATAAGATTATTTTGACAGCATAAAAATCCCAAATATCCTTGTTTTCCTCTGTGCATTTATGAGGTAGAAAGTAAAAGTTGTGCGCCATCCACTCATCGTTAGTTAGATTAGATACTCCGTTCAGACCCTACTGGCCCCTCGGAAACCTTTTCCAGGTGCTGAGTGGGCGTTTGCCAGCCATAATGATAGGGCGGCCAACGGAGCTAATTGCCTTGACCATAAACCAGCACCAGATTGCCGCAGTCCAAAGGGAACCACATCAGAACTTAATTGATATGTACACCCTAAGGGGAAGGGGTGCGAATGTGAATGCTCACTTTTCACGAGGAAAGCAGAAGGTTCCCACAAGTTTCACTCATCGTTTTATATGTACATTTTGTATAAATATGCATTCGCTCATGTAAGGGTACGTAGATGTGGAAAAACACAGTGGCTTTATAATAATATTTTCTGTTTCTGTTTCAAATTTGCTATAAAAATATAGGGATTTTGTTAAAATCATTATGAATTTTGAAGGAAATTTATATATTTTTAAGATTTAATAAATGTTTCCGGTCAAAGGGGTTTAGCTTGATGCTGTCATAATCAAGATAGAAAACATTTCAATCATTTATTTTCTTGGAAAACTTTAAAAAATATGGTTTTTATTAGGAAATCTTTTTGAAAGTAAACTCCATTTTTGCAGATTAAATGTTTCTGGAAAAAAGATATTTATGATTCCAAAATTAAACTGAAAACGAAAGTTTTCTTCTGAATGAATATCTTATTTTGAAAAATTCTGATAACCACAGCTGTTCTGATTCATTTCTATACACTCATTTTTGCCCACGTTTCACAGGCCATTCAGCAAGTGTCATTGACTTCTTTTCAATTTCACTTGCATCAAACTGCATCTGCCTCATCATTTATTTAAATTCAGACTTTATAATGAATGGAAAATATGAAGGGATGGCATCATGCGATATGATTTCATAAAGGCACACGCAAAGTTTTCCATTTGTGAATACAAGAAAAATAAAACTGTCGTTAAGATAACTGCAAATCTAACACAATCATGCGATTAACACACACTTAATGACTTGCTTAATTCGATTATATTTTTAATTGAAGTTTTGATTAAAACGGGAATAGTTAGAATGATTCCATTGCTCATATCTTGCTAATAAATATTCATTGACTACGTTTGTTAGTTCGTTATTTACATTCGTTTCGAATTGTTTACTAAATTTATCTGATTTAATAAATTTTCCCATAAATAATGATATTTCAATTATACATCCTTATCGACTTCGATAAGAATTGATTAATGGTTTACAGCATGCATGTGTACTTAAAGTTAAATCAAAATTTTAATGAAAAACACTCTATTGTGGCTTTTTGGTTTCTGATAATTGACTTGATTTAGTACTTTCGTGATGCTTTTTAGAGTTGATGACGAAAAGGTGTATTTTCAAGCCGTAATTATTTTCAAAAGCTCACGATATAGCCTCATATTTCATTTTAAGTGATCTTAAAGGAGACGTAACAAATAATATGACCCAGATTTTCCATTTGACAGCTTAACTGCAGTTTTTTTAACTAGAGATCTTCAATAATAATGGCCACAAAAAGTGCCTAAACTAAGATACCTAAATCGCTTATATTTATATTTGTAAATATGACCTACTAGAAAGTTTCTAATCCACTTCTAATACCTTCCAGATTCGGTTCTGGCAGCAGCCAGGCCTCCCAAAACAGTGGTGACATCTGTCGCATATGTCACTGCGAAAGTGATCCGCAGAATCCGTTGCTCACGCCGTGCTACTGCTCCGGAAGTCTAAAGTACGTGCACCAGGCCTGCCTGCAGCAATGGCTCACCGCCTCCGAGACGAATTCCTGCGAGCTCTGCAAATTCCCTTTCATCATGCACACCAAGATCAAGCCGTTTAACGAGGTGGGTTCTTCGATTGCATTGTCACATTTTATTACCGAAAGGCAGCTAATTTATTTTCATTTTGTCATTGCATTGTTTGGCTTCGAAATCGATTGGATTGCGGCTGGATTGGATTGGATTCGTGGCAATTGCAGTGGCGCAGCCTTGACATCTCCGGCATTGAAAGGCGGCGGCTGTGCTGCTCCGTGCTGTTCCATTGTGCCGCCGCCCTGTGCGTCATCTGGTCGTTGTGTGTGCTCATCGAGCGGGCCGCCGACGATGTCCAACGTGGCCTATTAGGTGCGGGGTGTTAGTATACCTCGAGTCTTGGGTTCGGACAGGTCAAATAACCGCTCAGCGAAATCCGTAATTGTCTAATTGCTTGACCCGCCTGAACCTGTGCTCTTATAATACCGACTATTTAATCTTTACGGATTCTAATTACCTGTTCCCTTTCTATTTTTAGATTGGCCCTTCTGGACCAAGCTGGCCGTTGTCACCGTTGGCCTGACCGGCGGAATGGTCTTCATGTATATCCAGTGCAAGGCATATCTGCATTTGTGTCATCGCTGGAAGGCACGCAACAGGTCAAGATCATTAGGAAATGTTAGGATTACTTGTCATTGGGATCATTAACACAAAATTCCAATTAGTAATTGTTTGTTTATAACACAGATTAAAACTGTAGAATGGTTCACTTTATATTAGATAATGTGTTTCATATAACTTGCTTAATATGACGTGAATGATGATGAAACTATTTGAATTATAAATTATAGCAGTTTATGTAATTTATTTTTTATAAATATTTAAGGCATTTGAAAAATGTGAGAAGTTGTCTGTTAAGAACTTGTTACTACAATTAGTATATTAATTAAATCAAGGGATTAATAAGCAATTTGCAATTTTATATTCTGAAATAATTTATGATTTAATATTTTGCTTTCCATACAAACAAATGAAGTTCTTATCTCTTTGTGTACTACAGACAAAGAAAATTCACATTTCTATTCAGCGGAGACAATCATATTTTCGTATTTAAATCAGAATTCTCTATAGACTGAGCCCATTGTTTAGACTCTTGCTAGTATTAGTCTGATATTTAATTGCAAATGTACTCGTATGCGTTTCTGATTAATGTGGCTAAAGCTTTCATACGAAAGATTTGGTTTTGAACTATTGCCTTGCTTACTTTTTTATAACCTTATGAAGCTCAAGTATCAATTTTATTCACATAAACAATTAAGATTGTTTTAGCTTTGCTTTCCTTGCTTGCGATTTATTACTTTTTGCCAAATTGTAAATCAGTCTTGTCTAAGGCCATAATAGAGAATTTTGTAAACAAATGAGATTTGAATACTTAGCAAAGCTATATCTTTGGTTTATTATAGACAAATTTTCACGAATGATTCAATAAAAGATGATTTATTTATTAGAAAATAATTTCAAGATTTGGATAATCGTATATATATTTCAGTATTGCAATGCGGATGCATGTTATCTCTTCATTTAGGGGATTTTTATTTTCAGTCCAAGGAAATGTAAACAATTTTATGAGTCACAAATAAAATGATAAGTTTTATAGTCATTTGTTAGAAAAAAGCTATCAAAGCTATTGTTATTAATGGGTGTTAGTTTTTTAATATTTTTTTAAGAAATATATTTATATATTAGCTTATAAAAATGATTCATTAATGTGTAAGATAGGCGTGTTTTGTTTTAGTTTATATTTGAATATAATTATAAAAGCTTACAAATCATTGAGTAATTCTAAATTCAAAGCAAAACGTTGATTTGTAAACAATCTATTAAGTTTATAATTTATCTTACAGAATTCTGCTGATTCAGAATGCGCCGGAAAAGATTCATCCCTTGGCACCTCCATCCCCAGTGGCCGCCCATCATCAGCACTTCAGTGAGCCACTCGCTCATGCCGGGTCAGCCAGCGGAGCAGTGGAGATTAATGCCAGCGGTGCTGCCGGTGGACACTGTGGCCACGATGTAAGCTGTGCCACAATGGAAAACGGTGGAGGCAGTGCGGGATTAGGTCTTCATCAGCAAATGCAGCGTCTTCTTAATGCCTCGCCACATCATATGCTACAAATGGCCGCCGAACTAGAGGTGCCACACAGCAGTAGCAGTGCCTGTACGCAGACGGAGGATGGAAATGGTCACCAGCGGCACCAGCAGATTCAACAGGGTGGCCAGCAACTTGGTCAAGTAGCGGTGGCCGCCAATATCGAGTGTTCACAGTCGCAGCACAATTACGATCGTGACTGGGCTCTCGATGATGTTGTCTCACAGATCTCTTCATTCCGTCCCTGTCCTCAGGGGTCGGGCAGCATGACGCCCTTCCACGATTCCATACACAACGTGCTGGAGCACTCGGAGGGCTCTAGTCGCGGCTCGGCAACGGATCTCTGTGCCGGATCACGGCAGGATCTCAGTGCCAGCGGCATCTCCACAGACACAGGCCGTGAGCATGCCCTGCAACTGAGCAGTTTTAGTGGTAAGTGACCACTAGAATTACTTTATAAGAATCTAACTAAAATTATCTATTAGCAGGCAGTGGCGAGCATAAAGCGCCGTCGATCAGCTCTGGAGTTTCGCATGCGGTGGCCAATGGACTAGGTGGATTCGTGTATAAACCGCACCAGACAAAGCGCTACTCCAACTCGTCCATCTTTCTGGAGAACCGTGATGTGCTGAGTGACCAGACCAGTGTAGGTCCAGATACTGCTGTACATCCTTACGATTACAGCACGCCGCCAAAGATCGACTATCGTCACTCCGGCATGATGGGTGCAGACTTGCCCATTGGCTGCTGCACCACTGATTGTTTGGGTGGTCAGCAGCCGAAGGAGGAACTTCGTCGCTACTCGGATCCCAAACTAAAGCCGTGCGAAACGGATACTGTGCTGGATATTGATCTGCCTACATCGCCACTATCGCCACCTGCCGCTTATGCCAGTCAGCAGAAGCAACGGGAATCCCGTCAACATTCACATCCACTTGTGATCTCCTCATCCTTTGACCGGGGAGTGGATGGAGTCAGTAGCAGCAAGAGCAGCAGGGGTTATGGTCCCTCGGACACTCAGGTGGATCGATCGCGGCTCAGTTTCAAGTCGTTGCCAAATCTCAGCAGCAGCTGTGAAAGTCTCATCCAAAAGTGAGGGATATATTCTGCCCGATTGGTCTGATGTGATCCACTATCATCTGCGCGCTCTCTCTCCCCAATAAACCCTCTGCTCTCAAGTATTCACCGCTGGTCGACGGAGACCCCGAGATCCACATAGAAAGTAAAAAAAGGAAATACTATTTTTTGTACCGCACACCAATGGGCTTCTAAAGCCAGATCGTGGCCAGCGGCCAAAGGATCCCTATGTTCTCCTCTTTATATAGCAAAGCCCATAAACAATTTGAGACTGCAATGATTAAAACAAAACACAAAAAGAAAACAAATTAAAGAATATTGTAAAAGTTTGCGTATCTAGATTTAGTCGCTAAATCGATGTATAATTTATCCTGTATTCGTGTACTACTATCATCCAGCCTCTCTGATCCCATATATATATATGTATATGTTTGTCCACTTAAGTTGTCCATGCCAAAAAGCCCAAAAACCAACCAGAGACAGTAATTATTTAGTCCAAGTGTAGGATTTGTGTTTTGTTTCTTAACTTCTAAGTCAAATGAAATTTTAAAAAATTGATCTGTGATTAAGCGTCATTGAATATACATACATAAAATGCGTAAATGCAAGCGAAAACATATTGACAGCAGCCGCAGCGGTAGGAAATGCCGACAAAAACAAACATTTTTACTTAACATCAACTAAGATAAACAACCAACAACAGCAACATGACAACCACTAAAAGCTTTTTCGCGGTTAACAGCGAAAGCTCTACGGAGCCAAGAGAAATTGAGATAACATCCGTATCTTAAAAATATCGCTGAGATATATGAATGAAAACCGTTTTAGATATAGACATAGCATAAAAACAGTAAATACTTATGATCGCTGCAAGTTACGAGCATAAAACCAATAAGAAACCAGAACGGGCAACTAAATTTTTTATTATGTATTAAATATTTAAATAAATATGTGCAAACAATTGATTAAATTAGTTGAAAATTCTTTTAATTGGGATTTATTTATATGCATTGGCAAGGTTAAATTGTCAGATATTAAGAAATAGTTTTTAATGAAGTTCCAATAAACTTTCAAAATATAAATTTGAATTGATTAGAAAAATGGAATGAATTTTTAATAATTTCATTGTTAAGAAATATAAAAATGCAAATAGATATATATAAACCACTTTTAAAACGACTCCCATGAAAAAGGGAAACCAGTAAAACCTTCGGAAAAAAAAAACCAAGGACAAAGGTGGGAAATGTAAATAAACTCTTTAGCGAAGAGTGCAACACCCAACAGAAACCGGTTTGCCTTAAAAGCAAATGTGCAGACTGCAAATTAAGGAACGAAAAAGGGGAGAAGCAATCAAAAATTCGCCAGTTGCGTTTTTTTATATTTTCCTTTTATTCACAAATGAAATGCAAAATTCTCCCGAGTGTTGCGGCTGTTCTTGTTACAAAAATTATAAACTCAAGGGGAGCATTGAATGCTCCAGTTTTTAGCCTAATCATACAGACTAAAATGGGTTTTTTCTTTATGATAAATGGAGTTTAAAATCGCTTAAGTCTAAGATGTGATGATGTGTGTGTGTGTGTGTGAGTTAGTGAGAGAGTAATACAATAGGTGTGTTCGTTTGTGGTGTATCCTTTTTAGTCTTGCACTCTCCGAGCAGCGCTGCAACACTCCTGTTTCTTCTTTCACTTCTTTTTCGCCAGCGAATATTCTTCTTTTTTCTTCTTACTTGCCAGTCTCCATTTTCTCGCCGCCGCCATTTTCAGCTTTTCCCTCGGCTGTTTCGGGAGCCTTAACGCTCAGGTGGGCAGGGCCTGTTTGTTGAATCTGGACAATGCGTTCCGACTTGGCCTGCTCCTTGCTGGGTGGCGGTGGAGCCTTAAGGGTCAACACTCCATCGGAGGACACAGTCGACACGACATCGTTGGGGTCAAAGTCCTTCGGAAGGGTATACTTGCGCACAAAATGACGCTGGATCATTCCATGTCCATCCTCGCGCTCCTCGTGCTTGCCCTCCACCACTACAGTTTTGTCTACCACCTTGACCGTCAGCTCATTGGGCTTAAACTGCGACACATCCATGCAGACTTGAAAGCCATCTTTTCCCACAGCGGGCAGAAGAGAGTTCTGACCTCCCGACGGGCGACGTGGCACCAATTGATGATGATGACCATAACCATGGCTCCTCTCATAGGGTAAGAATCGGCGACGACCGATGGAACCGTGCGGCAACATCAAGCGACGGGGATGGAACAGATCGTGAGCATGGACTCCAAAACCAAAGTCATCCTCCAGCAAATGTTCCCAATCGCTGCGATAATCGTGATCCAACTCACGGGCCAAGTGTAACAGAGGTACAATCGACATTTTGCTTTTTCTTTCTTTGTTAATTCGCAATCCTGTCTAGACAAAGAAAATCTTGTTCGCTTTTTTATTGAAGCTCCTTTTAACTTCTCCCTTCAATTTTCGAAATTCAACTGTGCTCGGCCGACGTCGACGCCGGCTTTTTATACCGACGCTCGGCTCACACACACTAGCGCAATGTCACCAGGGGCAAATTTACAAAAATGTTTTAAAGCGCTCTTTTAGTCATTCAATTTTTTTACGTTAATATGTATATTATATTTTATCTTTACAAGTAATCTAATTTAAAAAATACGAAGTTTTTAGGAAAAATTAAAATTTTTATTATCTGCAAGAAGTAACTTTACCCCAAAAAAAGCCTTAGGTGGCCTATCTTAATTCGCCCCTGAACTTAAGCAACTGTTCTCTCTCGTATCTTCTCGCTCTTTATAGCACAGCCGGCGTTTTATTGAAAGAACGAGAGGAAGCTAGAAAGTTCTTGACATTTCTTTTCTGGGAGTTTCTCTTGCGAAAAAGAATGCATAAAGAACAGTTAAACAGCAGCATATATGTACATACATACATATGTACATATTTACATATGTACAAAAGTGCAATATTTATTTAAAGCATTTTATTCTCTTATCGGACTTTTAAACGCTGTCTGTTCGGAGTGCAACAGAGATGATATTTTTATTGGACAAGTGCATTGAACCTTCGTTTCGCTTCGTGCTGCTTCCCATGTTTGCCGTTCTTTTGTTTGCTGCAAACATTTTTGCAGCTTTCTTTCGCCAGTGCTTCGCGAAGTCGGCAACCGGGGCAATTGAAGATTTTACAAATTATTTGCAGTCGGTTGCAAGGGTGTATAAGTAAGTGTGTTTGTGTATGTATATCTATACATATATGTGTGTACATACATATGTATGTATCCAAAAAAGATTTCGAACTTGCATTATTTTACATTTTGTTTATGCCCCTTTTAGCCTTTAAACGAAATTACCATACAATACCATAAATATGTGCATATGCACACATGTACATATATACTTACATACATATGTATGTATTAACTGTTTTCTGAATTGAAACGTTAAGTGTTTTATTTAAAAAGAGTTGAACCATGGCATAAATAAATTGAAAGCGAATAAAAGGCATCCTGCATTTGTATTAAATCAAGAAAACTTCGAAGCGTAAAGACATGAACCACTGGAGTTAAATATTAACAATAATTAACTATATACATACATATGTACATACTTTCATATCTGAAAGTAAATCTAGAAGGACAGTGTTTAAAAAAACAGTGACAACCCTTAATCCTAACCCGTTAACCACCAAAACACAATAAAAATGTATATTTATATGATATTTTATTTTTTTTATTTGTAATAGTAAATTAGCCAATTTCAGTGATAGATATTCCAAACTAAGATTAAAGCAGGACACCCTTAATGGCTTATTGGTATGTTAGAGTGTCCCCGGTTAACTACAGCTTATAAAACAGATACATGACTTTGATAATGGTTAAATACAGCGTTTCCTTCGGCAACGGATCCTTTACTTCTCGTTGCCGTTGTCCTGCTCCACCTGCTCTTTGGGATTCTGCTTGACATTCAAGTGAGCGGGTCCCACCTGCTGGATCTGAACGATGCGCTCGTTGCCCTTGTCCTCGATTGCCGGTGGTTTGGGGACCTTCAGAGTAAGGACACCATCAGACGACAAAGTGGAGGCCACCTTATCGGAATCATAGCCCTCGGGCAGAGCATAACGCCTGATGAAGTGACGGGTGATGAAGCCATGGTCATCCTCGCGTTCCTCATGAGTTCCTTCGACCAGGATTGAATTATCCTGCACCTTAACGACTAGCTCGCTGGGCTTAAAGTGCGACACATCCATGCAGACCTGGAAGCCATCCTTTCCGATTTTCGAAACGACTCCCGAGGATCCCGATGAAGGGCCCACCTGTTTCTCCAGCTGGCGCAACTGTTGTTCCAAGGGTCCTGCCAGGGCCAAGTAAGGATTTCTCTGGCGCTGGCAGTAATATGGCTCATAGAAGGGAACCATGGACATACGTCCCAAATCGTCGGCAAGGCTCAATAATAACGGTAGGTTTGCCATCTTAAATGCGTTAAGATTCTTTTTCAAATTTATCTTTTTGAAAGGTAACTTTTGCTTTTAGCTGTTATCGCTTCGGCTTTTTGAATTCAACTGACGCCGGTTGAATGAAAGTGCCGGGTATTTATACAACCGGCCGTTTTCGTTGTATGCGTGTGATTTCGTATCTGCGCGAGTGTCGTTGCTGCCTGTATGTATGTGTATCGTATCTGTGTGCAATGGGGCACAAACATCTAGAAGGACCACGAAACTTCTCGGGCTGAAAATATCGCAAAAAGTTCTCGAATTTGCAGGAATTACGCATTATCTACCATTGAAAGTGAGAGTATCGCTATGGAAACTGAACAATATAGAGGGGAATGAGGTTGAAAAGGCCTGGTAGAGTGATAAGTCGCTGCATCAGCAGCACCGGCAAATATTATGTGTGTGTATATACACCAGATAGGAAGGGACAGAGACCTTTGAAGGATGGAGTATATTCGCGAAACTTCGAGACTGCAGAGATATTCTGCTTTTATGGCCTGACATTCAAGCTATTATCTTTAATTAATATCTAAGAATATGAGGTATTGGTGGGGGAAAATAAGAGAAAAATCATAAATTTACCGTTTAATAGCGAACTAAATACATTTTTACCACTACTTTATGTTAATTTGACAGAAAGAATATCAATAACTTTATGAGTTTATGTAAGTTAAAATTACTGTTCTCAGATCTTTATTAATTAACAACTTTTCTTTTTAATTAGTATAAATATGGTACTAACAGATCAACATATTGCTAAAAATTTAAGTAAATTCCGTTTGTGTATTCAATGTATTCCTTACTATTGAATTTTTAGGCTTTAATTATAGCTACGATAATTCTTATTATTATTATTAGTAGTATCTCCGTTTACAAAGTAAAAATTATTTACAATTTGTATATATCGTAGCGCTTCAATATCCATATACATAGGTATTCTTATGGAACTCGATCCTATACTTAGAAGTTATATCATTCAAGTTTTTGTTTATGGCCCCATTTTTTGTTGCTTTCCCAGTCTGGAGTTTGTACGTGAGGCATGGTATGTGCCCCGGAGTTTACAAAATCCAACGCCAACGCAATGGAAGTTGTCTATTCGAGAAGGTGGCCACATAATGTACGAGATTGCTCGTCTGGCGAATTTCTCCCCCCTGATTGAGTAAATACAGGCAAGTATATGGCATATAAGGGGGCATCTCATACGCAGCAATCACTGAAGGTTTTTGCTCTTTTCCCACTGCAGTTGGGATATACATATGTACTTATGTACATGTATGTACATCATGTATCCCGGATTTGAGTTTGGAGCCCCACTAAATTTTTAGCAAAGTATCCACTGTCTGGCTCTCGTCTGGATGTTGTTGTTTTTTTCATTTATTTGTAGCTTTTCAACCGGTTACCATCGCTTGCACTTGGCTATGTAACATCATCTGTGTGGCAGGGTACATATTCATGTACATACATATATAATGACCAGACCATATGTATGGGTTGCTCCAGACCCAGACACTGATACTGCGCATGTTTACGCGACGCCGGTTTTTGCGTTTGCCAATCCTCCAGCTCCAGCTACAGCGGATTTGTAGCTTCCAGCCGGCCCAGCTGTTGTTGTAGTTGTTTATCGCCGGCGACTCGGCAACCGGCACGAGACTCTCAGCTGTTCGCTCAATGCCGGCAATGGGAATTCAGCTGCAACACGACCACTTTACATGTACCCCGTCGATATTAATACATATATAAATTCGTACATATATATCTTATAGTACAAGGGAGATGGCATCTCTTGTGGGGTTTTTTCGTGCATATATCCCTCTTGATTTCAAGCCGGTTTGCCTCTTTTTTTCTTTGCAACGCTGCAGTTTGTCTGGTTTCGCCCTGGAATACGAGTACTTTCTTTGTTCTCTAGCTATCTGCGAAATCGGGAAAGTATCTCTTATTTCGGTTTATATACCAGAAAATGGCAAAGTATATGGTTTGTCAGACTGTTTTCGTTGGTGTCCCATCCCCTTGACGGGTTCTCTGGAGAAGATTCATAGTTTTCGCCTGGGAGCTGGCCTGGAAAATGGCTGGAAGTGACCAGGTTTTCCATTCAGCGCTGCACAGCCGCTTAAAAGCGTAGACATTCAGCCATAAGGGCTCAAACGCAGTCGAGTTGGAGACCAGAACGGATCGCCGCCGGTTCCCAGAAGAAACTAATCCCCTAAAAGTATAAAAAAATAAAATAAAACTATTAAAAGCCTCTAAAAATCAGCTAGTAAGGAAAAAAGTGAAAATGTCGCTGATACCGTTCATACTTGATTTGGCCGAGGAGCTCCATGATTTCAATCGCAGTCTCGCCATGGATATAGATGACTCGGCCGGATTCGGGTTGTATCCATTGGATGCCACTTCACAGTTGCATACGCCACAGATGAATCGCGGGTTGGGTCGTGGAAATGCCATGATGTGGGTGCCCATTAAGGGTCAATCGACGGTGCAGCATCGTCATCATCCATATAATCGTGTGGCTGGGGCCAAAACCGTCTGCTGTAATAAGTCGCTGCTGGAACTGGAAAAGGAGTTGGGCGATAAGGGCACTTCCGGTGGAAGTGGTAATGCCAGTCAGCCAACAGCCAGTAAATCTGCCTACTCCGTGGTCAATAGGAATGGCTTCCAGGTGAGCATGAATGTGAAGCAATTCGCCGCCAACGAACTGACCGTTAAGACCATCGATAATTGCATCGTGGTTGAGGGTCAGCATGATGAAAAGGAGGATGGCCACGGAGTGATCTCGCGCCACTTCATCCGCAAGTATATTCTGCCCAAGGGTTATGATCCCAACGAGGTCCACTCTACGCTCTCCTCGGACGGGATTTTAACGGTCAAGGCGCCGCCACCGCTTCCAGTGGCCAAAGGAAGCCTGGAACGACATGAGCGCATCGTAGACATCCAGCAGATTTCGCAGCAGCAGAAGGATGCGCAGCCGCCAAAGCCAGCAGAGGCTGAGCAGCAGTCGGCAGCTAGTGCTTCTGCTTCCACTACTATTCCGAATCCACCCACACCCACACCCACTCCCAATCCCTCACTCTCGCTCTCGGTCACACTCGCCGAAACCAACGGCAATGGACAGGAGGAGACAGAAATGGAGTCGTCGTCGGAAGTGGCGGCTCTATCGCCCTCTCTTTCCAACGAAGCCGCTGCTGCTGCCGCTGTTGCAGTGGAAACCCCTTCCACTGCAGGAACAACTTCCAGTGCCAACAATGGCGTTGCAGAACCGGAGTCCATGGAAGTGGTTGCCAAAAACGAAGAGGCTGCCAAAGGGGAGGAACCCACACCCAATTCCGTTGTAGCCAGCGAAGGGGAGCTGAAAGCAGAGGATGCAAATGCCAACGAAGTGGCTATAGCTTCAAATAACGGTAATGGAGCAGCCATAACACCCGAGGACGTGGAAATGCCGCTGGTCAAAAAACCCGAAACACCCGCAGAAGACAGCAAAGAAGAGAAGGAGACGGTGGAAAAAGTTGATAAATTAGAGGAGAAAGGTGGCGAAGAACTGGCCGCCGTGGATGCGGCCATACTCCTGGCCAAAAACCAGGGCGAAAATGGAGCCACTGTAGCCAAAACCGAAGAACTGGCCAAGTGAAGACTGAAATATTAAACATTAAAAAAAACAGCTAATTAAGAACAAATAATAACCTGCACGAGTAGGCGTGCGTTTTATTCCATAAATGTTTCTTGTGTTTTTCTTTGCATTTCACAAAAAGAGCCGAGAAAGCTGACGGGAAAAGCACTCAATTACTAAGCATGGGAGATAACGGACGATATATGATTTCCTAAAAACATATGTGTTAACAACTACAAGTATTCCAGTAAAACTTAAAGACAGAAACACGAAATAATGTACTTAACAATAAAGAAGGAAAAACAAAAAAGAAAATTGTCATTTGTGTTTGCTTTTAGCCGGCTCTCTCTATTTCTATTGCTGGACTCTTCTAGAATTTACCGGCTTTGCAAAATTCGCTGTTTGTTTTTATCTCGCTTTTGCTGGACTCTTCTAGAAATTAAGAGAAAATTGGTTTCTACAAAACTCATATAATACTACATATGTGTGTTTCGGTGTGCCGCATCTCTCTCCTCTCTTTCTCTCGCTCTCTCTGGATTTTTCTAGAAAAGCTCAGCGGCTATATAAGCAGCGCGGTAGCACGAAGAGCGCTCAGTTCGAATTCAAAAATCGAGAAGCAAGCAAGTCCGAGTTACTTGGCGTTAAAAGCAAAACTTGAAAAAGAAAATTATAAAAAGAAAAGGGATAAAATTTCTTTGCAAGTCAGAAAAGTTCATTCAACTTAACCTAAAAAAAGAATACACTTTTAACTTGATCGAAAATCTAACCTACAAGTAAAAGATGGCGCTATCTACTCTTCTTTCACTGGTGGACGAACTCCAGGAGCCCCGCAACTCCGTCTACGAGTTTGGATTGGGAATGAATCCGTATTCCCGCTACCTGCAGCCACATGGCAACCAACAACGCCGTTCGATCAACGGCTGTCCTTGCGCTTCGCCCATTTGCCCTTCGTCGCCAGCCGGCCAGGTGTTGGCCCTTCGTCGCGAGATGTCCAACCACAATGATATCCATTGGCCAGCCACTGCCCAGGTGGGCAAGGATGGATTCCAGGTGTGCATGGACGTTGCCCAGTTCAAACCAAGTGAACTCAACGTCAAGGTGGTAGACGACTCCATTTTGGTAGAGGGCAAGCACGAGGAGCGTCAGGATGACCATGGCCATATCATGCGACACTTCGTACGTCGTTATAAGGTTCCTGAGGGATACAAGCCAGAGCAGGTTGTCTCCCAGCTCTCCTCGGATGGCGTGCTTACTGTCAGCATTCCCAAGCCACAGGCCATCGAGGATAAGTCCAAGGAACGCATCATCCAGATCCAGCAAGTGGGTCCCGCTCATCTCAACGTCAAGTCGAATGACAGCGAACCGAAGGGCAAGGAAAACGGAGCCACCAACGGCAAAGACAAGTAGAGGAGTCTTTCTCAGGATCAAAGCTTTATTGTATCCCCAAAACCATCGAGAAGATCAACTCTATAGTGTACTCCAAAAATCATCCATCATTCCCTCACATATCTGTTCCTTATTTATTGCATTTCTAACGAGCTAAAGACTTGAAGAATAACTTATTAAACAATTTGTTCACCTGGTGTGGAAAATGTAAATGCTTTTTGTGTTTTTTTATGTGATTGGGAGAATAAAAAAAAAAAAGAATTTTTTATGGCAAAAATTTGTGAGGCGAAAAAAAGTAACATCTTCCAAAAACATAAGTTGAAATTAAGAAAAGTTCAGTCCAAAAATTTGGAAATCATTTTCCGCCTTCAACATTGACGCCTGCATTTGGGCGCGACCAGGCCAAGATCCCTCCGTAAACCTCAATGTTTCTAGCAAATATTTATTGCGCATTTTATATATTACCTACGAGTACAATTTGTATTTTATTTATGTTTGAATCCAATCTAAATGTTCGGCTGCACTTGCTTGCTGTCCGAAAATAGTTCACCTTGAGTTAGGCACTTTTGATGGGTGGGATTTTGGGTTTGGTAAACATTCACTGTTTGCCTTCCTGATGATGCTTTATTTCCATGGCAGGGCCAGCTTTCCGGTTTCATGGACACGAACCAAACGCTCTCCGGGCGTATAGTATTTGGCTGGCGGCGGTGGTGGAGCCTTGATGGTCAGGATGCCATCAGTGGATATATCAGAGATAACCTCATTAGCATTATAGCCGCGGGGCAGAAGGTACTTTCTCACAAAGTGCCTTTCCACCAGGCCATTGGAGCCCTCGTTCCGGCGATTGTGATTTCCCTGAACAATAACATAATCGTCATTGGTCTTGACCACAATCTCGTGCGGATGAAACTGTCGCACATCGATGTCAATCCGGAATCCCTTCTCATCCACATGGACACGTTCGCCGGAATAGTAGTTGTCCCATCTCATTGGATGTGCCCACTCATAGGGCGTCGATTGGATTAACTGATTCCTCACACGACGCGACACCAGTTCATCCAGAGGTCGGAGTAAGTCACTCCTGCTGGTATGATGAGCTGGCCACCAGACACGCGGATCATCCCATAGATAAGGATATAGTTGAAAATCATAAGGTGGCTGATAGAGCGGACGTGGTCGATCCAATTCGCGCGACAGATCGCGATATGTGGTAGGCACCAAAGACATTTCTCGACGGGATTAGGGCAACGATTAGTTTGCTTTCGAGTCTGAAATTCTTATAAAATTTGTCGCCGCCGCCGTCAGTTCTTTTATAGATGGCCGACTGGCCTCGCCGGATACGGATTGCGGATGGCTGATGGCGGAGACGATAGATGAATCATCCGGACGAGCCGCATCGGACGGATGGGATCGAAACGAAACGGATCGGATCGGCCAATTGCAGCGGTGAAGGCGAGGCCAACGAGGTATACACGACAATATTACGGCCAGTTGGACTCGCGTCAAGTGGCTACGTCACCAGAATCATCGAAGGAAGCGGAAGATGGTAGGAGGCACCGGGCCAAGGTGTCAGAAGATTAAAGACAAAATGGAAAGTATTTTTGTTGGTTTTCGAAAGCGTTTCCATTTAAGGAAATGTATCTTTAGATCTGGAAGCATATATTACCATTCTTAAGGTTTAAAGATACTTGAATTATAATTAGAATTTGAATCCATTTATTAAATAACCAAGCAAAATCAAATCTATTTTCATAAAATAATTCAAACAAAAGAGACCTCATTTTGCTTAATAATCATTTCACAATTTATTTTCTTCTACTTTTAAAAATAATATATGTATGTTAACAAATCTAAAAATTTAGAAATTAATATTATTATTTTTTTTTGAGGTGCATATCTAAAAAGTCTTATAACTTAAATCACTACTGATTGGTTTCATTTTTGGTTTCGTCTGCCAACTTCATGGCTGGTTCGCCAGTCTGCTCGATGGGCACCACTCGCTCCTTGATTGCCTCCTGCATCGCCGGAGGATTCGGCACACTAATGGTTAGAACGCCGTCGCTGCTAAGACTTGAGGTTACCTTATCGGCCTCGTATCCTTCTGGCAGGACAAAACGGCGGAGGAAGTGCCTGGAAGTATAGCTTCCTTGGTTGTCCTCCTTTTGCTCTGATTTTCCCTCTACTAGGACAACACTTTCGTCTAGGACTTTGACGTTCAGCTCACTGTAGTCCTTGACGTCCAGTGTGAGTTTGTAGCCCTCCTTGTTAACGGTAGCGGGTGGTGCAAACTCCTGCTCCTGCCAGCGGGCAATCTGCTGCCAATTCCTCGGAAGTGTCACACTCCAAACGGCCGGTTCATGGAAAAAGGCTTGAAAGGGTGAGGAGTAGCGTGGCATCCGGGTCATCTCCTCGGCCATACGCCAAAACATCGGTAGGGATCGCATCGTTGGTGATTTAGATATTATGTATTAATTTGTTAATTATTGTAACAAATTATATTAATTATATTTCCGAATTTCACCACAAAAGTTTATGGGTTGTGAGTTGCGGTAGAAAACTGCACAATAGAGTCTTTGACAGTTGGCGTGAACTGAGAGAGCGCTGCTTCACCGGTTGCTATTTATACTCTTGGCCGAGTGGCAGTCCATATAGTCTAGAATTCACCGGCACTCTCTCGAATTTTCTTCGCCCTTCGCTGATGCAATTTTCCGATTTGCCTGAAAATCGGGCATTGGCATTTGGGGTTGCTTCCCTCCCTTGCCTCTATAGAAGTTTGTGGAAGTTTCTGGGCTCTCTGGTATGTAATTTATTTTATTTACATTTTATTTTAACGCACAACGAAGTTCTCTTTTTTTGGCGCATGGGGTAGGTCAGTTTTTACACCGAACGAAAGAGAGAGAGAGAGCTTTAAGGGAAAGAGTTTGGAAGATTGTCTTGCTTTCTATGTGTGGGTGAAGAGGTGCTGATAAGCTTAGTCAATGGGCGTAGTTAAAAAAAATAAAAAAAATCCTTATTTTGAAATATTTAAAAGACTTGGTTATAAATTTAAAATTATTTATTTATTCAAAAACCTATTTCCCATGCTTATATAATTTTATTTACTGAATAATTTGAAATTCAAATTGTTGCCGTTACAATCCCTCTTTTTGGGCCCAATCATTCCAAGATCCCTTGTAGAGAACCACACTGAAAATAATATTAAAATTATTTAGAAAATAATTTAAATATAAGATTTTAAGACCCACTTGGAGTATCCCAGACCCTTTGCAATTTTCTCAGCTTCCACAACACGATTTCCCGACCGGCAGGTGAATATGATCTTAGACTCTTTTTCCGGCTTGGGCCGTCCATATGTGTTTTTGAAAGCAGAACCATCCAGATTTAGAGCTTTCTCCAGATCATCCACTATATAATGAAAATTTCAACTGTTATAATCTCAAGAAATCGTAAAGAAAAGTGTTATATTACAGGGTATATTTATACTGGCTGGAATGGTGCCTGTCTGCTGTAGCTCTTCCTTTCGCCGGACGTCGATGAGATAGACTTCCGGATGATTGGGTACATCCTTAACTTGCTCGTAGGTGGCCATTGTGCCTATGGGACGCAGAACGAATTTCAACCGGTTTGCCAGCTGAATAACAACTGACTTGCCAGTCGCCCCCAGAAGATCCATTTATGGGGCTAAAATTTCGCTTCAGAATATATGTACATATGAATGTATTTACCCACGTCGGCTTATCGGAGTCTGATTATTGTGGTGTCGCCTTGTTTGCTTAGTTAGTTTTCTTGACGCTGGCGCTGGAGATCCCGCTAATTGTCCGCTGGAAACGGCGCCGGTTCAGGTCTCTCGATCCGATTTCACTTTGAATTTCAAATTGAAATCGGTTGGGATAGTCTCCCAGCAGAGCTTGCTAGTATGACTTCTATAACTCAATAATTCTGTAAACTTTATTGACTGTAAAGCAAACTAAACTGGATGATATCTTTAAAAAAAAATTGATGAAAGTTTTCTGGCATGTTTTTTGTTTAAATTGATTGGAGAAATTTATTTTACTCAGTAGTTTAAGTTACTATGGTTCCACTGTATTCGCATACAAGCTATTGTGGATCAAATTCGAATGCTGTCTGCGGTTTGGCCAGCTTCACGTCTCCAAAAGCTTGGCCACCAGAACGTTCCCAGATGTCGCCCCAGAATCACCGAAACACCGAGTTGCTACTCCAGAAAAGCTCAATGACGATGGGGAAAGCTTTTCCCTGGTCTATAAAAGAGAGCAATAGCCCGCAAAACTCCACATTCGAGTCGGAAAAGTCAAGGTAAATTGTGCGCCAAATTGCAGCCGAGATTGTGGATAATCCCCCCCGCTGGCAAATCAACCCTTGGACACTTTTTGAAAAGGAAAACAGGTCGTCGGTTCATCGAACTTCCGCCAGATACACAGAGAAGCTAAGAAGGAAAAATGCCAGATATTCCCTTTGTCTTGAATTTGGACTCTCCGGACTCCATGTACTACGGTCACGATATGTTCCCTAATCGTCTGTACAGGCGAATGCATTCCCGGCAACATCATGAGCTGGATTTTCACACTCTGGGACTAATTGCTCGGATGGGTGCACATGCTCATCATCTGGTGGCCAATAAAAGGAGTGGAGAGTTGGCGGCCTTGGGCAGAGGTGGAGTCCCGAATAAACAGGGAAATTTCGAAGTTCACCTAGATGTGGCACTCTTCCAGCCGGGTGAAATAACCGTGAAACTGGTCAACGATTGCATCGTGGTCGAAGGAAAGCACGAGGAGCGGGAGGATGATCATGGGCATGTCTCACGGCACTTTGTCCGTCGTTATCCATTGCCAAAGGAGTTCGATTCGGATGCCATTGCCTCCACTTTGTCGGAGGATGGAGTTCTCAATATAACAGTTCCTCCATTAATATCCAAGGAGGAGCCCAAGGAGCGGGTAATACCCATTAAGCATGTGGGTCCATCGGATCTCTTCCAGAATGGTAACGGGCACAAGGAGCCAGTTGCTCCCGCTTCTGCTCCAGAATCAAAGTGAAGATCCCCAAAAAATTAGCAGCTTTAGCAGCCAAGTGATTTCCCAAGACTCTCGTTTATCGTTGCACTAAAAAATCGTCACGAAAATTACGCACGCATCGTACTACATTTATTCATTTATTATTAGATACATTTTAAAAGTCCAATTCAATTTTAAGACTAATCAAAATCAAGTATTAATAAAGGAATATGAATGTCTCAGTTAATATAAAGCTTTTATTAAAAATAAATGAGGGCATTTAACTTTCCCTTTTCTTGAATTTCAATGTGTTCGTACAATATTGTAACTTTCCTTTCACCCAATAATGCGCGTATTAAAAGCTGTGAATATTTAAATTAGGTCCCCGGGTGCTAATCCTTCATAGGAAAGCTTTTGCGAGACTTTTCCCAGGTGTAATCAAATTGACATCTTGAATTTGCAATGAAAGCCCGCCAAAAAGATAGTTATCGATAGCTTTCAGTCACAGTTCCCCAAAAACCGTTATCAAAGTAACAGTTTTACAAAAATAATCCAAAAGTCGTATCAACATGAATTGGAATAGTATAAAATAATAATAAACGAAATTCAAATTTAGATTTAAAGTGCATTTTGTTTAAGATTTACTACATTTCAAGGTTTTTTACTTACGTTTTCATTATATTCGGCGCCATAAAAACCCATCACATATTGTAAGTTGCCCATCTCCAACTGACACTGTAACCTCAAATAAAATGTTTTGTTTACTTTTGCGGCGGTCTGCAGTTCATAATTCCTGCAAATTAATCAGTAAACAGATTGCCAAGCCCGCGTTCTACACACCAATTAATGCTCTCCATACCACAATACGTAAGTTGACCTTATAAACCTGTAAAATCAGTAAAATTTTAATGCGGAAACCCCAACTGATATTATGAAATTCGTGATAATACAGCTCGGCGGCATGGCGAGTTTGAATGGCAGGACCCCAAGACCCCAGAGGAGATGTGAGTCCCTTAACTGCAACTATGTGCATATTCAATAACCAGAAAATCCCTTATAAACCTAGAGTAAACATCACATATGTAGACAAAGATGGTAAACGAACCAAAGTTCAGGGCAAAGTGGGCGACAATGTTTTGTATTTGGCGCATCGTCATGGAATCGAAATGGAGGGCGCCTGTGAGGCTTCCTTGGCCTGCACCACTTGTCACGTGTATGTCCAACATGATTACCTAGAAAAGCTAAAAGATGCCGAGGAGCAAGAGGACGACCTCCTTGACATGGCGCCGTTTCTAAAAGAAAACTCCCGCCTCGGCTGCCAGATTCTGCTGGACAAGAGCATGGAGGGCATGGAACTGGAGCTGCCCAAGGCCACTAGAAACTTCTACGTTGATGGGCATAAACCCAAACCCCATTAACAATATTGTTATCTTACATTAATAAATTTAACGACTGTTATGCCACTTGGTTTTTTCCCAACTTGTATATTTCTTAAGATGTAAACAATGCTTCGGGTTTGTGTTGTTCCATCGTGAATTAAACTAAAGAAGAATTCGTTAGGTTGAGCCTATCAAATTACATTTTCTAACTGATGATTGGGATACATTTGAGGGGAAGGAGGAAGGGCAGGGCTCGCGCGGCATGGATGAGCGACATTTAAAGTGTGATATGAAACAATATTGTAAAACTATATTACAGTTAAAGCAGAAGTACAAAAATATAAATTTGTATAGCGAAAAACTAAAAGGGCTCGGCATCCAGACTCTGTGGTTTCTGAATCCTGGCCTGGTGTTTCTACAGCTGGATGTCATTGCCTCTCAGTTGGACGAGGGCGTGGGACTGCTAGATCCGGATCGCGAACGCACGCTTGTCCGATCCTCTTGCTCGCTGCGCTCTTCCTCGCGATCTCGACTCTTCTCATCTTTGTCCAGATCAGCTGGTTCCGACGAGACCTTAATCTGTTTCTCCTGCACCGCCGCCGCCAAGATCTCCTCCTTGGGCGAAAGATTTTCTCGCTTGATGGCTTCCTTTTCTGCCTTGCTAAGGGCAGCGTTTTTCTTGTTGCTGCTCTTCTTGAGCACGGCCAGTTCCTTAAGCACACTGGCGATTTTGCGGTTCAAGTTGTCCACCTTCATGTCGTGCAGACGCTCTACCTCCTTCAGACGGTTGCGCATTTCGTTCTCCTTCTCGAAGTTTTTTCCCTTCAGTTCGGTCAGCTGGGGGAGATTTTCATATTTTTATTTTCAATTTAAACTTGAAAATTAAGTGTCCTTTGTTGCGATTTAAGGATATTTTGACAGACTGGTTTACCATCTCATAAATATGTTTATGTTTATTTCCAGTTTTTACCTTTTAGGGGTAAAAACTAGAAAAATGGATTAAACTGCTTTTAACCACACCCACCTGCTTGTCCTTCTCGAGCAATTCCTTGTCTTTTTGATTTAGGCGCTTTTCCAGGCTGGCGATGCGCTCCTTAAGGTATGTAATGGCTACAACATGGTCCGACGAATTGGTATCTACGGTGATAGCTGCAGGTGCTGCAATGGTTCCGTTTCCTCCATTTCCACGCGATATCTTATCGGGCAGATCCAGTCCAGCTCCGCTGACTGCATTCACGCCGGAGCTATTGGCACTGCTACCAGTCTTGCCCAGCTCACTGCGCGATGGCTTTTTGGCCGCGGAGTTATCCCTGTGTGATGACGAGCTCTTCTCGTGTGGTCTTTTCTTGGACATTGGTATTCGGCCCTCCTGCTGAGCCTTAAGCAGTGCTCGCTTGTAGGCGCAGGTACACAGCCAACAAAGCAATTTGCCATTGACCTGTTGGCGACAAAAGGTAAATTAAAAATTTTACGAGCGGTCACAGCAAAGGCTTAGGCTTAGGTAGCATAATAACTAAACACAGTCTCTTATGAACGCAAATACATCATTCTCGGGTACAGTTCACCCAGCTCAAGTTTCTACATTTTGTAAGTCTTAATTTTAGGATTTTTAACATTAGGGGCTGCTTCCGTCGTGAGCAATCCTCCAGTTTTGCCCGTCTGTTTGCTGTTTGAGCTGACCTTTTTGTTCTCGTCGCGCCTGTCAAAGGCTGATCGCAGCTTGCATTCATCGCACTGCACCGGCGGTCCGTATTTTGCCTCGTAGCTGGCGCATCTATATATTGGATGCGATAGGGTTTATTTTATTGTTGGTTTTTTGTTTTGGCGGGCAGAAAAGAGAAGAAGAGAAATGTTTTGCGTTCATAAGAGACTGGTGATTGAATTGCTTGGTGTTCCGAGGATAGAGATCGGGAAGGAGTATCTGCAAAGTCATGTACTTTGAAGGCACAATTTTGGATTCAGGTTTCATTTCTGTTTTGCTTTCAGAGTAATCAAAAAACGAAGCTCTTGCATTGTGCATTCAAGTTACACGGCCGTTTAATTCGATGGAAACAACTACCATAGGATCTATCTACTCGATTGATTTACGGATTATAAAGAATATATAAACTCACCGCATGCATTTAGAGCCCCCGAAGGCAGCCACAATCTTGCAGCATTCGCAGGCACTGGGCTTTCCATACTTCCCCAGATAATGTTCGCACTTCTTGCAGGCACTCTGTGATTTGCTGCGGAATAAATTTATATATATATTGGTATATATATTATTGACTAAGCAATAGCTATAGCTGCATTATCGTACTTACGTGGCGGGTTGAAACTCCGAGCGGCAGTAAGTACATTTACCAACTGAGGTAGATCCACGGCAGCCCTGAAAATGGAATCAAGGTTAACCGGAATTGTTGATTAATTACATTTCAAAGTTCAATTTGTTTTGTTTGTTGTTTAAAACATTTTTAGACGCGACGCCAGGATTCTTCTTCTTGCCTTAGCATTTCTTGGTTTTTTTTTGCGCAGCAAAATTTTTGCCAACGCCGCGTCATTTTTTCTTACTAGCAGACAAACAAACAAACAGAAACACACACTTAATGCTGATGTTGCACTTTGTTTGGCGTCGGTTTGGGTTTTTTTTTTATTGTTTCAAGTGTCCGTCGGTGTTTTTTTTCGTTTTGGGTCGCTTTTCACCTTGCATAGTTGTTGGCCGGAGGAGAGTTCCTCGTACGGATGGCGCGAAAAGCACTTGGAGCAAGCGAATAATACTTTTGCACTCATAATGTTTGGCTTTCGGCGGATTTGTCACGGCTTTTCTATATTTTTGCTGAATCCTAAAAAACTTGTTGTTTCTGCTGCTTTAAATAAAATGGTTCTTTTGCTAGCGATCGCAGAACAAGCGATACTGGTAGCAATAGGCAACCCATATCGATATGTATTTGGGTTGATCCATTATCGATAGTTGTGTTGCAATATAAATAAGTATATTATATATAAATGTAAATCATACAATTTTAAATCATATCAAACTATTTATTATATTAATTAAAATTAGATCAATGAAAGAAACATATACCATAGAAATATCGATATCTGATAACAATATTTCTGTATGGTTTTAAGATATAAAATGCTTTGCTAATACTTTTCTTGGCATGTAGATATAAAAATAAGTATTATTCCTTTTAACTAACTCATTTTTCAACCGCATTTTAAGGGAAACAATTTTTTTAAGATAATTTTTGTAGCCGTCATAACTATCGATCGCCGCCAAAGCAACCATGGAAATACAGTTCAAAATCGAGAATAAGCGCGTAAAGCAAATTAGATAAAGATGCCCCCAAAGCGCAAGCGCCGATAGCACCAATTCAAACAACAACGATCACTTCAGGCTGTACGAGAAAATTATATGTGCGAGTATATCGAAACTGAAACAAGAAAATAACAAAAACGTCGAAAATCTGGAAAACCCAGGATAAGAACAAGTAAAGTGCCGGGCAGAGAGCATTATATTGAAAATGCCGTCGGAGCAGCATACGAATATAAAAGTGGCGGTTCGCGTACGGCCATACAATGTCCGGGAATTGGAGCAAAAACAGCGGAGTATCATAAAGGTTATGGATCGATCGGCGCTACTATTCGATCCTGATGAGGAGGACGATGAGTTCTTCTTTCAAGGCTCCAAACAGCCGTATCGCGATATCACCAAGCGGATGAACAAAAAGCTGACCATGGAATTCGACAGGGTCTTCGATATAGACAATTCTAACCAGGATGTGTTCGAGGAGTGCACGGCGCCGCTGGTCGACTCAGTGCTAAATGGGTTAGTAACGACATTTTAACGTGCTGATCCCGAATTAATATTTAAATTTCCATACTCACTTTAGGTACAACTGCTCTGTTTTTGTTTATGGAGCAACTGGCGCCGGAAAAACCTTCACAATGCTGGGCAGCGAAGCTCATCCCGGTCTGACCTTCCTCACCATGCGTGATCTCTTTGATAAGATCCAAGCCCAAAATGATGTGCGAAAGTTCGACGTGGGAGTTTCTTACCTGGAAGTGTACAATGAACATGTCATGAATCTCCTGACCAAATCGGGTCCTTTAAAGCTTCGCGAGGACGCAAATGGTGTGGTAGTCAGTGGTCTTTGTCTTACGCCTATTTATAGCGCCGAGGAGCTGCTAAGAATGTTGATGTTGGGCAACTCCCATCGCACCCAGCACCCCACAGATGCGAATGCAGAGAGCTCTCGGTCACATGCCATATTCCAGGTTCACATCAGGATCACCGAGCGTAAAACGGACACCAAACGGACTGTGAAACTTTCTATGATCGATTTGGCGGGCAGTGAGAGGGCGGCCAGTACCAAGGGAATTGGAGTACGTTTCAAGGAGGGAGCGAGCATCAATAAAAGTCTTTTAGCTCTTGGAAATTGTATCAACAAGCTAGCCGATGGTCTTAAGCATATCCCATACCGAGACTCTAATCTGACACGCATCCTGAAGGACTCGCTGGGCGGAAACTGTCGCACACTGATGGTGGCCAATGTTTCTATGAGTTCTCTCACCTACGAGGACACTTACAACACCCTAAAGTACGCAAGTCGGGCCAAGAAAATCCGGACAACCTTGAAGCAGAACATACTGAAGTCCAAGATGCCCACAGAGTTCTATGTAAAGAAGATCGACGAAGTTGTTGCCGAAAACGAGCGACTAAAGGAGCGCAACAAAGCGCTGGAGGCCAAAGCCACACAGTTGGAGCGCGCCGGCAATACTGGTTTCGATCAGCAGGAGCTTAAGTCGTGGTACAGTAAAATTGACGCTGTATATGCGGCCGCCAGGCAGCTTCAGGAGCATGTCCTTGGCATGCGCAGCAAGATAAAGAACATAAACTACAGACAGACCTTAAAGAAAGAACTGGAGGAATTCAGGAAGCTGATGTGTGTGGACCAGCGAGTGTGCCAAGAGGTGAGTCTTTCTGGTATATATCTAGCAAGTTAGAAGCGCTTCACATTTACGTATTAAGATTTATTAAGGTTTTTGGAGCATGATCAGTCTTGGTCTTAGATCTAGTCGCCCAGCAGCTCCTTCTGCTTACTGGCCAACAACTTGTCCGCCTCCGAAATGAAGCGATCCGCAATGGCGGTAACCTGGGCCTGGGCGGCAAATGCATCGTCCTTGCCTAATTCTGGCTGCTTCTTTAGCTTGCGGATGTGTTCGTTCTGAACGCCTCGAATTGCATCGCGGTATTTGACAAACAGAGCTTTGGCATTCTTGGAAAGATTCTCCCTGTGCTCCTTAGTGACCTTCGGTATGGGTATGAACAAAGTAGTTCCATCCTGTTGGGGATTTAGGTTCATGCCACTCTTTTCAATTGCTTTTAAAACATCAGGAATCGTTTGTGGAAAACCAATCATGTTAACGATAATGGTTTTCGGATTTTTTCGCGAGATTTGTGCCAGTTCCTGGAGCTCGTGCTCCTGACCATCCACTTTTATGCGGAGTGTGTCGATAGCACCGCTAGTGGATCGCAGTGACAGGTGCTTCACAAAGTCCTCTCTCATCTGCGTCACGGATTTCTGCATCTGGGTGTTCAGGCCATCTAGATTAAGGATTTCGCGCAACTGCTGTTCATTGATTTCCACCTTGGCGGGTTTTCCCTTGCCGCCTTTTTCCTTCTTTTTGTCCTTGCCCTTTGCATAATCGCGCGCTACTTGCAGATTTTCCGCGTTGTGTGAATTATTTGGCAGAATTTGAAGTAATATTGGCGATAAGTTTGTTGACCGGGCTTGGCGCACCCCAAGGGTGGCTAAATGCATTGCATTTCGCAGCATTTTATTTAAATTTAAACTATTTTGCTTTGATTAAATGCGGCAGTAAGTTTTCGATTGTGGAGCATCAGCTGTTTTTGTCTCCTAGCGTAGCAACTTTCAAAACGTAAGAGATACCACGTCACGTAAAGAGTACTTTGGCGGGTAAATTTGAAAATTAAGTTTATTATATTCAAACCATAAGTAAATTTATATTTTAACCATTTAAAGATGGTGATAATTATTCTTTTTTACATCTAATAAATTTTGTATATATTCCCCAGGACTATCGGCGCTTTGCGAACTACATGAGCACACTAACCAGCCAGATGGAGAAGTACAAGGAGGAACTGCCCAGCTGGCTGGCTAAAATGGAGAGTGCATACCAAGATCTGGATAGCCTGAAGCGGGAGGTGAACAAGTCGAAGGCATACCAGATTCTAATCGTATACGTCAAGTACAAGGATCTGGAACTGCAGTTAACCAAGCAGAATATCTTTAATAGTCATGTGAGCGCCATCAACCAGGAGTTGGTGGAGAACTTAGATCTGATGCGGAAATCGTTCCGTGCTGCTTGCGAAGTACTCAACCAGACGTACGATCGCCTTGAGGATGGGCAAAAGCTGACACCAGAAATTGAGGCAGTTTTTGAACGGTTGCTGCGGAAGATGCGTTTCGCCGACTCAGAGGCCAACACCAAAATGGCCGAAATGGATCCGTTGGTGGTGCCAGAAGCTCTTCGTTCCAATCAGGAGGAAGAAGAACCATCCTGCAGCCTGACGGCCAGTGCCAAAAAACGACAGAGGCAAGCAACACAGAGCGACGACGATTTGCATTTGAGTATGGAAGAATTTGACAGCCAGGACACCGAATCAGACTCTGAGGAACTGCACAAGACCTTCAAGAGGCCGCGAAATCTTAACGAGACACAGGTTCTAGGTCCCTCAAGCAGTATTACCAGTAGTGCTAGAAAAGCTCTTACAGCGACAGTCACCAAGCCGAGAAATGTCCACCAGCGTCTCGTCAGCGATCTGATATCCGATCAGAATGTGCGCGGCGGCACCGAGAAGATTAAGAAGGGTATGGTTTGCCTCTTTAAATGTATTATAAATTATGTATAATGCACTTAAATATAAATTTGATATAATAACTTTTGTTTCTTTTTCCAGCTCTGCTGAAATCCAACCACTTTACCGCCCAAGGACTGCAGAGAACGCTGGCGGCTGCTTCATTGGCCAAAGAGAATGTCAAATACAATGCAAATTATGTTCGCAAAAGTCCAAGAGCGCTGATGGCAAAAGGTAAGTTCTATAATCTTGGATGTAATCGGAGATTATAATATATTTCATTTTTTGACAGCTCTTGCAGGCACCTCCACGCTTACGAGAAAACCTCTTGGATCTTCTAGTAAGGAACCGCCTTTGGTCAAATTCAATCGGGCAGCATCGTTTCGCCTTAAGAAGTAGAAGCACACATTCGTTCAGTTAGTTTTAACTTGCGTTTGCGTTGAATTACCTATTTTTGTTCTGCGGAGACCGAGACAGATCCATGTTCGAATTAATCATAGCTATAACCATAGATATAGTTAGTACACTAACCCCTCCAAACCTTAGCTCGTTCGTTTTCAGTTCTTTTGACCCATAACTTTAACCTTGAATTTATTTATGTACTTTTTTATGTTTTGATAAGTTAAAAGAAATCCTTGCGTTACGCGCTTTATCTAAAAATATACAGCCGTTTCCTTGCCCTCACCCAGATTGTGTCTGTCTCGGCGGTAGAACATTTCCTCGTCAGGCCAGGATTGGAGATTGGCATTTGGGTGCGAGGCCACCCGGCTGTTGCTGCCACTTCGATGGGGAGCTAGACCGAGGAGTCCCAGCAGCATATAAAGCAGAGCTCCCAGGTTGACGCCCAGAAGAAGCAATCCCGGTGCCAGTAAAGGATTTAGGATGGATAGGATGGCAGCCGGGGCTGAAGGAGGAGTCCAGGCAGCCGTCGGAATACCATCGTAACCGTACTCCACTCGTCGCCAGGGTTTCTTATCGCCTGCTTGGGAAGTTCTTTTCGGCTGGTCGAGACTTTCTTCTGCGGGTAAATCCAAGTCCTGTCGTTTACTTTCTACTACCGGAGTATAGCGAGGTACAAAAGCCTGCTCCCCTGGGATCTTTCCCTCGCCACCTACTGAGCCACTTGTGCCGGCTAGACAGGCAATAAAGATAAGCGACAGCCACATATCTTCTGTTTGCTATTTCTGGTTTGTTTTTCTCGCCGGCTAACTGCAATCTTATATAGCCACCTGTTGATCGCCAAGGGCAAGAACCGTATCGTGTGGGTCTTTTGAGATGTCAACAGATTGTCACTCTTCAGTTTTACTATAGTCATATAAATATATATTTTTGTAGTTAATAGGTATCATAATGCATATAAAAGTTTAACTTAAGGTATCAAAGCTTGTCCGTATGAGCATAAGTTTGTATTTGATCTCTGCGGTTTATCAATGTATGTTTGGGTACTTAATTTGTCACTCTGTTGATTGAAAATGTTCATATATCGTTATAACAATGCATACAAATGCCGATCATAAAGTATCAAAAGGTTATTGTCCGTGAACAAGTACAAAGAGCATATATGTATTTTTAAGGTAAGCGTTTCTCCAAGTTCATATTGGTTTTCACTGTCTAGTTAAGTCGTTGCGCCTTGAGGAGCACATGGGGCTGTTCGATCTCCGACTTGGACTGCACCAGTTTCAGTTCTCGTTCGGCTGCTTTCACGGGGCCATTTCCTCCGTTTGGCAGGGCAGCCACTGTACGTTTGATCACAGCCTGCAAGCTGGCAATGGTTTTCTCAAAGACATTGGCAATATCCTTGCTGCCATGACTGTGAGCCAAGAACAGGGAGGCGAAAAGATCACCGGTGCCGGTGAAGACCAGATCCTTGCCACCCTGCTTTGGAATATCGATGGCCAGGCGGGGACCATTCTGTTGGCTTAAGAAAGCCCGGAGAACGCCAGGCTGGCCAAGATCACTGCTGGAGATGACCACTGTTTTTATACCTCGCTTATGGAACCACTCCATTGCCTCCCAAACAGCCTGCTCGCTGCGAACTTCCTTCTCGGTAAGCAGTTCTACTTCGTATTGATTTGGGGTGAGGATATCCGCCAGGGGAATGATTTCGTCCCGATACACGGGAAGCAGTTCCTTGGGCACGTATAGCTCCCCATTGTCACCCATTACGGGATCACAGACATAAACTAGATTAGGATTAGCCTGTCGCAGCTTCTTCACAATTTGGCCTACTTGACGGAGAAACAGTGGGTTACCGATGTAACCGGTCAAGAGGTGCGAGTACAAAGGGAGTAGATCGTTCTCCTCCAGACCTTCGAAAATGGTGGCTGCAAATTATTAAACCAAGAAAAATTATTTTGATAGGATCAATTTTATATGGTTAGGAAGATGCCGTTAGTTAAACAAAAAAGGTAAGGAAGTTCTAAAACTTATACAACTCCAAGTTTTAGAACTTCCTTACCTTTTGGTATCAAGGTCTTTAAAATTCCTACTGGGCTTTATGGAAGCCTACATAGTATACCAAATCCGATAATAAAAGTTAATCTTACCCAATTCCTTTTCGTTGGAAACTGGACCCTTGAAGGTCTTATAGCCCGTATGATTGGAGAACTGGACCGAGTTCAGTGGGTCCACATCAAAACCGAGCAACTATTAATAGACAATTAATCAGCGAAAGTTAGTGGAAATTCCCGAGCGATAAAGGTCAAAATAGCCGACCTGCAATGGATAGGTGGCCACTTTGTTTCCCACATAGCCGTGCACCACATGGCTCTGGATGGATAATACCCTCTTGTTGCCCGGAGTAGATGTTTCTGCCATTTTTGCTGCACTTTTCCGTGAAACTTTCCGCGTCGAGTGACCGCCGATCAATGAGCGAATGAAGCTACCGGGTCTACAAGTCACACACGCACACAATGATAGCCTATAATCATGTTATCAGCGAGGGAGCGGGAATTCAACGCTTCTCTAGCTGATAACTGATACCTGATAACCAATGAGTGACACTTTCTCAGACGGAGATTACGGGTGTAAACAGTGAGCGGACTTTTTAGTAAACAAAATATAAGAGATTGGACGTCTATAAGATTAACGAATCGTCATTGCCCGGCCTTGGAATGCAATCAAATCCATTACAACACCCCCTTTAATCGCCACCCCCATGATGCAGTGTTACCAGGTGGCCATGGAGCAACTACCAGATGTGGATAATTATCGGTTCAACTATCGACATAAAAAGCATATTGATCTGGTTCTGTCAGTGAATAACGGGTACTTTTATTTAAAGCTAATTTTTTTAAAATTAATTATAAAAATGTTGGACTCAAAAATGGTTGTAAAAAACAATATTCTAACTTACTTTCTAACATCGGTGGCAGTGTTTTTCCATAATCGAGACATTGATATCTAATTAAAGTTTTTCTTTTAACTGACAATTAAGCTCAACTTTGGACAGGATACTCCCAGATGCTATGAAAAACATTATTTTATTAAACATAAAATTGGCCTACATAATATTCTGTTTAAGAAAATGCTAATCTTTGATATTTGATATGAATTTATTTACTGATTTAAGTGCTATGTACAACATAATAGTAAATTTATTAAAACAGGAATGACAAAATTAACTCAAACCTTTAAGAATACAAATAATCTTCCGGACTTAGTCCAACTAATCCGTACAAGAAGTATTTATGTTTTTTTTTTTTGATTTTCTGATCACTGATAACAATTTGGTTTACATTTTATTTTTGGTTGTACATTTTGGTCGCCAGATAAAAGTTTGGATGATGGTGGCTGTGGCCGTTCATAAAGATTAGACGTATAAATCGATCGGAATACGGGGTGTATATAGTACAATACAAATACGGAGCAGTACAAAAGGCCTGGGCAAAAGGCAGTTTACATTAAGGGGAAAAGGTGGATATGCTTTAGAAGCATTGCCTGGATGAGGATCCTCCTATTTTTAGCTCGTTTGCCACTGAAAGTAGATATTTATTTTTCAAACTTGTTAGATTATGTTTATAAGGAAATCACCCTTAGATTGGACTCTCCTTGACCCTGACGGGCGGCCTCCTCTTCCCTTCGCTGAAGTTCCTCGGCTCTTTGTTGCTGTCGCCTTACACTTTCCGGATTTTTAATTCCCCGATGTTCATTCTCCTGACGACGCTTTTCCGCCGCATCCAACTGCTGCTGCCGGCGCTCTTCCTGCAAAGAAATTTTGTTAAGTTTTTAAGAGTTTTTTGAACACACCCATACTTACGGGCGATGGCATTAGGTTGGTCTCCTCGGCACTTTGGCCACAGCAGGAAAGACAAACTCCCATGATGTCTAAATGCTATTAACTCTTACTTTTTCTGTACAAAGAAGAATAATTCTTGTTTTCTTCCGAATAAATAAGGCTTCTTTAGGAATTTTGCGTAGTTTTCGGCTTCTTTTTCACCCTTTGTTTTGCTGTCACAGCTGGTTGATTAACAGAGTGCTGTTATGTTTAATTTCTGAGCTGTTAAACGCAACAGCTGTTTCTAAGTGGCGAATAAGAAGAAGCACAAGAACGCCGAGATCTTTCAAAATTGGACCAATAAATTAATATCGTAGCGCCCGTTCTTGTTGTTGGTATCGTTCCGTGGACTCGAAACTACGTCAATTATTCTTGGGAAAACCTATTTAATCACATACAACTGCGGGTTCAGTTCGATCTCTCATTCTCTTCGCTCTCTGTGTGTGTTTGTGCTGCAAAATTAGTGACGCTTAATTGCTAAATTACTGAAGTGATAAACTAACTTTAAAAAAGCTTTAAAATGTTGGATGTCCCACACGAAGCCAAGGTAAGTTTTTGAGTTTTTTTTTTTACAGTTTTATAGTTTGTAGTGAAAACAGAAATTCCCTTCTGCTCGCTAACTCTCTCCTTCCAAGCCTCTCTGGCGGTGTTTGTGTGAGTGCAGCTTGCACATTTCCAGTGTATGCAACGCATTTTGCCGGTTCCAGTTGGGCTCTATTTATGTGCCAATTTCCTTACTTATAATTTGCCCTCTTGGCTGGTTTTTGCCTTTATTTTTTCCGTGCTTTATGTATTGCATTTGCCATAGCGCTAGCTAACCTTCAAGTGACCTCAAAAGTACGGGCATGTGTCGCCTTCAGTGCGGTGGGTTTCTGAGAGTGTGTGCTTGTGTATGTGGGTGTCTTTTTGGGGAAACCAAAAAATTTGTTGTCTTTTGAAATAATCGCGGGATATATCTGAATAACTCTTATCACTGGAACATGCCCCTGGAAGTGTAGTAGCATTATCGCAAACCAAATGGTTGTTGTTGTAATTTTACTGATAAGAGCCCGCCGATTCTTCTTCTTTTTTCTGGTTCTTACCACTATCTACCCATCCCCCTCGCTCCCAAGTGCCGGCTTGTTGTTTCCACTTGTTTCTTTTATTTAATTTTTGTTTTGCTCAACACTTACACTTACTCAAACCAATACACACACACACATTCACACATGCTAGCTTCCATCAGCCGTTGTAGTATTTTTTTGTACTTATATTTTTTTTTTTTGCTATCACTTGTTGCTGGCGTTTTTCAGTGTCGTTCTGCCGCTGTCGACGTCAACTTCGCTGTCGCCGCGTGTTGGAAAAATTTCATATTGAAATTCAAATTTCGTTCGGATCCCAGCTTTATTTTCAATTGCACACTCGAGCAGCGAGCTTCGTTTTCGGTTTTAGCTCATCTCTCCTATTCGTACGTTCTAACCGCGAGTGCAAAGCAAAACACTACAAAAGTTAAGATTCTCATAGCGAGATATTGTTATTGTTATTAAGTAGTGCTCCATAGTTCACAATGCCCTCCGGTATAAGACCCATCGATGTTCTGTTGGAACGCGCCGGTGTAAGTTCTCTGTAGATTTCATTGAGAATATCATTTTGTAATACCATATTTGGGCCAAGTTCAAACAGTTATCTCTTATAGTTTAACGTTTTTCTAAAAATAGCTACGCTTTTGCTTGAAAAACCCTTGTATAAGTCCGTCATTATTTCAAATAAATTTACATCGAATCCGGAAATTAAAATGCAATTTTGTCACCCAACTGAAAAACAAAAGAAATATACAAGTTGTCAATAAAATAAAAACCCAGAAATATGGCAAATACACCTCTGTAAATAACTTCTTATCATGTAAAAAATTCAACACGTAATTTCAAAAGGTTATCAGTTAATTCGAACTATAAACTAAAACACTTTTGTATTCCATCTCATAAAAAAATTGTATTTCTGATTATCAAAAAAAAAAAATGGCTTGTTTCGCAATTTAATCAGTTTTTTCTTTTTCAATTTAAAAGAAAATGTTTTCATTTAGAGCAATCAGATTTTATTTAATGTGGTGTTCCACCAATCAATATACCCAGCCTTACTTGGAACTGAGTTCGTATCTTATCTGGGATGCCAAATAAAAAAACAGGCAAAATCATTTAATTTGCGTTAATTGTCGGCTTCAGACAGCTTGGTAACTAGGAGTTATTTCAGTTAAGAGTATAAGTCTTCTATTTTTATTGCTTGTTTGTAATTTGTAGACTTTCAAAACATGGGGATAATATCTGGAATTTTCTCATTTACTTCCTCAAACACAAATTATTAGGAGAACAACATCTATGATTACTGGGCATTAAAATATAAAAATTAGCTCGTGTGTGATCTTTGAGATCTTTCAGTTATGAGTTAATAATAAAATGCACAAGCCTTTTACCCCCCCAAAAAAAAAGAAAAGAAACCAAAAATGCGGTGCCAGCAGAAGCATCAATGAAACGTTAGCAAATTATCTTGAGCATGTTGACCTTGCCGAAGTTCAAACACCTGCCCTCTGACTTTGGCTTATCGTTTGGGGCTTGGAATGGCTCATCGGCGGCAAGTGCGGTTGCTTTATAAATAGCCCACATGCAATCGTCTGTCGGCGTCGTAGGCGCCGTGGGCGTGGCATGTGTTCATTATGCCGCCTTTTGCGTAATGATTTCGAAAAGTAAACAGCAAAATAAAAGTGATTACAGCAATTATTATGCATAAGTCAATTGCATTTGTCTGTCTTGATTGACAAGGCTTAAAACCAACTCGAACGGTAGATGGCGCTGTCTTTTCGAATTTTTTCTTCCCTCTTTAAGTTTTTGTTTGGGTTTAAGCTTTGTGTTTACCCCAACAAAATATTGGGTTTGCCATCTGCAAAAGCTAATGACAACCTTGTCCGAATGTCAATGTCAAGTCCTTAGATAAATTTATAAATATTTAACTTACCATTTTTACTATTTCGTATTCCCCAAATCATTATTACCAAGCCATTAATCGATAAGCAACGGCCTTGTTAAGAAAGGTCCAAGAACAAAGTAAGATAAGGGAATTACCAATGTTAGTTAAACTATATTTCGCAATGCAAAAATGTATTTCATTTATTACTTTTTATACTTAGCATTCCCTTTGAATGGTCAAATCTAAATTTGATTATCAGGCCACGCTTTAGTGATATTGATGTGACGTAGAAATAAATGGTACATGACCGTAGGAACGCCCAGATTAGGCGATTAGATCAAGAAATTGTAAAGCCACGATGAGGTTTTATAATACCTTTAGATTAGTTATCAGCCGGGGGCGATAATGAAGGCGGTAGTTGACAAACTTGCTATTTTGCAAATTACACAACTTTTCTGGGCAGTTGCATTTTTATTTTAGAGGTCGTTTCATGGGACATTAGGCCGGAATTTGAATCCCCGGTGGCTGGCTCTTATCACTGTAATCATCCTTGACTAAATCGGAATGTCGAACTCATCATTAAACGGTTAAAGTAGTCAGGGTTTGTTGGGTACACAAATGATAATCAGTGGAAAATTATTCGGACTAATTTTAAAATATATTTTTCTGGCTGTAATTTGACTTCTTTATTTAATTTTTGAAGACTTTTGAAAACAAATCATAACAATTTTGGACCTGATAAAAAATTTAAAAGACCAATCACCAAGACAGACCAATAAGAAATAATTAATTATAAGATAAAAAGTTATTTTCTTAGAAATAACTTCCAGTAGTTGCATTCTTTGGGCAGTCCACTTGATATTTCTTTTCACAGCTAGCACTGTGTACCCTGAAATCTGCAAGACTGGGCAAATATTTAAAGAAGATTCGCTTATTTAGGTAGCTCTCCATTTCTTCTTCTTCTCCGGCTAGACGTTTCTTCAGCGAATTCTGCATACCCCAAATTATGGGTTTACCTTTGCACATCAAAAGCTTCAAACAGCCGGCGTTTTTACCCTCCGCCGGGTTCTCCTTGGCCTCGATCATTTCAACAATATATTCGGGCAAATCCCGATCCATTATATCCTTCAAAAGTTTTTTGCTATATCCATCTGATCGTTGCATAAACCAATCAATGGGAGAGCCCATGGATAGGGATCGTGGTCTATGGTCGGTGGGTTCGTACAGGGTTTCCGAAGCATCAACCGATGATAATCCGCCGCCTTGAGTGACCTGCATCAGAGAGCTGCCAATCTAAAAGAAAAATCGTTAGATTAGAGGTTAAAAAGTTAACTCCCAGAAGGTATAAACTCACCGCCTGTGCAACCATAATCAAGGCATTCAAAGCTAGGGCTCCAAGTTTTTGGGTATCAAATCCGACCATCTTTAGCATATTTGTGAATAATTTTCCGGAGTCGAAAGAGAATGGAGGAGGTTTTTTTCGGGGGCTGTTCTTCACCGGTGGCTCTTCTTGGGCATTTTCCATTTCCGATTGCTGTTCAGATTGATCCTCTTCCTTTCCATCTTCATCGTTGTTTTTCGGTTGATCTGGGAAGCCATACTGCGAGTAACTAACCAAGTTAGGAACGTTTGCCATAGATTTGCCAGAGAAAGCCTTGGCCACCAAATTGGCCACGTCAGCGGCCGTATTAATGCCAAACATTTGTCCAGCCATTTTCAAACCATCACTAAAGTTTTCTATTACACCCGTGGAGGCCTCTTGGCCACCCAAATAGAGGAGCAAACTGAATAGCAGCCAGCGTCTTGTCATCACCAGGCTTGGGGGAAAACTGTCGCCGCTCCAGAGTCTCCTTGGTCTTTGGCAACGCCCAGAGCGTCTGAGTGGCAGACCAAGCTTGTAATTGGGCTTACGACAGCTCCAGCAATAGCAACAATTTTGTCAGCGTTTCCTCCACTAATTTTGTCACTTGAGTGCATCTGCCGGATGCGCTTTGCTAGTCACGCTAATCGATGCGCGGCTCAAAAGTTTCTCCAAGTGTAACTAACTTATGGTTTTGATTTGGTGTTTTTCTTTCAGGTGCGTGGCCACCAGCGAGCACCGTCTGATTCCAAGGAGTTCCACGAGGTGACCAAACGGGATGCTCTCCTTCTGCTGGAGCACGATGTGGATCGTCTGCTGGAGACCACGGAGAAGGCTCGCCAACCCGCGCTTAAGGCGGAAATGAGTCGTTTTGCCGATCTGTTCGGAAGGTTTATCCAAGAGGGTGAGTATCCTTGATTTATTTATTTAGTTTATAGCCTTATATATACTTTTCACTTTCAGAGGGTCCCGCATTGGACTGGAACAAGATCCAGAAGCTGCCTGAGAACGCTGTGATGAACTACTCCAATCTTAAGTCGCCTAAGAATGAGCAGGTATGCGCAGCGGGCCTGTCTTCAGACCCCGAAAAACTCCAAGTTATCCCGCCAAAGAATCACATCTCGAAACCGAAAACACAGATACAAAAAAAAAAAAAAACAAAACCGAATCGAACTCATCCTGATGATATTACCAACTCTCTTAATTTGTTTTACCAACTTTGCATATTTTCATGTTCTTTGATTTGAATACTGAATATGGCTATGTCTGCCTATAAATACTATACATAATCGTGTGTATTGCACCTAGAATGAGGTAAAGCGTTTTCCCTTACCTAAACTTCTACGCTTCACGGCTCTCACTCTCAAATATATCTTTCGCTCTGGCTACGTTTCTATTTAGAAAACTCGGCTCGAATCTAACTTAATTGGGCTTTGGACGCTTTGTTTAGATTTTGGTACTAGTTTTGTTTGTAGTTTTGCTTTAGTTTGTAATCACTGCGCTGTAGTGCAAAAACCTTAACGAAATTCGGCTATTACTGCAGCATAACAAAATCCTTTGCTTTCTAACACACCACTCTCATGATTCATAATGCCAAAGAACTTGTAATAATGATCTCGATTTGCATTTAGATCCGCAATATGCTGGACAAGCTGGTGGTCATCAAGCTTAATGGTGGTCTGGGTACCTCTATGGGTTGCCATGGTCCCAAGAGTGTGATTCCCGTGCGATCGGATCTGACTTTCCTGGATTTGACAGTACAGCAGATCGAGCACCTGAATAAGACCTATGATGCTAATGTTCCTCTTGTCCTGATGAACTCCTTCAACACCGATGAGGATACCGAGAAGATCGTTCGCAAGTACAAGGGCTTCAGAGTGCAGATCCACACCTTCAATCAGAGCTGCTTTCCACGTATCAGTCGCGAGCACTACCTGCCGGTGGCCAAGGACTTCGAAATCGAGAAGGATATGGAGGCGTAAGTTGTCCATAAAGGTGATATAATCTTTGTATTTAATAACTTCTATTTTTAGTTGGTATCCACCCGGTCACGGTGACTTCTATGATACCTTCCGCAACTCTGGTCTGCTGAAGAAGTTCATCGAGGAGGGTCGGGAGTACTGCTTCTTGTCCAACATCGATAACTTGGGTGCCACCGTTGACTTGAACATTCTCAACAAACTGGTGGGCGAAGAGCGTGCCACCACTCCCGTGGAGTTTGTCATGGAGGTCACCGATAAGACCCGTGCTGACGTTAAGGTGAGATTTTGTTGAGGAAAGTGTAAGGAAAAATCATTTTAATACATTTTTCATTTTTCTAGGGTGGTACTCTCATCCAAATGGAGAACAAGCTGCGACTGCTGGAAATCGCCCAGGTACCTCCAGAGCACGTAGATGACTTTAAGTCTGTGAAGACCTTTAAGTTCTTCAATACCAACAACATTTGGGCCAACCTGTCAGGTGAGTTAATCTTCAAAATATTTATTCATACAAAGCCTAAAATGCTGCTTTGGTTTTTCATTTCTTTAGCAATTGATCGTGTTTTGCGCGAACGCACTTTGAACATGGAGATCATCGTGAACAACAAGACTTTGGAGAATGGAACTCGTGTCATTCAGCTGGAGACTGCTGTGGGTGCTGCCATGAAGTGTTTCGATGGCGCCATCGGCATCAATGTGCCCCGCTCCCGTTTCTTGCCCGTGAAGAAGTCGTCTGATTTGCTGCTTGTTATGTCCAATTTGTATACCCTAAAGAACGGCAGCCTGGTGATGTCGCCACAGCGCATGTTCCCCACTACGCCGCTTGTCAAGCTGGGTGAGAATCACTTCTCCAAGGTGAAGGAGTTCCTGGGACGATTCGCCAATATCCCAGACATCATTGAGCTGGATCACTTGACCGTGAGCGGAGATGTGACCTTCGGTCGCGGTGTTTCCCTGCGCGTAAGTTTTGAATGAATTGGATTTTCTTTTCTATATATTAATTTGGCATTAATTTGACTTTCTAGGGCACTGTGATCATCATTGCCAACCATGGCGACCGTATCGATATCCCCGCCGGCGCCATTCTGGAAAACAAGATCGTTTCTGGCAATATGCGTATCTTGGACCACTAAAACAAAATCCTCTGCAATTGGATGTCGTCTCACTAACTGTAGCCTAATTTTCTAAGTTCTATGTAGTAGCCATGTTCGCGTTCCAAATTTTTAATTACGAATTTCATTTAGCCAATTGTTGTAAGCACAAAGTGTGTCATCTGTATATATCGTTAAGTAATAACCAATCAGGGGGTTTTTTAATCAAAAACTAATCGCAATATGTTTTCAAAAATGTTAGTCGTAGTCGTTCAAAATGAGATAAAAATGATAGCAGCTGTTGAAACTCAATAAAGGCATGTTTATTTCTATAAAGACTAAGGAGATTCTGACGTAACTCATGAGGGATGTCTTAAAATAGTTCTTAAATTAATATCACTTGGAATGATGGCACAGGGATGGCACTGGTAAAGCTTCATTCCCCCTGCTTCCAGTTTTCTATGACTTTTCTGAATCATCAATGAGTTTGTAATCCTTGCTTATGTGTCCCAGTTTGATGCCTTGTTGTATTAGATCTAAGGCAAGTTTTTTATTGCTATCCGATGGACCCACAAAGGCAACGACTAGTTCTTTGGGATCCTGCTCAGCTCCATCTTTCGTGGCTTCGCAGCTGTGATCCCAACCTCTGGCCTCGTATATATGGCCATCTCCAGCAGCCACGAAATTAAAGTTGATATCCTTATATCCAATGCTCTCGATATGCAGGCTTTGCAAAAGACGCACTCGAAATATGCACTCGGCTTGTGTGGAACAAGCTGGGGTATTAGTGGCTACGAATCTGACGCTCTGAACGGGCAGATTAAGAGGAGCAAGTGGCACTGTCGGCGGCTGAGCTAGCCAATATGGTCGTGTCAGAAACTTCAAGGTAGCATTGCTAAGGAGTCGCACTGTGGAAGAAGTTTAAAATTAAATATCTTTTCATCATTCTAGTTTTAAAAATTGCTTACATGACGTCACATCTGGAGTAAAGCGAGGCCAGTGCTTCATCAGTTCATAAAGTTTCTGGCCAGGACTTTCGGTGGGACTAACTTGACGATGGGCATAAATACGATAATCCGGCTGTAATCTATGAAGTCGTACACCCTCATCCATTAATCGCTTGGCTGCTTCAATTTGTCTAGCCGGTGGCTCCATATTCACAAACGTTCCAATAAAGGCAATACTAATAGATATAGCACCATATCCTTTGACATGCTGGCCCTGGATGTGCCAACCGCGACCCACGTAGACCTGTCCATCGCCGCCAACCAGAAAATTATAACCAATGTCGACCCATTCCAGGGATTTCATATGGAAAGCTTGAATGATCTGCATTTGCCTTATGCAAACATCCTGAGATAAAATATATAATTACGATATATATATTAGAAAAAGTCTGTAAGTTCGTTTGCAACTTGACAAACATTTGCCGAAACACTTTAAAAAGGTGAGGTAGAAGATAGAGGGGAAGAAAGGGGGTTTTTCAGAAAAGTATGCCGCTTACGGCATATGAAGTCGAGGGGGGTTTTTTTGACTAGGCTTTGGGTTAGGTGGGCTTTGAGATGGAGTCTTAAGAAAAGTATTTAAGCATTGTTATTAAATTAGAAAGTCTATTTAAATAAGTATTATTTTGTTAAACAACAACGAATCTAAAGTTAGCCTAGTGAAAAAACGTGTTACGACCAGCAATAATTGAAATTGTTAGAAATTCTGTGACTCATATCTGTGCCGTAAGTATTCTTCTGACTTTTCTATCCAGGACTTAATAAATTCAGAATAAAACTCACCTCCCGTTCGCATCCTTCCGTAGCCGTGTGGTGGATAATCACATTGGAGACAGGAAGCTTAAGGTGCGGGTACTTCCCGCTGGGTGGTTCCCCCTGCCATTCGCTGCGATCGAGTATGTGCAGGCCTTTGTTCGTGGAATTTGTCGAGTGGGCTAAACCAGGTTAACAATTGAATATCCAATTAAATTTCAATCAATCTTTGATCGGTTTAGATAACTCACACATCACCCACAGGGAATAGCCGGCTGCTAAGCCTACAATTATCAGAAGAATTGCACAAAGATAGATCAGCTCACGGGCAAATCTTCTAAGGTTAGTTGTGTGCTCTTCTGGGAGAGCAATTGTCACGGTTTTCTCCATCTTAAGATATGTTTATTATTGATTACTATTGCTAAGATAGATCCTCTCCAGACGAAAGTCTGATGCCAACTGAACTGAGCCGGACCCATTAACAAGTTGGCTTGATTGTTGTTTGGCTGAAAAAAATCCCCGAGTCTCAAAACTGCGCAGCGGCTGCGAAGTTTGTAAGCTCTTTGATAAGACACATTCATACTTATAAATAAATTTGTATTCGAAAAAAGCTTTAAGAGCTTTTTAACAGGGTGTTTATTCGCAACACAGGGTGAGCGATCTTTAAACGCCGCCCACTTAAGATTAGACAGAGATCTCAGATTGAAGTGAGCAGTCCGAAAAATGGGAACCCCCTTATGTTAACAGGGCGTAGACTTGCTCTAAAGGTCTCTCTAGCTCTTTTTGGCAGAAGCTAGCTCATCTTCACTTTCAAGTCTTGAGGTTTTCCGGTTTCTTGGAACAAAAGACCGCTGGCCAAGAAGATCAAACACAGTTAGCTGCCAAAATGTTGACCACCTAACCCAAATAGGAATTCTTCATTGTTATTTTTCTGCTTCAGCAGGTTAACATTTAATCAGTTCACTATTTAAGCAATAAGAAGACATCATTTTAATTACGCAATATATCAGGATGCTTTGACCAGTATGGCCAATGCTTTTTCATCTCATCAAGATTATTTTCAGGACATCCATAACAGGAGAACTTAACTTCAAATTCGTAATCTGAGTGTAGTTTATTTAGATGAAGTCCTTCCTTTAAAAGCCTCTTAACAGCCTTCACCTGTTCCTCTTCTTTCTCTTTATCTTCAAACCAACCGGTAAAGACAATGCTTATGCAATCAGCTATATAGCCTTTAGCGTCGATAGGTTGTACATCCCAACCACGCCCTTCATATATATCTCCATCACCGCCTACTATGAAACTGTGGCCTATGTCCGGCCACCGCATTTCCCTCATGTTAGTGTTTTGAATAAATCTCATAAGGTCCAGGCATTCTTCCTTAATTTTGTTAGAATATTATAAATTTGTATTAACTTAAATTTTACCTTTCACTTACCCTTGTTTCGCACCGATAAGCAGGTTCAAAATATAGAACAACTTTTTTTACTGGATGATCCAGAAATGGTCTACCAATGGACACTACCGATGTCCATTCGTCACGTTTGATGTACAGACCATTCCCGTTGTCTAAGTGAAAATAAAAATTATTAACGATCTTCCAGACTATTTCTTGATTTGAATTAACCTTTTATGAAGAAGTAACAACCGACTGTTATGGTAAGACAGAGAAGTAAAATAACTGCTAAGTATAAAGCATTTTTCTTAGCCTGTATCTCCCGATTTCCTTCAAGATCCATTTTGGTGCGCTATAAACTGCTCCAAGCTATTGCTGGACTCTCACTGAACTAGTTAGACACGTGTTCTAATTATACATATTCTATTATATGTAAAAATTTCTTTAAAAAAAGCTTTCGATGGGTTTATATATAATATTCATTCAGCATCATTGCTTTTCTTTGTTTCGAAATTCATTCAAAATTTATTCAGAGTTTTGGTTATTCGAAATTGGAATTTTAGAAAAAGTTATAATAAAAAACAGTTTAGTTAATTTATCTTCTAGTCAAAATGCTTAATAATAGTTGACCATCGTGGCCATTGCTTCATTAGTTCATAAAGTTTCTGGCCAGGACTTTCGGTGGGCTGAAACTGCCTCTGGGCGTAGATGCGATAACTTTGGCGCAACTTCTTCCGACGAACTCCGTTCTCCATCAATCGCTTGGCTGCCTCAACTTGCCTCACCTGTGGCTCAATATTCGAAAATGTACCAATAAAACCAATGCTTATAGATACAGATTCATAACCCCTTAACCGTTGAGATCGTACATCCCAGCCACGACCCTCATAAATCTTGCCATCGGCGCCTACGTAAAAATTCAGGCCTATGTCATTCCAATCATTGATATTCATGTGGACATCCTGAATCACATTCATAAGATCTATGCAAGCATCCTAATGGGAAAAAATCATCTTTTAAGTTCTTATTTGTTAGTATATGTATTAGTATTACCTTCGATTCGCATTGTTCAGTGGCTGTGTGATGTATAATAACGTATTCCGCTGGTAGATTGATAAATTCCTGTGTGATGGGCTTCTCAGCTCCCCACTCATCGCGTTCGACTATGTACAGATCATTCCTATGACCTAAACTCAATTGATAAGGATTTATGATCCAAAGCTATTCTTATCCATATATAGTAGCTGAGCGGTATGGTTGTAAATACTAAAAGGAAAACAGCAAAGTTTAGCCTTTTTAAGGTCAATGATCTTTTTTTCTGATTTTCTTCTAGGCCTATAGATTCGGGATTTTCCATTTTATATACTTGTAGACTTGTTGTTAAAACAAAAGCTGAACGCGTACTGAAATCAGCAAAATATTAAAAACAAAAAAGCTTTGAATTTCTTTATCTGCTTTATATTATTTATATTAATGAAATCCATTTTTATACATTTAAAAAAGAATCTTTATAGACTTTAAAATTCATTTAATTTATTAAATTTTTGTTGTATATATCTATCAAGGATTCTTACAAAGTTAGTTAAGTTAACAAGAAATCTTGGCTGCTTTTAAAAGTGGACTATGGAATGGAAGGAAAGTTGATGATTTTCATCAAACTTTCATTTTGTTTTTTTTTTGGAAAATTTTTTGCAAAAAATTTCAAAGCTCTCGCAATATTAAGTAACTTTAAAATATATTTAATAATTTATCATGTAGGAAGTCTAAGACAAAAGATTTTTAAACATAATGGCCCACGAAAGATTTGCGTTTTCAAATCGCTATAAAAATATGAATATTTATCCAATTTTCTTCCAGCGTAAACTTAACCATTTCGTAAACCGCAAACCTTCTATTAAATCTTTGACAATGACATTCGAAATGTCAAAGTCAAAATTATAGATAGTTCAAAAAGCAAACTCTACATGGGCCACCCTGTATTATTTTTTATAAATTTTAATATTAAAAAATCTTTTTTAAAGAAGTATTTTCTTTTCGCAAACATAAAAAACTTTTCGATTAAAGAACGGCAACAAATAAGACAAACAAGAAGTAAAGCAAAACGGGGAGTCCCCCTTAGCTCTCAATCAACGAAAGTTAAGACCAAGCTTGGGTCTTGGCTAGCACGGCATCTTACATACATGACTGTAAGTCACCTTTTCCGGTTTCTATTCTAGAAGATCCAGACATCAGCTAAGAAAAATCCCCGCTTAAAGTTATCAGCTAGGCTTTGACCCTCTGACATGATTGGATTTAATCAAGTTAATCATTTTTGCTTTATTTAATATCACATTTTTTCAAAACGAATAATCGTAACTCTAGCTAAAACGAATATGCCACAAATTTAAAGGGATAGGAGAGAACACCTATGCTACAATATCAATACGAATAATGAATGATAAAATCCATACATCGGGAGCTGCGCATATACATTATATATCTTAAAACTATTCACGACCAATGAGTCCAATTGCTGAAGCTTTGGTAGAGGGCATCCGCCTTGTATTGGGTTAGACTTGGCTCCAATTTACTGGCCGCTGTAAATCGATAGTTGGGAGCAATCTTTCCCAGCTTCACTCCGCGCTCCAACAGAAGCCGAGTCACGCTGAGCTGTTTGTCCGACGGCTTGCGTGTCTGAAAAGATCCGATATAGGCCAGGCTCAGGCTCTTTGAATTATAGCCGGGCATATGGGCGCCCACTTGATCCCATCCACGTCCCACATACACATTGCCATCGCCACCGATTAGAAAATTAAAGACTATATCATCTTCCTGCACAGATTCTATATCGAACGACTGTCGCAGTCGTACTCGAAACACACACTGTGCCTGGGTGGTGCAATCATCCGAATTGGTGGGCAGGACAATGATCAACTTTACGGGCTGCTCCAAATCCGGAATCTTCTTCTGCGGCGGCTGGGCAAGCCATTGCTGACGCTCCACAAATCTTAGTATCAATCCTCCACCAATATTGTCCAGATCTGTGGATTAGTTAAGGTCTTTGGTTAGTTTTAGGCTAAAATATTTTTTTAGATTTAACATAAATTTGCAGTTTTTGTTAGTGAATTTAAGCGGCTTTTTGTTTAAGGGAAATAATGAAATATTTATACACTTTTTTTTAGTAACTGTTAGTAGACTAATAACCATTAATCAGTTTTATTAAGAACAATAACGAATAAAGAATATTAATATTAATGAAACTGCTTAAAATTTGAAACCTCTTTTTGAGGAATAAATTTTATATGACCAATAAAGTTTCAGTTTTGATGACCATCTCCTACATTAATGATTAAAAGATGTCAAGTTAATAATTTTGTGAAACAAAAACTTTTCAATAACGTATTTTTTGGCACCTTTATTCGATCTTAATTCGATTAATTATAACTAATTAATGAGTCATATGCAGGTCGGGCCAGGTCTTGGTCAAATTATACCAATGTGGCCAAGTCTGGATGACCCTATAGAGCTCCTCTGCAGGCATTAAGGATCCCGTTATTTGCCGATGTCCCAGGATCTGATAATCGGGTTTTAGCTTCTTTAGGCGTACACCTTGATCGATGAGCAGCTGACAGGCTTCCAAAGATTTCTGCGTTGGTTCACTCCGTCGGAAGTTTCCAAGAAAACTAATGCCAATGCTACTCTTATTATTATCCCTGGTATGGGCACCCTCGTAATCCCAGCCACGTCCCACATAGATGCGCCCATCTCCGCCCACCAGGAAATTGTATCCAATTTGTCCCCAGTTATAGGTGTCAATGTGTCGGCTCTGCACCACTCGGGTCCAATAGGAGCAGGATTCCTAAATGAGAATTGGTTTCTTAAGTTAATATGATATATTATTAAAACGACTTACCCTTGTCTCACAGTTCTCGGGTCCAGAATCAGAGATTATTACCCGCGATACTGGAAGATTCAGAGGTTCTATCTTGCCCCTCGTGGGCAAACCACCCCAGCTCTTTATCCCGATCAGAACTAGTTTTCCGTCGACATAAACTTCGGAATCATCGCTGGCTGGTTTAAAAAGATCAGTTGTGTTAGTAACCCCTAGGAGTGCTTATAAGGAAGAATGCAAATCGTTTTGGAAATGGAACTACGTTTAACTTTAACTTCAAATCCAAATCTCGAAGGATTTTCCTTAAGACTTGCATACCTCCCTTAAACATCTTTTAAACAGGTTCACAGATACATCCTTGTATCTGTAGGATACCAGAACCATCTTGATATTCCATTCAACTCAACTGCTTTCAATTTTGATTAAAATTTTCATTAGGGATTAGGTGAGGAAATGAGATCGAATAAAGTGCATCTGTTGGTCATATTTGTACAGATTCTATTTACTGGTAAATATATATATTATATAATACATGACTTATTAGATTTTATGTGACCAATGTGGCCACTTCTGGATGATCTTGTAGAGCTCCTCTCCGGGACTTTCCGTGGCACTCAATTGCCGATGGCCATATAACTGATAATTGGGTGTCACCTTCTTAAGACGTACACCCTCTTCTATTAGCATTTGGCAGGCTTTCAATTGCCGTTCGTTGGGCTTCCTCAAGGTGAAGGTTCCAATAAAGGATATCCCTATTGCTCCCTTATTATAGCCCTTGGTATGAGCGCCTACATAGTCCCAGCCGCGACCTTCGTAAATACGACCATCGCCGCCAACCAGAAAGTTGTAACCGATGTGGTCCCAGCTCCAGCTGTCCATGTGAAAGTTTTGGATGACTTTCAGCCGAGAGGTGCAAACTTCCTTTGTTGGCCAAAATTGAGTTTAGGATGTTTAGGAAAGTTATGGATATGAAGGAGTTGACTTATGAAATCTACTCACCCTTGACTCGCACCCCTCGGCGGCTGTGTGCGAGATTATTACCCGATTGACGGGCAGATTCTGCTTATCGAGATTACGTTTGGCGGGCCTACCGCCCCAATCAGCAACCTTTAAGAAAACGAAGCTGCCATCGTCGATGACATCCAAGTCGGCTGCATGAAGAGTTTTGGGATTAAATGTGAAACACGAGATTCGATTCACTGGCATATTCCATTCAATTGAACTTTAGGCCACACTTTTGATTTATGTTTCACTTCACAGGCACTGATCCAGTGATCAGAAACGCGAAAATTGAGCAGCAAGATGAATAATGTACCGACACACACAGAGACGCATACAACGTAACCAATGAGTTATTATATACAAGATGAGATTAGGATGGGTTATATACATGCTGGGTTGGTTTGGTGAGTTAGGATGTGTTAGAGCACGATCGCCAATTCGTTTTGGTTTTTTTTTTTTTATTGATTAGTCAGAAGCCCTTTCGCACACTTAAGTGGTGGACAAAACTGTACCTATTGTTGAATTGATTGGAATATTTTGTCTGGAATCGTCGACATCGCTGATCTTACTTTGGTTCAACGTCTTGCCGAAGATGTTTGTGGTGGTGGCCAGTATGATGCCCAGTAGAAAAGTAAATAGTACGAACACCACTGTTATTGTGACGGCTTTGCGACCAATAGTGTTGGGCAAAAATGGGCAAAGGGGTGGCGTCTGGGCAGGATCATCAAGCTTGGAACCTGCAAAATTGGGTGGGAAATTAGGGGTAAGTAAAACTGAGTTATAGGAAAACTTTTTTGTTCATGGTTTTTGTGTGAAAATCAAAGTGTTTTTTTGGTAATTTGCGCTTGAAGTCCAAAATATTTTCCTATAAAAAGGTGAAAATTCCGAATTGGGGGTTCATTGGTTCATTTTCTAACAAATCTTAAGCTTGCACTCTCTCAGGGCTAACATAACTCTGAAGGTTTAACCCATTTCTGCTTTCAAAAAGTAACATTAACAAAAATCAACTTTTTCTTACGTTTTTCCAGGCCCTCTTCAAGGATCTCCAAACGTTTTTCATGCTCCCGCAAGGACTTCTCCAGCCATTGGCTCATTTTTTCACCAGTTTTTAGCTTTCCCAAACAAGAGTCACACTTCCATCTCAAATTGGGAACCATAGCCAATACTCTAAACTGTTCTTCGTTAAGTTCCGTGCACTTGCGATGACAGAACCGCCCACACAACTCATTATCACACTCTATGCGACTGGAAAAATCCACGATAATCCCATGACACTTTAGGCAAATTTGAAGCGCGTTCCTCGACATTATTCGATCGCTCCAAATGAACAACTGAAGCCGATCGGTGGGTACTTTCCTCGATCCGTGCGTATGCAGGTTTTATTCTTGTTATTTCACATTTTTCATTTAGCAAGTGCTTAAGGCATACAAATACAGAATGTTAAAAAAAAATCCCCCAATCCAACAGAGGAACGAGGGTATTTTATTGCCAGATCAGTGGGAATCACCTGTCTATATAGCGACAAGTGCCTAACTACAGTTAACTAAATTTACACTCACTCGCCCAGTTGAACTCCAATTGGATTTTGATTTCTGGCTGGCGATTTAATTATGGTAATTGTGAAAAACATTCGAGTAAACAATTGCATGCAGGCAGCTGCTATTGTTTTGTTTTTTCCAAGTATTTATCGCAAGTTTTCACCGTTTTTGATTTACGGCCCAAGGGACCTTGGCATCAGCTTGAGATACATTTTCTTTTCTTGAATGAAATTTGACTTTGCTTTTGCACCGTAAATAGATTGTAATCGTAAAGTGTGAATATAGAAGAACAGGTTGATTTCTGATCAATAAAAAAAAGAGGTTTAAAATTTAAAAATCCCCTAAAATAAGCCTCATGAATATGAAGCCGCACCTTTTGTTTTATGGGAGACTGACTTTGGTTCGTGGTTTTGCATAAAAATTTATGAATTTCAAGTAGAATGACGTTTTCTATATAATTATTATAAAATATAAATGAAAATAAATGTATTTTTAATAACAAAAATAATTTTAAAATCATTTTGTTTCCATTGGTAATTTCTTGAAAATTTTCCTCATATCATTTTCTAGGGCCTTGCTCAATAAAATGCATTTATGTTGTTATTCCAGCACATTGTAGTATTTGTTCTAGGCGAATCTAATGAATCTAAACGCTTTGTGGGCCATCTGCTAATCTACCATTCGCAGCACGGTCGTTAGACCTGGCCAACTAGGTCCGTCCGACTGGGTTGGGTAAACAAATCGCCACACGCGCTCAGTATCGGCCCGATTAAGCAAACAAAACCGAGGCAAGGTGAAGACGGAGTAGGAATGTATACAAAGGCCACAGGAAATAGCAATGGTAATATATATATTAGATATATATATATATATATATATAAACAATTTATGTATGAAGTGTTTCTAGAAGATAATCTCTGTGGAAACTTCTATCCAATTTCTTACCAAATGTTAATGATTTTCCTGCATCTAATCTAACATTTTACATTACGAAAAGATGACTTACCCGGCGCATTGCCATTTGTGGTGGCTCCACCATTAAAAGCTGGATTATCCTGTCCACCGCCTGGTCCTTCACCCGCTTTCCACTTGTCCCGATTGTCGATGAGAAACTGTTGTATCGTCACGGGTCCCTCGTAGAAATGCTTATCACCGAAGGTCACATCCGTGGAGTTTGTAAGCGCAATGCTACCGATTCCCTGAGTTGCTCCACCTGCCGGAGAAGTGGGCGTGGCCAATTCTAGACTTCCATTTAGTATTTGCTTAGCGACGACACCAGCTTCAAGGGGATTTGGTGGTGGTTGTTCCGACTGACCCGGTGCCACTTGACGACTGATCACGGTTAGACCCTGGTTAAGATCGCGCAGGTTTGTACTGTTGGGCGGGTAGGTGACCTGTTGGCCCAGCTTCTGGACTGTATAATCCTCGGCTTCAGCTTCCGAGTCACTATCAATACAACTGGAGTCGATGGCATTCTCATCGATGGACACAATGGAAATGGTTGTGCTCCGTATAGAAACCGCCGGCGAAGAAGATGTCTTTCCAGCAATCTCGTTGGTTATATTCACAGTGTGCTCGATGCTGATACGTTTGGGTTCCGTTTTCGTTTCCGATTTTGATTTGGATTCCCCATCGTCCGTCCCCCGATCTTTGGTCTCCTTATCCGGCCGGAATGATGCCGCATTATCATTTAGTATTACACCCGAATCCGTTGATGAAGTACTGCAGTTTTTTGGAGCAGACGTCGGATCGATTAGTCTACGTTTCGTATTCGGACATTGGATCATTTCCGTTTCATTACTAAAATGCATGTCGAACTATCGAAACAGTCACGTAACCAGATGTATATATTCTCTGGATCTCTGAGCGTTATATGTTGGTCTTTCTATTTAGCAGATTGGGTAGTTCATTTTTCCTGGGTATTAGTTTTCTTTTTTCTTTCTATTTTTTTTTTGATATGGCAAATCGGCTGACTAGACGCAGCTCTGGGCAAACATCACATCATGAGCATCTGCAAATAAGTTTTTACCCGGTTAACTAGCTGATAATGAGTAAGTTAAATGATAAATTTTGAAGAATTTTTCATTCTTTGTTTGAATTAGATTTAAAGGGTTTTTAACTTGAGTCATGCACTCTCGTTTTTCTGGTTTTTGGGTACTTGATTATTATAATCTTTTGTTTTCTAAGTTCACTTCCTTTAAGAAAACTCAATTGTTGGTTTAAGTTTGATAATATGGTTGTGGAAACACTGATAAACATATGTCTTTAACTTTGGTTTTTACTTTAATTATTTATTTAACTTTTCATATTTGATACTATTGCTGTTTCAAAAAATCAGCATTAGAACGTCTCACTTAGTTAGAAACTTTTTTAGCTTCAGTAGTAGTCATTTTCAGGTTTTTCCATCACTTTTTCTCTCCTTTTTCTCTCTTAAACACACAACATTATTTATGTTTTTTTCTAATTATTTCGTTTATTTAATAATTACACAGATTTAAACAACGATTTTATTGTTATCACAGTCCATTAGAGCATTCCATTTGCCAGTTTCATTCTGCTTTGTACGTGTAATCAACGCTTTTATTTCATGTATACACGATTGTTGATAAGCTCGACTGCCTGGGGAAACTTGAATTGGGGAATAAAAGCTATGCGGCTGCTGTACAGCAATGAAGTTGCATAGAAATTAAGAAAGAGCACTTGGATATGGAATATATTTACAGTTTACAGCTCATATGTATATATAATATATTGTATACCCCTCAATTCGATTCGTTAAAGTTGGTCAACAAATCTCTCACGAAAGCAAGGCTTATGCAAATTAGCTATAATCATTGACGTAGTAAATTTACTTAAGTGGATTCCGAGAAATACGGAATGCCAGACACACTTGCCACTAGTAGGGTATACTCAAGCCTAAGCTGGCATATTTGAAAGTCTCCTATGACGTCTTTGAGAGAGTAAAAGACCATCAATAGCATAAGACATGATGTCTACGAGGAAAATGTTTGCCAAATGCAAGACAGTAACTTTCATTTATGGGATACCCAGAATTCTGATTAACTCAAAAGAATATCAGAGGGTTCACAGTATATATCTCTCTAGATATATATATATTTTTTTCTACCGATGTGCTAGAGTTGGCACAGAGCGCACTTTTGAGATAACACCGAATGGAACATCGTACAACGACAACGGCTACAAATGAGGAACGGAATGGCACTTTCAGTTTACTGAGCGCACCAATACAACGACGTCTTTTGAGCGGCCGCCATTGTCACTAATACACAAGTATATATCGCCCTAATATATATATATATATATATCTGTATGTTTGTGTCTCTTTGTTGTTGGAGAGAATCGATAATAATTAACAACTCTGTTTTACGTGTTCTCAAAATTATCATTAAATATGGCCTATGTGCAAATTAATTGATTTTCGATCGCTGTTTCGTTAACTAGCTTTGTTTCCAGGAACCATATCGTTTCCTTAAGGGGTTTTCGAAAACGAGTTATTAACATTCCACGGAAAAATAACAATTTCTGTAAACTGCATACAAACTAGTTTACACACTCAGGCACAGTTTAAATTGATCAATTAATGTTAGTTTTTAGTCACATTTTTTGGCTGCTTATGACACTTTTCGGATTTTATTTTAGTTGTTTTTAGGTTGCACTTAATGCCTGTATTTTACGCACTTCCAATCACCGACGTATCCGTTGCAGCACGTAAATATTTGAGCTTCTATACTATATAACAAAAACTTGTAAGTTGATTTTTATTTTTTTTTTATATGAATTTTCGCGCCAATTCCGGAATTGTTGAGCAGCGGCGCGTTCGAGTGACTCTGATCAACTGAGCGGCGATCAAATCGCAGCGGCCTGAAAAGCTGGAGCGTCTAAAGTGCCAGCGTGTGGGAGCGTGATAGAGAGAGAGTGAGAGAGCAGAGCGCTGGGAAGAAAAGAGAGAGGGGCGGGTAGAGCGATCGTCTTTTTTTTTATTACTTAAACAAAGTTGTTTGATTTGAGTCCGATTTTAAGGCAGTCCAACTCGTTAAGCATTTGCATTTTAGTAAATGTTTTTTTAGAAAAAGATTTTCATAGAGAAACTAGAAAACCTTGTCCTAGAAAATTCTAAAAAAAAAAGATGATTTAATTTATGATTCTTTAAAATATATCAAATTTTAAAAAATTTTCAAATTTTTTTAGTTACAAAAGTCAAAGCTTCCTTAGTTACATTTTTTGTTAGAATTCTTGAAGAAAAGTTGTAAGTTTAATATTGGTTAAGTTAATGTTGGTCCTTGCATTGCCAAATCTATACTGATTTCGTTTTTCTTCTGCCAAATCACTTTATAAATAACTTAACCCATTAAAGCTTTACAACTTTTCCCCTGCCGAAACGGGTTTTGTAACTGAGATTGTGAGTGATCTGAAGAATCTGAAAGAATTCCGATAACTGCAGTTTTCAGACCTGCATTTTTCGGTTTTTCCGTGCGTCACCAAGTTGAGGAACCTGTTCGTGATTTCGGGTTTTTTTTTCTATATACATCTCTTCCAGATATTATTAGTCAAATATATAATGATACTTCTAGCTGCTGGCTGGAGATAGGTCTCTCTCCTCTCCACCAGTTCTCGGGCCCACCTGACGATGACTGTTTGTTTTTGTTTAGTTGTTTAGTCGTTCACAGCAACAACAATAACATCGATATGGCTATACAGACACCTAGGCGTATACGTATTCTTATTTGTTCAACCAATAAACATCGCAGATCTCGGGCTCTCTCCCGGCTCCGAATTTTGTTTTGTTTTTTTTTGGTTTTGGTGTGTGCAAAAAAATGTGAACATTTTTAAATTGCGCTACCATTTCCGAGAATTCGTTTGTTTGTGGCCCGTCATTGGTTTTGGCCATTTCAGTTTGTGGTCCATAGCTCTTTTTCACTGCCTCCAAACTCCAGCTTGACCCATTGTACAAGAGTTGAAAAATTTTTAATGTAATTACAGACGACGAGCGGCGTTTCGGTGATCGTTGATAGTCTGAAAAGGGTGTCGGGGAAACTGTTGATGGATAAAACGTAAAGAGCTATAAATTGGCGTAACGAATTTTAAATGCGCTTTTTTTTGGGAATTTTACAAACCAAAAATTTATATAAAATGAAATCATGACTAAGTAATATTTGTAAAAAATAGGTTTAACTTATGATTTGTGTTTCTAAGTGTTTTTAGTACCCTGATAAGCTGGGAAATATATATGTGACTGCAGTTCAAGTTCAAGCCTGGAAACATCTTCTAATGATTTATGCCTTTTGCAGTCAGGCAATCTGTTCTTTGTTGACCCATTTTATGGCAAAAAAAAAACGACTGTAATTATTGTAAATCATTTCCAATGAAGCCGTTAATAACTTCCCTACATCAGCTACAAAAATCAATCGTTTTATCTATTTTTATACTTGCCCAGCCTTACACACAATTTTCTTGGCTTAATTATTATTAATTATTTTGCTTTTTTGGTTGCCTTTTCTTATGTTTTGTTATTATTTTTTAGCCGCTACACGTGCCGCACTCTCGTCATTGTTTTTGGCCAAAAAAGTTCGTTCCGCGGAGTAGGTTTAATATATATTTTTTTCTCAAGACGCTGTGAGCTTAATTAGTCAATGAATGTACGTCACTGTTTTTTGGTGGCTTGAACCGAAGGTCAGGTATGGAAAAAGCGGGCTAATGAATATCCAATTTATTGCTTATGTTTTGGCCATTGTCGTCATAGGTGTAAGCTGTCTTTTGATGAGCAAAAGTAGGTAGAAGAGATATTTATTCCTAAGGCGTTGTGGCCATTATTTATCATTCATTGTACGTCACTCTTTGAGGGCTTTGAGCTGGTTATCCCGCGCCCACGATTGGGATTATCCCATCTATTTCTGTGCTATTTCCAGCCATCCCATAACTTGGAGAATATTCTTTCCAAATTATATAAAACATTATTATTATATTGTACATATATTAAGTGCCTAAAAAACCAGATAAATGACAAAGGCAGCCACAGCCATCACAACATCGTCAAGTCAAGCTACCGATAATGATGTTGTAGTGCCGCACAAAGGCTGTCATATATGGAATACATATAGAAACCATGAGTGTTAAAGCCCGTCAATAGGGTTATGTGGTAATGGTAATGGTAATGGTACTGGTACTCATACTGGTACTGATACTGATGACTGCGGCTTGGGAATTTCCAGCTTTTTGAGCGACAGTTAAAAACAAACAGCGCTCCCAAAGTCAGACAGATTTAAAGAGAGGGAGAGATCTGCTCTATAAATAAACCCGACCCGCTCCCAACCGGTTTACTCTGTGTGTGTGTTTTCAAGCCAGCATAACCGATTAAAAGAAAGCCCGTTTCGACTTAGTATATGTATTAAATATAATTTGTGCTTGGATACACTTAGGTGGTAAAAAGTCTATAGCCATTAGCTATTGCTTGGCGTTCCACGATTCCGGTTTCATTCCCAGTTCGACGCCACATGCCGGTGCCTCGTCCATTCCGCAGCCGTAAAAGTGCGGCCAGTTACGGATTTCTTGATACACATAAGCACCCGGACTCTTGGTGGTCTTCGTCTAGAATGATATTTTGTTAGAATTATATAACAAGATCTATTTTTAAGTATCTTTTACCTGATTTTGGGCCACTAGCTTGTAATCCACTTCCAGATTTCTATTGGCCACTGCATGGGCCAACAGAAATTGGACACCTTCCATCTGTTTGGCTGACGGCTTGAACCTTCCGTAGTCACCCATAAAGGTAATGGCCAACGTTTGGTTGGCATACGTGTTGGCCCAGTCCCAGCCGCGGCCTACGTAGATATTGCCCTCGTCTGAGACCTGGTCGAAACAAATTCGGAAATTTGACAATTTGCGTAAGCGGAAAGCGAAATGCCCAAAATGGCACGTGAACGTGCCGGGAACATAAATAAACGCGCCAAGATTTCTTTTTGCCAATACACTCGACAAAAATTATGTTTGAAATTTGATTTTTTTTTCAATATTTTTCAAAATAAGCCTTTGGTAAACTTCAAGAGATAAAATCAAAGATTTTTAAGGTAATAAAAACTCACATAAAAATTTGACTGGATATCGGGCAGACCCTTCTCGGCAATGGCGGAATCCTGTATGGTACGCATCTTAATGGAGCACTTGTAGATGTTCTCGCAGGGCAGGGATTGCACTCCAATATGAGTGATCAGAACATAGGGAATGGGTCGCTTTAAGGGAATGGTCAGGGCAGGTGTGGTCTTGGCGGCACCCCACTGCTCTCTATCGATGACCAGATGGCCGTTTCCTAGATTTGGAACTGTAAAATTGGTGAATTGGCTATGAGGGCACACCGAGTCCCATCCACTTACACGTATCGTGGTCGTAGTTGTTGCCAAAGAAGATGGCCTTGTTACTGGGCAGCTCAGTCCGTGGTCGATTGAGCTCAATGTAAAGTACAACCAATCCAGTGGCCAGGACCAAAAGGATCAAAGTGATTAGTAGGATGGTGTTGCGGGTAAGACGTTTTGATGGTGATTTATCACGATTTCGATTGGCATTGCCATTGCCATTTGCATTATTGCTGTTGATTCCTAAATTAGCGAAAGTCAATCAATTAGCATATATGGTATACACTGAGCTATAAATCAGGTTGTTTCGTTGGATATATTGACTTAGCTTAAATGCTTTACAAAAGTCGCAAATTTCGCAGAGATTTGTATGACAAAAGTTAAGGAAAATGTCTTTTGTTTATGCTGCTGCTCTTTTAGTATGCTAATTTGTTATAGATTTGGATCGGTTTGCTTTAGTTTGATCTACTTTTTGTTTGGTTTAAAAAGAAGGATTTAAGTTATGTTATATTTTGTAACTTTTAGAGGGGGTTAGAGGGTTGCCCACGAAAGATTTGCGTTTTAAAATCGCTATAAAAATATCAATTTTTTTCAATTTTCTTCTAGCGTAAACTCAACCATTTCGTAAACTGCAAACCTTTTACTAAATATTTGTCAAAGTCAAAATTATCGATAGTTCAAAGAGCAGACGCTAGATGACGCTATATTTTGCCATGTCTTAAGATCCTACACTTTATCATTCCATTATAGCAACCCTTTCTAGACGTCTTTTTGGAACCAATTCATAAAAATTCGTAGAAAATGACAAATCATTTAAAAGAAATCAAAGCTAGTAATCAGTGATTCATATAGTTTCATCTTTAAGGGCTTATTTCCAATGCAAATGTAAAATAACGAAAAAGTAATATTTCACTACAAAAACAACCGATCCGTGTAAAAAGTTCATTTGTAAATTTGTTTCTGTGTACGATAAAAAGCGGTTACTTGACACCCTTGATTGCAGCCACTAAATATAATTTCTCTACACTAGAAAGTCAGTGTTATATATATAGAAAATGATCATATGCTAAGCTTATATACTTGATGAATCCCGAGAATGGTTTAAATTTGGTTCCGGCGTACGCCTCCTGCGCGCCGTGCGCTCCGAATGAACTTTCAGCAGCAGTTTCATATCACTTGGTTTCACGGCAGCTTATCACAACAACAACAACAACAAGAACGACAGTGGGCATTATAAGTCTTTATATCTTTGTATATGAGTAATTGTCCGATGAATCATCGAAATTAACATAACTAAATACAGGAGAACAGAAGCGGTCACAAAAAATTATGGTTTTATAATGTGTCTCAAATGGGGATTGACCGATAATTGGATGGCAGAGTGCCACTGCCTGGTACCGCCTGTACCGCACCTGAACCCGTCGCTTAAACAACTGAAATGCGGCGCAGCTGTCGATGGAACACTAAACAGAAAACAGAAAACAGAAAACAGCAAACAGAAACAGAAATACAAATGGCAAAAGCGCTGGAAGTGCAGCCATCTCGCTCTATCCTTGGTTGACATGTTTCGCTTTTTGTTTGTGTAAAGAAAGGCCGAAGGGTGTGGCAAAGAGGGGGTGCTGAGGGTGCGTCATGATATCGCCGGCCTTCTCTGGTTGTTATTGTTGCTTTGGCTTTGCCATATCACATTTTACACACTTACTTTTTGCACTCTTACTTCTCATATTTCTCCCACTCACTCGGCTCTCTCTTACTCTCTGTTGTACTACGTGACGTATGCGCAATATGCGATGTGCATCGCAAATGGCTTAAGTTTGATCCACAAACACTGGATAACAGCCATATCTCTCATTGCTTACCGAATGCAACTGCCAGCGAGTGCTCTTATTGTGTGTGTGTGTTTTTTTTTTTCGATGAGCATGGGGATTCCTGGAATCCCGGGCAGCTATTTGCATTTCAATTACCTTGTTTATTAGAATTAGCTGCTCTGTTCTTCCCGATAAAATGATTGACCCTTTATTCGAGGCATATATGGCGATATCTTAGTGATAATTGCTTAAGCGTAAGCTGAATTTACTGCAAACTTGTTAACAAGTGTTTAAGCTTAAATGAGATCTTGGAAACTCACGATTACCCTTTCGAAATATCTGCTGAACACGATTGGGCTAACAAATCTCATTAGTAATCAGATCACAGCTTAAAACTTGTTGATAAACCCAAATTGAAATTGATCACAACGTGGCAAATGATCGTAATAAATTAAAATAAAATGTTTTTATAATAAAATTTGTCTTAAAAGATTTTGTTTTAAATTGAAAGTTAAACAAAAGTTGCTGGATGGCTCTTAATAATAAACAAACTTTTTAAGGAATATTAAAAGAATATTAGAAAAGCGAAATCTTTTTCATTTTCATAGTTCAAGGAACACTCTAACTGAATAATAAATGCCAAAGTGTAATTCTAAATATTTACTTTTAAAAATGGTTACAAAGTACAGAGTAAGCTCTCAGGCCTCAACCTGTAACCAAAATGTTAATAAAGTTAAAGAAACTAACTTAGTTAGTAAAAACCTCTTTAAAAATTCATCAGAAATATATTTATAGTCTTAACTTAATGTTAGTTTAATTCCTCGCTTGACAAGCGTGAGAATAATTTTCCACTGCATTCAGGATCGGGGACTCACCTGCCGCCGTTTGCATGGCGTGTGCCTCCATATAGTCCATATAGTATATAGATACCGGTCCCTGGTATTGGGTCATGGGACCGATCACCACATCGGTGGAGTGGTTTAGGTTTATAACGCTTGAAGGCTGGATTGCAGGATTGGTGAAGATATTTTGTGGGAGTGGCAGGCCAGAGGATGAAGACGATGCGGCTGCCGAGGTAAGGTTGTGCAATCTTTGGGCGGGACTTGGTCTCTCCCGACCCTGCAGTGTCCACAGTGCATTATCGGGCGTTGGAGTGCTGTTATCTTCAAACATCGCCAACTGCTGGACAATAGAGAACACATTGAGGTATTACCTTAAATTATATTGTTACTTAACATTTTGATATACTTTTCACAACAAAACTTTGAGTTTATTTTTTGATAATTGATCCTACAAAAAGGACTTAATCGGTTTTGGAGATAGATCTCCTTTTGAAAGCGGAAGATCGATGTCCAGAAAATCCGTTAGAGTTTCCGTAGTGCGGAGCTTAGTGTACCGCCTGCGCGCCAGCCGAACGACAACTGCTCAACGCTGCATTCCCCCGGCTGGGGATGAAACTGAAAAATAAACAAAAATATCGAAGTCCTCTCTCTTGGTTTATTCACTCTTCTCTACTGCGATTCCGTTGGGTCTCGCTCTCTGACCCGAAGTTTTGCATTGGTCTTTCTATTGTCATGGAATGAAAATCAGTTGAACGGGGAAATTTTGTGTTAATCATGCATTTTTTGATATTTAATTGCAGGCCTATGACTGGCAATGATTTGCATATAGCGTTGAATATCTGTAAAATAAAACCCAAAGCTTATCTGGAAAAGTACTTAACATTCTATATGCACATTAGTTTAGCGGAACTATAAAAAAGTAGTGTTCTTATGGGTAAAGTTAGTTAAGTTAATGTTTTAATTTTATAATTCAAACCAAGCTCAAGACACCGCCATCTAGTGGCTATATATGTAAGTTAAAGCAGCAGTGACTTTTGCCAAAGCTTTTCTTTAGTTCCTTAAACAGATGATTAGGTGGCGTGTTTATTACTCATACGCACCATTGGACTTGTCTATATTTTAATTATTTTATAAAATAAAGCATTTAAATAAATTCCTATACATTCAATATATAATTTGATTAAAAAAACATAATTATAAACTTACTTTGAGTTCAGCAATTTAATTTCTGTTACATTTTCCTCAATTACTTGCTAACTTTAAGCCAACTTTTCTTTGTAATCCTTATCAAGCGCATCAATTTAATGTGCTCAACGCTCTGCCAACAGCCACACGAGATGTCAGCCACTCGCTGCACGCTGTGCTAGCTTCACTTTCGCCACACGACGGCAACTGCAGCACTTGACTTTGCCGTGGCTCTTGCTCTTGCTCTTGGTCTACGTGGACCGCCCACAGCCCACCGCTGCCGCCTTTCACCACGCCCTCTTTACCCATACTCTGTCAACTTCGGCTTCTGGCTTTTGGGCGGGAAGCGGTTTCATGCCTCACGGTGCTGCACTTGGAGAAATTTCTGTATAAAGAGTTTCTTTGAATTTCAAACTAATTTTCATGTTTTCGAAGAAATTTCTTCCAGTGCATGGCCCGGTGGACTGGAGCTTGGTGCCTGGCTATTAACACGCTGCATGGCACGCAGCACAAACAAAGCGCATACTTTGACGTCTGCCCTCCTAATGACGACCACGAGAATAACGACGACATGGCAGCGGTAGCAGCTTCCCAAGGGGGCACGACTTTATTCATGTTCAGTTGGCATTAGTCGACCCCTCGACCCCCGCGACCCCTCTCTCTGTCCCATTTCATATCCCCTATTCCCCGCGCTTACCTCTACTTCTGTTTTTTTTTTTTTTTAGCTTGCCCCCCAACTTTTGTTTTATTTTACTTTCTTTTATTCGCCAGTGTCTGTGCGAGTGTGAGGAGGGCAGCCATTGTGCCACCAAATGCAGTAAATGGGTGGGAAAGCGGGAAAAGCGGGCGCGAAGACGCAGGTGAAAACCCCAAAGTGCCCTAGGACAGTGCGAAGTGCTGAGTCAAGTGTCAACTGCAAATGACATTTGCATTTCGCTGCCAGCTAGAAAGGATCACGGGGGGAAAGAGGATGATGAAGGAGGATCCTGGTGGGAAGAGGGACGGTAGGGAAGCTGTGGAACCGCTCCGGTGGCTTGCTTGGCTCGGTGGTGGTCGGTGGCAACGCGTCAACTGACGACTGACATTTGTTTTAGTTTTTCTTCCGCTTTGCGCAAGCCATTTGGCAGTTCGCTGTGTTTCCTGGCCAACAAGAGCAATGGGCAGCGGCGCCCTGAAATATGCAACAAAAAGGTCGCCATGAAAAAAATGGCTCTGTGGAAATTTAAACTGTCAGGGGTCCACTAATACGTTGGAGGCCTTGAATCGCCTCTCCCAACACAGCTTCATCTCAGCAGATACCATAAATGGTTGAAGTCTGCAAAGGATTTCTAACGATTAAAGGAATTTACAACGAAAAAAAAAGGATAATAAAAACAACATCTGGAAGGTATTGTTATGCCTTCTCGACTAGTTCGTTAAATTTCAAAGAGCCAATGGCTGGTCTTAATGTTAAACTGATTAGACTTCGGTTTATGAACACACAACAATCCAATTGATTACACTTTGCCCCTGCATTTCCTGCGTCTGTAATGCAATTGACCCAGACAATATGCAAATTAGCTGGGACCCAGGCACTGTATCGCATATGGATCTCCATCTGCATCTGCATCTGCGGCAACTCGCCATGTTAAATTGTGGGTATAAACTACATTAGAGTGTATGCTTGTATGTATGTATGTATGAATGTACATACCATCCATCTCGTTCATTGTTCAGCTTGAGTAGATGTGCATAAGTAGAAAGCGAAGCGTTGCATAGTTTAAATTGCCAATAATTTATCTGCCTTTCAAAGAGCCAAGAGCTAATTCTAATCATATCTTTGGTGGAACAGATAATCTGATATCTTTGCTGTTTTTAGATGAAAAATTGTAACCTCTAAAAATGCAATCTGCTCGTCGAGGGCAAAAATATCCAATGAACATGCAAATTTTGTTGTAAAAGGAAAAACATTTTCATATTGGGGATTCGATTTCATTTCGGAATGTATTGTGTTGCCTAAAAATCAAACCATTTGAAGTGCCCTTTGATAAACATTATAACATTACAAATATTTATACCTAAAACCGCTACTAAATCCGGTCGATTCATAGAAAACATTCCACTACAAATCCCCTTTAAGTTCGGTAACCATTTAAACTCAAAATCGAAAAGTTCGCTCAGGTCCTTAGGTTCGAGTGTGTAATGGCAAATGAAGTCCCTTCACTTAACTGGCATTCCCGAAAATAAGTACAACAAATGGCGTTTCGAAACTATTTTTGACTTTTTGGCCATCGCCGGCAGCGGCAATCGCTCGATGTTTCTGCCCCTTTGTGTTTATCGTTGAACGTGGAAAGTGGCAGTGGTGGAGGCGAAATGTTTCGATCTCCAATGGCTGTCAGAATGAAAACAAACAGAATCAGACATCTCAACCAAAAAACCCTACACACGCACACCCACACACACACCCACACACACACAATAAAATGGAAACTTTTGCATTGTACATGTAAATTGGCATTGCCTTCCCCAATGATGCTCCTGTTGTGGCCGTTGTATTTGCTGGGCGTTATGCAAAAGGAAAACTTTTCGCACAGCGCATAAAATTTTATTTGTTGCTACTTTTGGGCTTGCGCTTGATTTGGCAGCTCGCACTCACACTAGTGTGTGTATAGGAAGGAGTGTATGTGTGTGTATTGTATAATGTATGGGCACTCCTCCTCACTGATATTTGGCATATTTTGTGCACATCAATATCTCGCGTGCTAGTTGGCATCCATTCCCATTCCCATTCCAATATGAAAGCTGTTATCACACTGAGAAAAAAAAGGTTTTATTTCATATTAAAAACTATGTTGCTTTCAAAAATCCATTAAAATTCAAAGATGGTTGGTAAGTTTTATGAATTCTTTCAGATTTCATAAACTATTCTCAGCTTTTTTATGCAAAATCTATAAAGTTTTCTTTTTATCTCTGTACCACCATCAACGATACCAATTCCCATAACCCAATGCCCCCTCCGATCCCAAGTTACCAGGGACCCGCGGGCGTATTGGCTGCGCGTTTTGTGGTGCACCATTGAGTTCAAGCGCGCGAGTGGGTGGTATGGCGCTTAAGGTTGCATACATATGTGGCACAAACGTGCACGGAACCCAGTTGCAATATCATGAATGTGTATCTGTGTGTGTGTGTGCTGCCTATTTCATTCTTCAGCTATCTGAGTTTTGGTTTGCGGCATTTAAGCAAATGTTTTCCAAATGCACTGCGTGTCGAAGTAAATTTCTCCCGCAGCCTTTCTCACAATTATCGCAAGTACTTGCAGACTTTGGTGCGTGACTTTGGTTAGCTTGCTTGGTATTTTGTCTAATGATTTTGTATGATTTTTGAACTGTTTAAGAGAGCGGCAGAACAGCACAAAAAGTACATATAGCTAGTATTTTAGTATTTAAATGTTATTATTAACAGTGGCTGCCCCTTAATATTAGATGAGAACAGTTAGCTTAACTGTTCTTAGTTTTCTATGTTAAAAGTGGAATGCATGTTTCTGTAATGGCTAACAGAAATGTTAGTAAACGTGTGGTGGCAGGTCCTGTTTGCTGACTGTTATGTTATGTTACATCTTTCGATCCACATATTTAGTAGGGGTAGTTTATGGTTATTTTTAACAGGGGTTGATTGGAGTTGGCTTATAGCGACTTTTAACAGCTGTTAAGTTAAATTCTTTGTGTGCATAATGAGAGGAGGGGATTTTATGGCAACATAACAGCCTTTGCAGCCAGCTATGTAACTTTATGTACTTGGATTCCACTACTAACTGTTAACAATAATGTTGATGTTTTCAGCAGATGAAAGGCTGACCTTAAGCCCCTGCAATTTTATGGTCTTCTTTATAAATGTTATAGTTCGCATCCACATGTAATTATGGAAATGTAAGGTAATGTTAATCATATTGAATTTTATGTTGGCTTAAAAGGTGCTTAAGAAAATGATAACATTGATTAGTATATAAATTATTTATATCATGAAACCGTAATGATTCTTGAATTTTGTAATATTTTACAATGCTCGTTATTAACTATAAGTAAGACTTGACATCTGATCAGTTTCTGTTAAACTTACCTAAACCTCAGCTACTTACTTAATCCTCTTTTTTGGCAACCAAAATTTCCTGCCAACTGCCTAGCTGACTAATTCAATTTCAATTTTCATTCTCCAGGAATGTTTAATAAATTCTGTAATAAATGCCTAATTGAATATTGCATATACTGATTATACGATTCGGCTGATTCCATCAGGATCGTGTGGGCCATTGTCGCAATCCTGGCAAGCAATCCTGGCAACTGGGACACCGAGGCGCCTTGCTCCGCTCACTGGCCACGTGCAATTTAATGTCTGCTTCTGGTCAATTTCACTGA